ACACTTCCAAATTTCGATTCCGCAGGGGTATACACACGATAAGGCGATTTCCGACCGAACCACGAGTCACTCAGCCAGCGAGCCAAGTGAGCAAAGTGAACCGTCGATGTGTGGCGCTGCTTTGTAACTCATTTGGGCGCTCGGCTCGACGCTCTCGTCTCACTCCGCCCGTTATGCTGGCGCTGCTGCCCGCGCAGCATAAAGCGTTGGCAGCGGCGGAGGCAGAGGCAGAGGCACTTACCCCCACCCCACGCCCTCTACACACAGTGGGCCAACTCTTCCAGTCGCAAAAGGCTGCAAAACATGAACCCCTAGCCCCCAATTTGAAAACCAAATTCTTTTCGATTTGAATAAATTACGAATTTGGCGGTCAAATTATAATATCATCATTACAACGGATGTCCCAAACAAAGCATAATTATTTAATTAATAAACCAATTATTGTACACCGAAAAAAAAATGATCATAGAAACTAAACTATTAATTCTAAACTATTGAGTTTCAAATATATTTTAATAAGATGAGTATTAAATTAATACTTTCGGGAGTGTTATAGCTAAACTTTCTGTAAATAAATTAAACCAAAATATATGAACTTTATATTATTTAGTATAACGTTCAAATTTTTTTATTACTCAGTCGTAATTCAATACCAAGCTTTTATTCTGGACATAGTATATTTTAATACAACGAGTTAAAGAGATAAACTACGTTTTTTTCTTTGCCTAGAAAGCTAGAAACTAATGGTATTATGACCACGAAGCACAACTATAAATATTTAAAAATAATAAATAAAGATACCGTTCTAGAATTTAATTTTTTATATGGGTTTTAAAAATATTTCAATAATAAATACCTCTTTAGGCTTAGGGTCCCTTAAAAGCATAATAAATAAAAAGTTATTAAAAAATATTTAGTAAAACCCACACACAATCTCCAGAATACCCACTGTTAGGGTATTCGGAAAAACTATGTCCGGCGGGCATTCCAGAGAGCGATATTCAGCAAAAGTCGGAGAGTGCCTCTGGGGCTCAGTCAGAAATGTGGAGCACTCTGTTCGTGCTGATAGCTATAGCCGACTGCTCCATGACACAGAGCCCATGACTAGATCCGCCGCATTAGCTGTTCCGAAGTGTGCGTGCTGATAAGCGAACGGAAAATCGAATCGTGCGCCTGCCGATCAATAACCCAAAAGTAAACAGCCGAGGGAAAACAAAGCCAACTGTCGAACGGTCACGCATGCGCCCGAAACACAGTGAATTACTACCAATCGTGCTTGGCCCACTGGCAATCGGAGAACTGGTTTCTCTTGGGGGGTGGTTGACATTTCCAAGACGATCCGCATTCTAGGCAGATTAGCGATTTTCCAACGCAAAACCCGTTCCGTTCAGTTCCGAGGTTAATGACACAAACAAACAAACAACGTACATTATGCATTTGCAGTTGCAGTATTCAGTATCAGCCATTAGCTAACGATTGCCAAGAGATGAGCTAATGATCTAGTGGCGGTCAGTTAGCAGACACGCAATATGCTCGTACTAAATTATCTACGGACCGCCAGTTTCGAAACATCAAAGAATTCCTAAGAAGATGACACAGCTGGACATGCGATGCGCAGCAAAATGGATATATTATCTTGGAGGCCAACTTTCAATCATCAACGAAAGAAAGTGTGCACAATTGAATTAACAAGACGGGGAAAATTCGTATAGGAATGTTTATAAGCATAATCTTACTTAGAGACATGAAATTTTTAGGGTGCAATCTCGAATTTTTATTAAATCAAAATAAATTAGTTTAAGAGATTTGGTTAAAGATATCAGAAAAAAGAATGAAAAACGGCTACATTCTATTATATTATAATATTTTATTGAAGGTATCTTATTTAAATAAAATACTTATAAACAGCATGTCAAAATAACTTCCCAATTGGACTGTTAGTCCAACCCTGGCAGTAAACAATTCAACACACCTTCCAACACAAGAGTTGGCCGCTCTGGAAAAGCGATTTTCCAATGCGCAGGCGCACTTTTCAGCCCGGAAATGGGGGAGAAATTGGGAGCGAGTGCAGAGCATAATAAAAATGTGTTACAGCCACTGGGCTGACATAAAGGTAAAGAATCTGCATAAACTGCCTATGCCAAGTTTTGATGAATCATTTGGTTGGGTTAGGCATGCAACTCCTAAGCGGAGTGGGAGTGGGAGTTTTTGGAAGTGGGTGGTTTGATGGGCGAGGGTTGAGTCATTTGCCTGCCCAAAGGAATACATAATTGATGTATGGGCCAGACTGCGGGACTGCGGCTAATGGCAGCTGTTAAAGTTGGCCAGCGACCAAACGGTAGCAGACCAACTGGCAGACGTCCTTTTGTAAACAGTCCAAGACCATTATCTAAACGTCGTAATCAATGCGATAGGAATTTTTTATTATTACTTCCGGCATTACACAAACGAAGAAGGTTGCCCAAAATGGAAATCAATCGAGTCATTAGGGGCGAAGGGTTCCACGCCATTGATATGCAAATGAGTCGTAGTTTTTCTCCCAAGAACCATTGATTGGAAAAGCGTACTCCCAGATAGTCACATCGATACGTTTGAATGCGCAGAGATTTACGTGTGACTTCAGAGCCCAAAGCTTGATTATGACGATATGTATTTCCATAAACAAAGCAAAGCTTTTGTCAGCGCCAAGCTCGGATTACTGTTTGTGTTTATTTGGTTTTGTTTTTATTTTCTGTATTTCGATATGGTGTTCCAAACGAGTTTAACGAAAAGACCTCAAAGATATCAAAGTTATTTCTTAGTCACTGCAAGATACAGATATACAGTTAAACTTCCGTAATTGGACTTTTTTAGTTGCATTTGATTATTACAAAATTTATCTATATGAGAGAGTTCTTGAAATATTTTTTCTTATAATTTACTCAGATTTTCTAAAATTGATTTTTGGAAAAAGGGAGAAATTAAAGCTTCTTTACCGAAGTAATACTAAACTTTGTATGATTATGTTAAACTTTACTTGGAAAATATTGATAATATCAATTATAATATTTTCAAAGTATATGACTAAGTAAAATAAAGAATCAATCAAAAATAGAATATAATATTTATATATTTTAGATGGCTTGGGGATACGGAAGTTTCCCTTTAATGCAGAACTCCCGTGGAGCACCTCGCTCATGGCTAGCGATAATTATCAAGTTAATAACTCTACACTAATTAGTCAGGTGCTTTGATGGGCGGGCGCCCGAGGGGGAGGGGCAGCGCTGCGACCCTAGGTCGCGGTCCAAAAAAAAACCATTATAACGCCGTCCAATGTGAAAACGAAAGCGATACGATTTTCGGCGAGGAAAATCCGTCGATGGGAAACCAAAGGCCAAGAAAAAAACGAAAACCCAGTCGGAATGCAACGGAATGGGAAACTGGAGCTCGAAAGCAATCCAAATGCCAGGCGAATGGGGTAAATTAAATCGCAGCATCAGCGGCGGTAGCAAATCAACTTAATGACGACGGCTGGCAACTTTTCCAACGGTTGATTTTTTATTTCTATTTTTTATCTGCCGATCGGAGATCGTGAGGTGAAATGAATTTAAGTTGCCTTCCTTTTTTTTGGACAGCCCACAATAAGGGGCTAAAAAATCGATGAGTGCTCAATTAACTGTTATTCGTAGTACGCCCACACACACACACATACACATGATATACACTTGCAAATAAATAACAATAAGTATTACCTTTTTCAGTTGAATTTTTAGTAGCTTTTTTGGCAATTGTCTCAACAAAACAACATCATTTTTGCAAGTGCCACTCCCACTCCAGTTTTTATTTTCGTTGCCAAATTTACTATCCGGGATTTGTTTTGGGGGTTTTATTGTTGTGCCCACCACTGTGCTTAATACAATTTACTTTTTGCAGTTACGTATGTCAACTTCTCTCTTTCAGCGCGGCGTCCTTTGTTGTTGTTGTTCTGCTTGCAAAATTGTTCGTGTAAATTATGTACAATGGTGGTTGTTTCAGTTGCAGGTGGTCTAAAACACTCGCGTTCGTTGGGTTTACGTGGTTTCGATTGCACTATGTGCCGCACGCCTAATTTGCAGACTGCAAATCGTCGTTTTCGTTAGTAATTTGGCTATGGGTTGGCTTAAAACACGGAGAAAACTTTCGACGTTTCTTGTTGGTTTTCTTATAATGGTTTTAGCGGCCAGTGTGTCCACACGGTGTGGAAAAGTAAAACTCGGGGAACAGTTACCCGCTTAGGGTGGCCACTTCGCGGTTGTCCCGGCAAAGTGATGTTGGTTTTTGCGGGGTTTGCTGGGAAATGTGATGGCATGGTCATCCTAAGAAAGTAACAGTTGAATCACTGCTTTGCTGGCAGAGCTGCCAGATTATAGACATTTCTTTCAAAATAAACTTATAATTTGTAGGTTTTCTTATTGCTTATTTATCAGAAAACCTCTGTAACAATTTAATTATTTTCCCTTTTTTATATGCATAGATGAATATTATTTATTTTTAAAGATATTTTCTTCTCCAGGATAATAAAATCTAGATAAAGGTTTTAATGTGAATTAATTGTTACTAAAACGTAAAAATTAATTCCTAATAGTTAAAATTTAGCTTAAGTTTATTTATTTATTGAAAAAATATGTTTTTAATTAAAAGGTACTGTATATCGATTAATTTATGGGCACTTGGCAACCCTATTGCTGACGCCGCACTCGAAGTTAAATTTGTTTACCTTTAAAGAAATGCTAATTTATCATATTTTAGTCGTATTATTAGTAAGTTTTGTAAGCCAAGGATGCGCAGAGGATGAAGGACTATGCAGTGCCGATCAAAAATCCTGTGGGCAGAGTCAACCGGAGGAACCAAACCAGGATGAGTGTAAGCAACTTGTTGCCGGCTTTGATTTTACTTGGTTTTTCAAACAAACTCCCTGATTTTAGTTAGCTTTAAGATCAGACGGGAGATTGAGAACGCTAATGCCGACTACAAGTCCTGCAGCAGCGATCCCAAGGACCCTGATTGCTCCTGCCATGCGGATGTTTTAAATAGAGATCTCGCGGCCTACAAGTCAACAGGTGTCAGCCGGCAAATGATCGAGAGTTCCGCGAGATTCGGCACCAAATACAAGATCTACGGCCATCGATTGTACCGCGATGCCAACTGCATGTTCCCCGCCCGCTGCCAGGGCATCGAGCACTTCCTCCTACCGCTGGTGGCGACGCTGCCCAACATGGACCTGGTGATCAACACCCGGGATTACCCGCAACTGAATGCCGCCTGGGGAAACTCCGCCGGTGGCCCGGTTTTCTCATTCTCTAAGACCCACGATTACCGCGACATCATGTATCCCGCCTGGACCTTCTGGGCCGGCGGACCGGCCACCAAGCTGCATCCCCGTGGCATCGGTCGCTGGGATCAGATGCGCGAGAAGCTGGAGAAGCGAGCGGCTGCGATTCCCTGGTCGCAGAAGAGAAACCTCGGCTTCTTTCGCGGCTCACGCACCTCCGACGAGCGCGACTCTCTGATCCTGCTCTCCCGCCGCAATCCGCAGCTGGTGGAGGCGCAGTACACCAAGAATCAGGGCTGGAAGTCCCCGAAAGATACACTCGATGCACCCGCAGCCGATGAAGTCTCCTTCGAGGATCACTGCAAGTACAAGTACTTGTTTAATTTCCGTGGCGTGGCCGCCAGTTTCCGGCTGAAGCACTTGTTCCTCTGCAAATCGCTCGTCTTCCATGTGGGCGACGAGTGGCAGGAGTTCTTCTACGACCAACTGAAGCCCTGGGTGCACTATGTGCCGCTAAAGAGCTACCCCAGTCAGCAGGAATACGAGCAAATATTGGAGTTCTTCAAGAGGAACGATTCGCTGGGCCAGGAGATTGCCCAGCGGGGATACGACTTCATCTGGCAGCATCTGCGCATGAAGGACATCAAGTGCTACTGGCGCAAGCTGCTCAAGAGCTATGTGAAGCTGCTCAATTACGAGGTGCAGCCCGAGGATCAGCTAATCTATATTGCGCCTACAAAGGATGAGCTGTAGAAATTAGGAATTAATATTAAAACAGATCATTTTTCACTAACATTATTCTTTTTTAAGATCTTAAGAATCTCGTTAAACTTTCCACATTCCATTTAATTATTTAAATATTTGTGAATATCATTAAATATTTTTTACAATCTTTATTTTATCAATATCAAAAAATCCCGAGAATCATTTAACCATTTAAATATTTAAAGAAACTATCTTGGCTAAGTTTAAAAAGAGAAAATCTTTAAATATTTTTTACAATCTTTATTTTATGAATATCAAAGGTCATTTGTGTTAGGACTCAAAGTTTGTTTGATTATATTTGGAAAGAAAACATGTAAATTCTTCGAAATTTTAAAGATGACCCTGCCACAGACATTTCTTTTAATGGGAGCTCTGCTCTTGTTTTGTGCACCGAATGCGTGGTCCGTTTCCGAGAACAAATGCACAGCCATCGCGCAGTATAAGGAGTCAAATAGTAAGATAATATATCCTATTAAAATAAGATCTTAATTATTTGTATCTTTTCAGTCAGCTACGGCTTTGTGCCGCACATCCTGAAAGCCCTGGAGGTCTATCGACCATGTGAACTAGGGGATCCGAAGTGCCTCTGCCATGCCCAAACCATCCGGAAGGATTTGGAGCATTATATAAGCAATGACATCACACCGGAGATGATGGCACAGTCCAGGCGTGGTCGCCTCTATCGCCAGAAGAACTGCTCGAATCCCAAGCGTTGCGCGGACGTGGAGGATCTCCTCTTGGACATTGTGGGTCATCTGCCAGATGTGGAATTCGTTCTCAATGTGCGCGACTGGCCACAGGTTCATTTTCTGTCTGGTTTAAGTGGCCCGGTATTCTCCTACTCCAGAGCTTCATTTGGATATCATGTACCCGGCTTGGTCGTTTTGGACCACCACGGGTCCCATCCTGCAGCACTATCCACATGGCCTGGGTCGCTGGGATTGGATGCGCCAGCATTTAGCGGCTAGGGCGGCAAGGATTCCATGGGATGACAAGCAATCAGTGGGCTTCTTTAGGGGCTCACGGTCTTCGCCGGAACGAGACAATCTGGTGAGGCTCTCACGCAGATGTCCAGACCTCGTCGATGCTCAGTATACAGCTGAACCCACCGAGGAAATACCTTTAGTGGAACACTGCCAATACAAATATCTGTTTAATTTCCATGGCGTGGCTGCAAGTTTCCGACTGCGGCACATCCTGCTCTGCCGCTCGTTGGTGCTCCATGTGGGCGATCAGTGGCAGGAGTTCTTCTACAGCCAACTGAAGCCCTGGGTGCACTACGTTCCCGTGGCCAGTGATGCGGATGTGGAGGAGCTGGCAGAGCTTGTGCTCTATCTGCGCGATCACGACGATCTGGCGGAGGAGATTGCGGACAGGGGACACCAGTTCGTTTGGCTGCACCTGCGAATGGAGGATGTGCAATGCTATTGGAGGAAGCTGCTCAGGGAATACGCAAAATTGTTGACCTATAGAGTGCATCTGGAGCAGGGATTCCTCGAGGTGTCCAACAAAAGGGCGTTGCAGCTATATCGAGGTTAATAAACTCTAAATTTAACATATAAATTGACAAGGATAAAGGTTATTTAATAGGGTTATTGGGAATAGATTTGGAACGACTAAAAAAACCATTTTAAATTTCCATTTAAACCTGCCAGTGCTACCACACCCACTCGTTTGAAGTTAATTTTGTGTTCTTTGGTTTATAAAAAGTCTTTAGGTCTATAATTTTAGATATCGCCCCTTAACAGAGCATAAGAATTACCTTGGCAAATCAAGATAACCCGATTAAGCTTAAAATTGGGTTAAAAATTTCAAATTTCCGTTTCTTAACCAGTGTGACCCCTCTGGATTTCGCAGCCTTATGGTCAACAGTTACGTCACTGGCCAACAGCTGTTGTAAGTTTTTAATTTGGTTTCTATAGCATTACATGGATTCCGCACCATGGCAGCGCAGCTAAATCCCTTTCGCAATGCCTTCCGGCTGCCGGCGAAGCAGCGGATCAACTGGTTTCCCGGCCACATGACCAAGGGAATGCGCCAGATCCAGCAAAAGCTGCGAACCGTCGACTGCATAGTGGAAATCCACGATTCTCGCATCCCGCTGGCCGGTAGAAACTCCCAGTTCTTCGACACAATTACCGGTAAGTTAATCTGTCATACAAAATAACCATTTAATCCAAAAGTATCCCCCTAGGAAGTGGCGTTAAACCGCACATTCTGGTGCTGAACAAAGTGGATCTCCTGGGCGCCAAGCAGCAAAAGAATGTCCTCCAGCAGCTGCGGCGTCAGCAGCCCGAACTCCGGCACATCCTGTTCACCAACTGCAAGGATCAGCGCAACCACGGCGTGCTGGACATCCTGCCCCTGGCCACTCGCCTCATAAGCGAGAGCAGTCGCTTCAATCGCTCGCAGGCGGCGGAGCACAATCTCATGATTGTCGGGGTGCCGAATGTGGGCAAGAGTTCGGTGATCAATGTCCTGCGGAATGTGCATCTCAAGAAGAAGAGCGCTGCCCGTGTGGGCGCAGAGGCGGGCATCACTCGATCCGTCGGCGAGCGCATCAAAATCCAGGAGAATCCACCTGTTTACATGATCGACACACCTGGGATCCTACAGCCCTCCATTAAAGACGATGAGATGGGCATGAAGCTGGCCCTGGTGGGCTGCCTGCCGGATCACATTGTGGGCGAGGATCTGATAGCCGACTACCTGCTCTTCTGGCTGAACACTCACCGGAGATACGACTACGTGGAGAAACTCCAGCTAAGCTCCGGACCCAGTGACAATATTAGCGCCGTGCTGGCGGAGTACGCCCATCGGGAGGAGCTGTTCCACAAGGTGAAGCAATACGACGGCAGGGTGGAGGTGATGACAAATTTATTGGCGGCCGCAAGGAAATTCATACACTTCTTTCGCTCCGGCCAGCTGGGCTACATCAATCTGGACGAGTTAACTTAAGGGCTAGGATTAAAAGTTGAACAGAGATGAATCTTCTTATTGCTGCTCCGCCATGGGCACATCGATGCCAATGTGGCCCACGCCGGGAACGGGAATCGAGTAGGAAACGCTGGCCAGATCGTCGGGATCAACGGCGAGATCCATGGGCGTGTGGTGCTGCGGCACCTGGGGAATGCCACCGCCCAGTTGACCTACCAAATCGGACGACGGATCCACCTCCGGCTGATGCACTTCGACCTGGGGAGGAATATGCGAATAACTCGATCGCGAGGCCGCCGAACGCAGCTCCTCCGGGACGCCCTTCATCCGCCGCGCAATGTGGCGGGAATAGGGAGCCATCTTCTGGTAGTAGGCAATCAGCATTTGGGGATCCTTCTCCGACAGCTGGCTGCTGGGCACCAGATCGAATTCATCGCAGAACTGCCAGCGCACCAGGTACTTGATGTCCCCCGTCACATCGGTGGCGCCCACGATCTCGGCCAGCTCCAGGCCGCGTTCGTAGCCGCGCAGCTTCTGGATCTCCTCGCATTTCGGTTTCTTCTCGCCGCGCTTCTTTGACTTCGCACGCGACTCCTCGAATTTCTGGATGAGATTGGGGCAATCGCAGTTCTCCTCGGGCTCCCAGGTGTTGTCCGCTGAGGTGTAGCCGCGCCACTTGATGAAGTACTCCACCTTGCCCTCGCTGGTGATGCGCTTGTCCATGATGCGCTCCACCACAAAGTTGGGCTCGTTTTTAACCATTTTTATGGGGTTTTTAAATGATTGTTTACAAATTGCTTAAATTGGCTTGGGTTTTTTCTAGGGATGTCGAAAATATATCAAAATATCAATATATCGATATTTTTTACGAAAAAATAAATATTTTTATCGTGATATTTTTTTTGAATATTTATCATATTTCATCGATTTTTTTCACATTTTTTTTGATAATTTTAAGTGGTCTCACTTTTCATCGGGACAAGAAAAAATACATATGTGAAAGATGAGCGCCGCTAAAATTTATTTTTCGGCAAGTGAAAATGCATAGCATAGCATTCAGAATTCAAGAAAACGCGCTAAAAAAAATGCGCGGGAAATACTTGACTTGAATAGTATAAATAAAAACAAAAGAAAGCCAAAATAAATATTGTTTTCTTTCATTTATTAATAAATTTAAGGGGGATTCCCTAAACTGTTGAATTGCTGAATTGTTGAAAATTCAACAAAAAATTTCAGCAATTAAGGGAACGACCCAAAATGGTTCCTGTTGAATTTTCAAACAGCTGTTATTTGTTGAAAAGTTTCACGGAACTTAAAGCATGATTTATTATTGCTAGTTACTGTCTAAAAGTGTTACCAAGGTAAAAAGAACCACAAATATGCTTTCTAAGTTGATTTTAAAATAAATAATGCGTACTGGTGATACTAAAATGTTACAGAGTTGCCACGACTTTTAAAAAAAGGTGACAACTCTGGCTTTTCAGCAATTCAACAAAAATTTCAGCAGCCCCGAGGCTGATGAATTGCTGAAATTTCTGAAAGTTGACTTTGTATGGAACAGCTGATTAACAGCTGACCAAAATTCAACAATTCAGCAATTCAACAGTTTAGGGAATCCCCCTATAAACTAAAAATTATAAAAATATAATTTAAGATCGTATGTGGGTTAATGTTTAGTGGTTAATGCTTATGCAGCTTAAAATTAAAAAAAAATAATAAAATAAAAGAAATATCAAAAATATCTGATATATAGATATTTTTTTTCTGATATATCAAATATCATTTTGATTTTTTGTTTAAATAAAAAATATCATCGATACGATATTTTTAAATATTTCGACATCCCTAGTTTTTTTCTCTCCGCAGAGTGTGACCGTTTGTTGATTGATTGTTTATACCAGATTAGGGTAGCCTTTTAGTATTTTTTATTTTACCGTTTTATTTCGGCACTTGAAAAAATACTCTTTTTGATTCCCGAGTGAAATTCGAATCCAGGTGAAAACCCAAAACTTTAGCTACCATGGAATCTGCCCAGGAGGATTGGTCCAATTTCGATCCGATAGCCAAGGATTACTACGACGAGGAGCAGAACAAGTACACCAACGAATCGGGTCAGAATCTGATCGATGAGGCTCCTGTGCCCGCAAAGGATGAAAAGGAGCAACGTGCCGCCAGGCAGACGAAATATCCATATCTGGTGGTCCCCAAAAGCAGTCCCTTTGTGACCGAAAAGATGCTGATCAACTTCTTTGGGCGTGCGCTCATTCAGGACTTGGAATTCCGCCGAACGTCGCGCGTTTACTTTGTTTATTTTCCCAACATTGGGTAGGTTCCAAAGTTTTTGCACCATAAGCATTATTTACCATGGAAAACTTTATAAAGATCTCTAGAGGCAGCGCGTCTGAAGGTGGAGCGTTACCCAAACCTGATCCGCTGCGTAACTGGACGCAGTCAGCGGGAGCGGGAAGGCTTTGTTCCCGAATCCCTGAGTTCCAATGAACCAATGCCAAAACCTGGTCGTGCCTTTTTGGCCACTGAACGCACTCCTATTGATCTCGAAACCCGCGAGGTTCCCATCTCCGCCGGCAGTCAGGAACATCCCGAGTTCCACCGGCCTCCGCTGGTCACCAAAGCGGACTATCGCAAAGGATCGCTGTTGGCCATTAACGATACCATCCAGCGTTATCTTAATGTGAAGTATGAGTTTGCTTTGGAGCGACATGATGTCTATAACTTGAAGGATGAAACCAGGATACCGCAGGCTATACTGCACTTTCGTTCCGGAAGAACCATTCCCATGTTAGTAAACATAAAACATAAGAGTTAAGAAAGTTAAGAACTAATCTCGCTATCTTTTAGACCAAAAATTGCTGAAGCTACGGAGACTAAAGCCGAAATTCTGTTAGAAGATGGCATCAGCAAATGCGTCGTCTGCCAGAACTGGACGGATAACTTCTGTAAGGTTTGCAAGATGCCCTTCTGCAATGCCTCCTGTTTCGCAGATGTGGCCGACCAGCACCGGGAGACCTGCGGCAAGGGAGTGCTCCTCAAGCTCGACGAGAATGTGGGCCGAAAGTATCCAAAGCCCGGCTTGCCTCCGTCTGGTTCCAAAGTGAGGATCACCGCTTTCGAGCAGACTAACGTGGTCTATGTTCGCTCGGCTGACATTCAAGTGGACATTGCCTATTACTCAGTTCTCACCGAGGTGATGATGTTGGGCAAAAGTGCCTTGAAACTGCAGACAAAGCCAGTCGTTGGACAAATTGTGCTCTACGAGTTTGAGTCTAAGATCTCCCGCGCCATGGTGCTCAATATAGATGATGCTAAAGACATCTATGTGGTTTGCATTGACTTTGGCAGCGTGGAAGTTACGCAGCTGGAATATCTGTACGATTGTAGTGCTTATTTAGCCAGCCTGCCTTGCTATCCCGTAGCTGTGCAGTTGCGCGGAGTTCCCCGGCGATTTGTGGGCCCCAACATAAGGGAAATCATGTACGAACTGGATCAGTCCTTGGTTTTCGACATTAAATACTCGAAGCGCGAATACGACTACGGCAAGGGCTTGCAAATCGTGGTAATGACCGAGACCGAAATCAATAGCAGCCTGAACCGTCTTTTCAAGACCATAATGACACCCGTGGAGCCGTCGTTGTCGGAACTTGGATACAAGGAGGATGTAAGCTCAAACATTTTTTTAATTTTTATATCTAATTAATCAACTCTTTTTTAGTGTCTTCCTCATGTCCCATTGCCCACTGGAAAAAACATCGATTTAGTTGTGATGGACAACACTTTCCTGAAGTACGGCTTTATCTACTGCACTGCCAGAGATCTGGCATACGAGGTCACCAAAATGCAGCGGGATATTCAGGAGTATGGCGAAAAGATAGCCAAGAGCCCAACCTACGCTCCACCGTAAAGTTAACTACACTATATGGTCTACGATCCTAACTAAACCTTCTTGTTTATGCAGGAAAAACGAGCTATGCATAGCTAAATACGAGGGGAAATGGTGTCGAGGTCTTTCCTTGGAACTAGTGGGCGATGGTTATCCCAGCATTTTGTTCATCGACTATGGAAACATTGTGCCGACCCATGTCAGCGATATACGTGCTTATCCACCGCAGTTTATCTTTCCCATAATGACTGCAGAACTGGATTTGATTGGTAAGTCGTGGTAGTATAATTATCATATTTTTATGATTTCCATTTACTTTAGGTTTGCCTGACCAGCTCACCGATGATCAGCTCAAGCGGCTGGAGAATCATTTTCTAGTAGGAACCACCGTCACCTGCAACGATATCTTTTTCAGCGAGGAGGACAATAACTTTTCCGCTCGCATTGACAAACTGGAGGAGCTTTTGAAAGGGAACTAATTTCTCAGAAATTAGTTTATAAAAAATGTATAGTAGCTAAGATTAAAATGAATATGAAGTTTTGACTATTTCAATTCCAAAAGTTAGGATCTCTCACTGGAGTTTAAATCATTTGAATAATTTTCTGTTATAGCCTTTTTCCTTGAATAAACCAGTTGAATACTTTCCAAACCCTCAGAGATATTGGCTTCCTTTAAAATGTACATCGAATTATGGGAAAATAATTTTTAAATCATAAAAAACATACCTTTAGAAAATCCTGACTAAATGGTGGCTCCGTCTTTGTCCAGCATGGTAGCTCCTAATGGATATTAATATAGTATTTGTTTTCTAAATAATATATTACTTCAAAATACTCACATATGTGTTCCTTGACAACTGTTTACTTGTGTAATTCTCAAGATCCCCTTGGGAGTTATCATCTACATACAGACCGAGTCGTCTGTAGAACTGGAGTTCCTCCGGACAACCTCCAGCTGTGATTAGTGTGTATATTTTAGTGTCCATTTCCCCATATGCCAGCAGTTGATCAGCTTCTTCTCTGGCATTGTGATTATAAATTATGAGATGTTTGCAGCGAAGTGATCGAAGCTCTGCTAAGTTACTGGTCAAAACTAGACCAACCATTGGTTCCTTTTCCCCAAGTGAGTTGAAGATAGCTACTTTCTGCTGACTATCCAGCTGCGCATGGTCTATATCATAGCTCTGGCAGTAGCCCGTGACCAGTCTCAAGCAATCCGGACTGTTGGCCAAAATGCAGCATTTCTCGCCTCGCTCCAGCACCAAATTGTCCAGCATTATATAAACGAACTCGAACTTGGCGGAGTCGTAGAGTCCCATTTCTGGCCAGGACGGCAATTTGGGTTGCAGATCCTGCATAAGTTCCTCAAAGGCTGTATCCTTGACTAGGGTTTTAAGGAGCACGGGATGATCGCAAACCACTTGGACTATTTTCTCTATGATATAAGGTTCCTGAAATACATTACTCTATATTAAATTACTTACATATGAGTAATTCTTTGTGAAACGTATCGAGATTTTCTTAATGGTCTCAAAACGATATCTCATTTTATCACATTTTAAAAGAATTTTTAAAATGGTAAATCAAAAAATCCATTTGACAGATGCGAAGATATAGCGACGCTTTTTTTTTGTAAATTAATTTATAACTTTAAATTGCGTGGGGTAAAAAATAAATAAAAATACTAAAAAATTATAATTTTTAACAAGCTTTCAGATGAAAAAACACCTACAATAGTTCCAGTGCACTATACAGTCCAAACTTAACAAAGAAAATTTCAATCGCGGATTTCTGCAAATCGGCATATATGTATAGATAACACTAGTTTACAGCCAAAATGCTCCCCAGCAATTGATGGCAAATTCTGTTAGTGTTTGACCCCTAGATCACGAAAATACCAATAATTTTTTTTTCGATGGCACAGTTTTTTTTTAAAGATTTTTTAAAGTTTAAAATGTTAAATTTCGGACTTTTTTCGAATTTCTTCTTATATCTCGGCAGATATCCACCCGATTGGGCCAGTTTTAGTTTTATTTTAAAGTCAATAGATCAGAGCTTAACTTTGCCATACAGATCAATATGATTGGATAAGTAATGGCAGCACAGCAGCTCGACAAAGATGAAAAATGTGTTTTTTGGTCGACTGTAAATCGGCTGTATATATCGTAAAAACTCGAAATAAATCCGTTGAAAAATCATAACGAGTGCAAACTTAAAGTTTACATCCTACCAAATAAAACAAGCCGGGTATGGCCCAAATTAATGGAAAATTGGATTTATGGTGGATTTTTAAAGTTCGGATTTTTCCACTTTTTTCGATTGACAAAGTCCAAATTTAAGATTTATCATAGGCGGCGACATGTAAACAAAAATGAGTGGTGATGGCAGCCGGGTCAAAAAATAGCTAAATCAGATATTTAAAAGCTAGAAAATTATAAAAATAAATTAAATTTTTAAAAATTCTTTAAAAAATATTAAAATACTTGCGTTATGACTGAGAGTATTTTTAATAAGTAATATCCATCTGGACAATTCATTCTTAAAAAGTAGCTAACCTTAACTTCACAAAAGCATGCTCTTTTTAATAAGTACTGCCTTATCAAAAACGAAAAAAAGAGTACGTATTAGAGAAAAAAATAAGAAAATAATGAACAAGATAAAAGAATACACTTGTTTAAATGGTCCAAACACTTTTTGCAATGTGTGTGGTAAATTTATTATGAATAATAAATTTCGACCCTTTGATAGTGAGGTGATAAATCGATATTTCCTCTACTTTCGCATTAAACCAAATCTTGAAGAGGCTTGGACACCGAGGAGAATTTGTGATTCTTGCCGCTTGACATTACTTAAATGGAGCCTCTTCAAGATTTGGTTTAATGCGAAAGTAGAGGAAATATCGATTTATCACCTCACTATCAAAGGGTCGAAATTTATTATTCATAATAAATTTACCACACACATTGCAAAAAGTGTTTGGACCATTTAAACAAGTGTATTCTTTTATCTTGTTCATTATTTTCTTATTTTTTTCTCTAATACGTACTCTTTTTTTCGTTTTTGATAAGGCAGTACTTATTAAAAAGAGCATGCTTTTGTGAAGTTAAGGTTAGCTACTTTTTAAGAATGAATTGTCCAGATGGATATTACTTATTAAAAATACTCTCAGTCATAACGCAAGTATTTTAATATTTTTTAAAGAATTTTTAAAAATTTAATTTATTTTTATAATTTTCTAGCTTTTAAATATCTGATTTAGCTATTTTTTGACCCGGCTGCCGTCACCACTCATTTTTGTTTACATGTCGCCGCCTATGATAAATCTTAAATTTGGACTCTGTCAACCGAAAAAAGTGGAAAAATCCGAACTTTAAAAATCCACCATAAATCCAATTTTCCATTAATTTGGGCCATACCCGGCTTGTTTTATTTGGTAGGATGTAAACTTTAAGTTTGCACTCGTTATGATTTTTCAACGGATTTATTTCGAGTTTTTACGATATATACAGCCGATTTACAGTCGACCAAAAAACACATTTTTCATCTTTGTCGAGCTGCTGTGCTGCCATTACTTATCCAATCATATTGATCTGTATGGCAAAGTTAAGCTCTGATCTATTGACTTTAAAATAAAACTAAAACTGGCCCAATCGGGTGGATATCTGCCGAGATATAAGAAGAAATTCGAAAAAAGTCCGAAATTTAACATTTTAAACTTTAAAAAATCTTTAAAAAAAAACTGTGCCATCGAAAAAAAAATTATTGGTATTTTCGTGATCTAGGGGTCAAACACTAACAGAATTTGCCATCAATTGCTGGGGAGCACACCAAGAATATTATTTTGTAAACTAGTGTAACTATAGAGATATATATGTAGGCTTACCACTTTAGAATTTGTTATGTATTCAGCCAGATAATGCAATATCTTTTCCTGGAGTTCTGCAGGAGCTAGCAGGCAAAGGTATTCCGCTCGGGTGAATCCTGACATGGCAGGATTCACCATCTCTGAATAGCTTTCTTCCACTGTTCTCTCCTCGAACTCTTGCCATCTGCTGGGAGCTGTGGATACATGCGGTAGTGGTTCCATTTTATTACCACTCTGGGTGAAAGTAAACCCCGAAGTCGACGGATTCTGCGGCTCCTCGTAGTTCTCTTCACGCTTAATCTTCTTGAGCACATGGGATCTTAATGGAGCACTAGCCATACGAGGTGGCGATGTCTCCGCATAACCATTCAGTGCATCAATTTTCTGGCACCAACTAGCAATCTCCAATTTGCGTTGATTCACGCACTCCTTCAGTGTTTTAATCTCCTCCTGGACTTCCACATCCTTGTTGCCGACTTGCAGCTGATCGTTCTCCTTGAATTCCCGCTGTTTGAACAACGTCATGGTGTCCACAACCTTGCCAGTGTCATCCTTGAGGTTCACTGTGGACCCGGTGACCACCAGGGTTCCGTTTCCAGTCCACGTTTTGTGCTTTTTGGTGGTCTGATTGCGCCAGAGCACATGGAAGATGCGGCTTTCCCGGAGGGGATTCTCGCCAGCCTTTAGTTCTCGGGGTCCCAGGTTCTCGGAGCCCTTGGAGGATCCCCATTCCCCGTCAAGAGTTGAAGCAGTTGGCCAGGAGAAAGACGCCTGAGGTTCCTCTAGAGGATCGGGGTCTTTATTTCCCCGCTTAACTGCATTTCGCATGGATGGGGCCCTCGAACGTCGCATTGTGAAGCTGGGTAATAAGTTATAGGGTTATTATCTTGAAGGGATCGTCTGGGTTTACCTATTTTTACCTGTTTATTTGGAGAAATCTTAAATGAGGGCGCAAATTGGTTTAAAGTCACCGGTGCAGTGTGACCAAAGGAGTCAAATGTAAAGGGTGGTGGACCCTTTTTGCGACCCACAGGGAACGGTCACTCTACCCAGTGCCGGCTTTGGAAGATTTTCAGCCGAAATCCTCTCCAGGCACGAGTTTTGTGATTCCCCCCGCGGCCACGATGGCGTTCCACTGGTGCGACAACAACCTGCACACCACCGTGTTCACGCCGCGCGACTTCCAGGTGGAGCTGCTGGCGGCCGCCTACGAGCGGAACACGATAATCTGCCTGGGCCACCGCAGCTCCAAGGAGTTCATAGCGCTCAAGCTGCTCCAGGAGCTCTCGCGGCGCGGACGCCAGCGTGGTCGGGTCAGTGTCTACCTGAGCTGCGAGGTGGGTGGGAGCGAGGAGCCGTGCTCCATCTACACCATGCTCACCCATTTGACCGATCTGCGGGTGTGGCAGGAGCAGCCGGACAGGCAGGTGCCCTTTGATCACTCCTGGACGGACTACCACGTGTCCATCCTGCAGCCGGAGGAATTCCTCAGCCTGCTGAAGGGTCGGTATCTTCTCCTCAGCGACGTGGAGCTGATTGTGCTGGAGGATTGCCACGATAGTGCGGTTTATCAAAGGATTATGCCGATCTTTGAAAAGCACATTTTGCCCGCTAAACCGGCGGACAGACCGCGAATCCTGGGACTCGCAGGACCGCTGCATAGCGCCGGTTGCGAGCTGCAGCAGCTGAGCGCCATGCTGGCCACTCTGGAGCGGAATGTGCTCTGCCGGATCGAAACGGCCAGCGATATTGTGACCGTGCTGCGCTACTGTTCCCGCCCGCACGAGTACATCGTCCAGTGCGCCCCCTTCGAGCTGGACGAGCTGTCTCTGGTGCTCGCGGATGTCCTCAACACCCACAAGTCCTTCCTGATGGACCACCGCTACGATCCCTTCGAGATCTACGGCACGGATCAGTTTATGGACGAGCTGAAGGGTGAGTTCTTCGAAATAATGTAATTTAAATTATTGAGTAATCCCCTTTACCTACCCCTAGACATTCCCGATCCCAAGGTGGACCCGCTGAACGTCATCGACTCGCTTCTGGCCGTCCTGCACGAGATGGGTCCCTGGTGCACCCAGCGGGCTGCCCACCACTTTTACCAGTGCAACGAGAAGCTCAAGGTGAAGACGCCGCACGAGCGGCACTACCTGCTCTACTGCCTGGTCAGCACGGCCCTCATCCAGCTGCACACGCTCTGCGATCAGGCCTTCCAGCGGCATCAGGGCGCCGACTCTCGCCAGACCATCGAACGCTACTCCAGTCCCAAGGTGCGGCGTCTGCTGCAGACTCTGCGCTGCTTTAAGCCCGAGGAGGTGCACACCCAGGCGGACGGATTGCGCAAGATGCGCCACCAGGTGGATCAGGCGGACTTTAACCGACTGTCGCAGGCGCTGGAGAACAAGTGCCGGGTGGTGGACCAACTGGAGCAGCAGCCAACGGAAACGCGAGCCCTGGTGGCCAATCTCGAGCAGATTCTGCACGCGTCAGAGGAGAAGCAGCCTGTCAAGAGCACCGCTCGCGTTGCCCCAGCTCCTCCTCCTGCTGCGGTGAAAACTAAACCAGGAGGCAGCGGTTCCCAACCACGACCCCGTAGAAGAGTCTACACCCGGCGACATCACCGGGATCAACACGATGGCAGCGACACTCTCTGCGCGCTGATCTACTGCAACCAGAACCATACGGCGCGCGTGCTCTTCGAGTTGCTGGCCGAGATTAGCAGGCGTGACCCGGATCTCAAGTTTCTGCGCTGCCAGTACACCACGGACCGGGTGGCTGATCCCGCCACGGAGCCGAAAGAGGCCGAACTGGAGCACCGGCGGCAGGAGGAGGTGCTCAAGCGATTCCGCATGCACGACTGCAATGTGCTGATTGGAACTTCCGTGTTGGAAGAGGGCATCGATGTGCCCAAGTGCAATTTGGTTGTGCGCTGGGATCCACCCACCACTTATCGGAGCTATGTTCAGTGCAAGGGTAGAGCTAGAGCAGCTCCTGCCTACCACGTTATCCTGGTGGCGCCCAGTTACGAAAGTCCTGCTGGGAATGCAGCTGTGCAGCTGAGCGATCGAAGTCATCGCTTCATTTGCGGCGCATCAGGAGGGGGGGACACTACAGAGGCGGACAGCGATTCGGATGACTCGGCGATGCCGAATTCATGCGGCTCGGATCCCTATACCTTTGGCACGGCCCGCGGAACGGTGAAGATCCTCAATCCCGAGGTGTTTAGCAAACAGCCGCCGACGGCCTGCGACATCAAGCTGCAGGAGATCCAGGATGAAGCGCCGCCGGTCACAGCCTTTCTGGACACCAGCAACTCCAGCGACGAGGCCGTCAGCATGAGCAACACTTCTCCCAGCGAAAGCAGCACAGAACGAAAGTCCAGGCGCTTCCAGTGCGAACTTGGAGCGCCGCCAACCGAGGAAACAGGGGAAGCAACTGATCCCTCTCCCGAAATCATCACAGTTGATCGTTTGCAAAGCACCACCAAGGAGTTGGTGCATCAAATGGCCCAGTATCGCGAGATCGAGCAGATGCTTCTTTCCAAGTGCGCCAACACAGAGCCGCCGGAGGAGGAACAAAGCGAGGCGGAGCGTTTTAGCCCTTGCCTGGCCGCCTATCGACCCAAGCCGCACCTCCTGACCGGCGCCTCCGTGGATCTGGGCACCGCCATAGCCCTGGTCAACAAGTACTGCGCTCGCCTGCCCAGCGACACCTTCACCAAGCTGACCGCCTTGTGGCGCTGCACGCGGAGCGAAAGAGCTGGAGTTACCTTGTTTCAGTACACACTCCGGCTGCCCATCAACTCGCCCTTGAAGCATGACATTGTGGTAAGATAGAAACATCAATACAGAACTTAATTCCGTTTTGTAATAATTACACCTCGGTTTTTGCATATTTTTATAGGATAAAGATAGATCAATAGATAAAAATATAGTTTAAAATTAATGGCATATTTTTTATTTTTAGCATATTTGCATAAAATGCAAATGGATAAAATATGAAAAATATATCGAAAATATGCTAAATATATGCAAATTTACTTTTGATCCTTAAAGACTCTTATCTTTAGCTAAAATCAAACTCAAAATGCTATAAAATTGAGAGCAAAATGTTCTGAAAAACAGAACTATGAACTTATTTGATTTAAAAATGTTCTTGAATTAAGGGCAAAATCAACTTGAAAATGGAACGAAATGAACTTTACTTAACACCATTTCGTTTTGATGTTGAGAACATTCGACTCGAAATGAGAACATTTGTGCTTACCCGGTTTTTAAGACCGAATGTTCTTAATTTGAGTGCAATGTTCTTGGTTTTTTTTCTACGTGTAGTAATAATCTTCTTTTCCTTAGGGCCTTCCGATGCCCACGCAGACCTTGGCCCGCCGACTGGCTGCCTTGCAGGCCTGTGTGGAGCTGCACAGGATCGGCGAGCTAGACGATCAGCTGCAGCCCATTGGCAAGGAGGGATTCCGCGCCCTGGAGCCCGACTGGGAGTGCTTCGATCTCGAGCCGGAGGACGAGCAGATCGTGCAGCTAAGCGATGAACCTCGACCAGGAACAACAAAGCGGCGTCAGTACTACTACAAACGCATTGCCTCCGAGTTCTGCGACTGCCGTCCGGTGGCCGGCGCACCCTGCTATCTGTACTTCATCCAGCTGACGCTCCAGTGTCCCATTCCCGAGGAGCAGAATACGAGGGGCCGGAAAATATACCCACCCGAAGATGCCCAGCAGGGATTTGGCATTCTGACCACCAAACGCATACCCAAACTAAGCGCTTTCTCGATATTCACACGCTCCGGCGAGGTGAAGGTTTCCCTGGAGTTGGCCAAGGAGCGAGTGGTCCTCACGAGCGAACAGATTGTCTGCATCAACGGATTCTTGAACTACACATTCACCAATGTGCTGCGACTGCAAAAGTTCCTCATGCTCTTCGATCCGGACTCCACGGAGAACTGTGTCTTCATTGTGCCCACGCTGAAGGCGCCGACGGCGGGCGGCAAGCACATCGACTGGAAGTTCCTGGAGCTCATCCAGGCCAATGGGAATACCATGCCGAAAGCAGTGCCCGATGAGCAGCGGCAGGCGCAGGCGTTCGATGCCCAACGCTTCCAGGATGCCGTCGTGATGCCCTGGTATCGCAACCAGGATCAACCGCAGTACTTCTACGTGGCCGAGATCTGCCCGCATCTCTCGCCACTCAGCTGCTTTCCCGGCGACAACTACCGCACGTTCAAGCACTACTATCTGGTGAAGTACGGCCTGACAATACAGAATGCCTCGCAGCCGCTTTTGGATGTGGATCACACGAGTGCTCGCTTGAACTTCCTAACGCCGAGGTACGTGAATCGCAAGGGCGTGGCTCTGCCCACCAGTTCGGAGGAGACGAAGCGGGCCAAGCGCGAGAATCTCGAGCAGAAACAGATCCTCGTGCCGGAGCTGTGCACCGTTCACCCGTTTCCCGCCTCCCTGTGGCGAACTGCGGTGTGCCTGCCCTGCATTCTGTACCGCATCAACGGGCTTCTCCTGGCCGACGACATTCGCAAGCAGGTTTCTGCGGATCTCGGCCTGGGCAGGCAGCAGATCGAGGAGGATCAGTTCGAGTGGCCCATGCTGGACTTTGGCTGGAGCTTATCGGAAGTGCTGAAGAAATCGCGCGAGTCCAAGCAAAAGGATTCGCTCAAGGAGGTTTTGGTCAATGGCAAGGATGCCAGTGAAGTTCAAAAGGAGGCGGTAAAGGAAAAGACCGAACTGGATGAGGATTCCAAAGCTGATAAAGTGGAGAAGAGTGCCATTGAACTTATTATTGAGGGCGAAGAGAAGCTTCAAGAGGCGGATGACTTCATTGAGATAGGCACTTGGTCAAACGACATGGCCGACGACATAGCCTCTTTCAACCAAGAAGACGAAGACGAGGATGAGGCCTTTCACCTGCCAGTTCTGCCTGCCAACGTTAAGTTTTGTAAGTTTTTCTTATAACCTTAAGAAAGTAATTAAAATAATATCGATCAAATCTTGCAGGTGATCAGCAGACCCGCTATGGATCGCCCACTTTTTGGGACGTGAGCAATGGAGAGGGTGGCTTCAAGGCGGCGAAACACAGCCAGCAGCAGCAGGGTGGCAAGAGCAAAGGAAAGGGTCCAGCCAAGCCCGCTTTCAACTATTACGACTCGGACAATTCGCTGGGCTCCAGCTACGATGATGATGACAACGCAGGACCACTGAATTACATGCATCACAACTACAGTTCGGATGACGACGATGTGGCCGATGACATCGATGCGGGACGCATTGCTTTCACCTCGAAGAACGAGGCGGAGACTATAGAAACCGCTCAGGAGGTGGAAAAGCGCCAGAAACAGCTGTCCATCATCCAGGCGACAAATGCCAACGAGCGGCAGTATCAGCAGACCAAGAATCTGCTGATTGGTTTTAATTTCGAGAAGGAAGAGGACGGACTACCCAGCGGAAAGTACGAACAGTCTATAGCTAAACTTAAGACTGAGATAGAAAGCTGCGGAATGTTGGTGCCCCACGACCAGCAGTTGATCCTCAAACGAACCGATTCCGCTGAAGCTCAGGTAGCCAAGGATTCGATGATGGAGCTGTTGAAGCAGCTGCTGCCATATGTAAACGAGGAGCTCCTGGCCGAAAAGCTGGGTGACAGGCGAGAGCTGCTGCTGTCGGATTTAGTGGAGCTGAATGCGGATTGGGTGTCGCGGCATGAGGAGGAGACCTATAGCGTCCTCGGATGCGGAGATAGTTTTGACAACTACAACGATCATCATCGCTTGGACTTGGATGAAAAGCAGCTAAAACTGCAGTTCGATCGAGAAGAAATTCGGCCACCCACTCCCAAGAAAGCCATATCATCATCCATGCTGCCGGCTGGTTTCAGCTTCGATCGTCAGCCGAATCTGGTGGGCCATCCGGGACCCAGTCCCAGTATCATCCTGCAGGCCCTCACCATGTCCAATGCCAACGATGGCATTAATCTGGAGCGCCTCGAGACCATCGGAGATTCGTTTCTCAAGTATGCCATTACCACCTATCTGTACATCACCTACGAGAACGTGCACGAGGGAAAGCTTAGCCACCTGCGCTCCAAGCAGGTGGCCAACCTGAATCTCTATCGCCTGGGAAGGCGCAAGCGACTGGGCGAGTACATGATAGCCACAAAGTTTGAGCCGCATGACAACTGGCTGCCACCCTGCTACTATGTGCCCAAGGAGCTGGAAAAGGCGCTGATCGAGGCGAAGATACCCACGCACCACTGGAAGCTGGCCGATCTGCTGGACATCAAAAATTTGAGCAGCGTGCAGATCTGCGAGATGGTCCGCGAAAAAGCCGAAGCTTTGGGCTTGGAGAAGAATGGAGGTGCCGGCCAGAATGGCCAGCTGGACGACTCGAATGAAAGCTGCAATGATTTCAGCTGCTTCATTCCGTACAACCTCGTTTCGCAGCACAGCATTCCGGATAAGTCCATAGCCGATTGCGTTGAGGCGCTGATTGGAGCCTATCTCATTGAATGCGGACCTCGGGGAGCCCTGCTCTTCATGGCCTGGCTAGGAGTAAGGGTGCTGCCCTTTACCAAGCAGCTGGAGGCGGCGAGCGAGGAGGAGCGAGTACCGGGAAGCACTAGGCCAAACGGCGAGAAAATGGTTACCGTTTACGGCGCCTGGCCAACGCCACGAAGTCCCCTGCTGCACTTTGCACCCAACGCCTCGGAGGAACTGAACCAACTACTCAGTGGCTTTGAGGAGTTCGAGGAGAGTCTGGGCTATCAGTTCCGGGATCGGTCCTACCTACTGCAAGCCATGACACATGCCAGTTATACTCCTAATCGACTGACGGATTGCTACCAGCGGCTGGAGTTCCTGGGCGACGCTGTGCTGGATTACCTTATCACGCGGCATTTATACGAAGATCCCCGCCAGCATTCGCCAGGCGCTTTGACGGATTTGCGTTCAGCGCTGGTGAATAACACAATTTTCGCCTCTCTCGCCGTTCGCCATGGATTCCACAAGTTCTTCCGACATTTGTCGCCTGGTCTTAACGATGTCATCGATCGCTTCGTGAGAATCCAGCAGGAAAATGGTCACAGCATTAGTGAGGAGGTTGGTTATAGTTGTTAGAGCCCTGCATGAATGGATTCAATGAATTATTGTGAATTTTTTGTTCTATATGAATGAATTAATTAGAATTTTGAGTTTAATAGAATTGAATTTGAATTTTTAGTTAAATTCCGAAATAATTAAAACGACAATTTCTTTAGAAGAAGAAAGGTCCATAATTTTGTGATTACATCTGCCAAAATTTTATTTACTATGCAGTTAACATTGATTTGTTAAAAATTTTCCACTTTTTGTTCTCAAAACAAATCTGGAAAATTTAAAAAATTTATAAAAATTATTCATTCGTTCATTCAATTCAAAATGAGTTAGAAAAACATTCAATTTATTTCACTTAGAATTGAATTGAATTAAACAAATCAAAAATTTCATGGCATACTACGATAAAACAGCTCAATTAGTTATATCTACTACATAATTCATTATCTAATTGGTTTTTGGCTTTGTTTCAGTACTACTTGCTGTCCGAGGAGGAGTGCGACGATGCGGAGGACGTTGAGGTGCCCAAGGCTTTGGGCGATGTTTTCGAGTCGATTGCAGGTGCAATTTTCCTAGACTCCAACATGTCGCTGGATGTGGTGTGGCACGTGTACAGCAACATGATGAGCCCGGAGATAGAACAGTTTAGCAACTCAGTGCCAAAGTCGCCCATACGGGAGCTGCTCGAGCTGGAACCGGAGACAGCCAAGTTCGGGAAGCCCGAGAAGCTGGCGGATGGGCGGCGGGTGCGCGTTACCGTGGATGTCTTCTGCAAAGGAACCTTCCGTGGCATCGGGCGCAACTATCGCATTGCCAAGTGCACGGCGGCCAAATGCGCTCTGCGCCAGCTCAAAAAGCAAGGCCTAATAGCCAAAAAAGACTAAAGAGTCATCGCTGCAATTGTGTTTCACTAGAATTAATTATATCTTTTTAGATTTAAGAACAAATTTTGTATAAACTCTGAATAAATTGTATATGTCGAATCAATGTGAAAATTAAGAGGTGATATTGAATCTGAAATTAGCTAACAAAAAATCGAAGTAGATTAGATATAACCGCACTTCTAGAAGATAAACGTCACTGCGCTTTGAGCTTATCACGCATAGAATGGCAAACATTAACCGATCAGAATTTAGTGATAACTTGGCACTGTAGAAGATATGGCGGCGACAGTTGAGGAAGTTCCCTATGAAGAATTTAAAACGGGAGAGGTTAGTAGCAAACATTATAAGGAGGTTTTGATTAAAACACATGTCTGCTTTATAGGTGATTGGTTCAGGGTTTTTTGGCGTCGTATACAAAGCCAAGTGGAGGAATCTTGAGATTGCTGTTAAGAGAATTCTCCCGGGCCGTGAAGACAAGAAAATTGAAAGGGAGATTAACCATCTAGCCAGGGTCAACCATGAAAATATCGTTAAACTCTACGGAAGATCCAAACACGAGGACAGCTTTCTTTTGCTGATGGAATATGTAGATGGAGGATCTCTGTCCAGCTTTCTGCATGCGAACTCCAAGCCAAGTTATTCCCTTTCTCACGCCTTGAACTGGGCGCACCAGATCGCTGAGGTAATAGACTTGATAAGCGAAATGATGGAGCGCAATAATACTTAGGTGCTTTATAGGGGGTAGCTTATCTCCATGCCATGGAACCAAAAGTCATTCATCGCGATATCAAGCCACTCAATGCACTGCTTTGTCGAAAAGGGCTCAGTCTGAAGATCTGCGATTTTGGAACAGTTGTAGACCTATCCCAATCGATTTCTATAAATGCGGGAACAGCCAGATACAAAGCACCAGAGGTACATATGTGAACTTAAAACTATAATTTAGGTAAGTAACTAACTGAAACTTCTCAAAGGTCTTTAGAGGACTTCCCATCAATGAAAAGTGTGATGTGTACAGTTGGGCGATTACTTTTTGGGAAATACTATCGCGCAAGATTCCATTGGAACAATATAATGCGATTTTTGAATTAAGCATGGCTATTAATGCAGGCAAGCAATTGTGATAAGTAACAATAATTCTCCTCATTCTAAGCTAAATATTATTAATGCAGGTGAGACACCAAAGATTAGTGATATTATGGCTGGCTGTCCCGAGGATGTAGTTAGTGTAATAACCGCTTGTTGGGACAAAAATCCGCAGAGAAGACATTCAATGGCACTGGTTGCTTATATCATTAAGAAATTCGTTAGTGAAGCTGGTCCCCTCCAGCCAATTCAATATTAATAAACAGATATCTGTGTGAACGTTAAACACTATTTTATTTTCTTGAAAACTCTCCTGAAATATTTACATTGTATGGGTTACTGTATGGATTACGCGGATCGGGAGGAGTGGGTTAAGTGATTTGGATTGGGATTGCGCCAAATACTCAATTCATGGTTACATCCAGTGAACTGCTGTTCAATTTGCATTTCAAATACATAGTTTGTTAGTTTCGTTAGCTGCGGGTATAGGTATGCATATAGGGAATTTATAAAATATGATCTAGGCATATGTTTTACAGTATATGGATCACTAGCAATACGTTTGATAATTTTACTTATTCTCTTGATTCATTTTTTGTTATCTATCGAATGTAAATTTAAAAAATTAAATGTTAAAACGTTTTAATAAATATATTCATATGTGTTTGTATATATATTTTGCTTGCTTGTTAAAACAAAATGATCCTCGCTCATGTGTTGGTTAGTTACACATTGGAAAACTGTAACGTTTCGTAGAGTTTCGTTTTGGAGTATAATTGTTTCGTTAATTATAGGTTTGCTTTTGTTTTTCTTTTGGTTTTTAATAAATGTTACATACTTTAAACTTATATATATAACTATATATAAACATGCGTGTATGCAAGCATAGTTTAATTAATTCAATTGGTTTGGTATAATTGTTGTCTTTATACTCGCTATAATTGTTTTCGTTTCGTCTTTTTTTTCACCGCACGTTCCTGCCTACGATTTGTTCAATGTCTTCATATATATGTATATATGGATGTTCAAGCATATATATTTCCCTTTGTATTGTTGTAATTTAGGTCGCATTCAATTTTGGTTGCATTTGCTTTACTTAATTTCGGCGTGTAATCAAAATGTTAGCAATAAAATGAAGAAACGAATTAAACTTAAAATAAGCGAGATGATGATTTTATTGCGAGATTGAATGATCGAATTTCGAATGATTTACTGATGGGATAACAACTCCGAAGATATCATTGAATTATAGAAAAGGATGGATTACTTATAGTTGTTGCGATATCGCCAATGCTCATACCTTATGCTGGTTTTCTAAATTAAGAAACTTATTAATTAAGAAAAAAAACTTAAGCTATCCAAGGTTTAAAATAAAATAATGTCTTAAAGTGTTAACAAAAGGTGTCATAAACGTTTTATTGTTGTCATTTGCATGTGATATGTTTTCGAGTACGATAAGAACACAAATATCAATAAATTATTAAAGAATAGGTGGTTACAAGAGATACTGTTACAAAAAACGAATGAATACACTTAAGAGTCGACTTAAACAATAACTGAACGGATAGGGGACATTCGAGTACGAATTGAGTACTGGACAAGTGGGTTAAACTATTTTACAAAAGGTAAAAGAGCAACACATATTCGAGTACAATGGGTGTTAGTCGCACAATACACTGGGACAAACACATAATTCATAATATTCGAGACGGATTTATAGAGCACAAAATAGAAATATTTTGAAAGCGTAATCGGCATGAAACGTTGACAATGACAATGGCTTAATTATGTCGTGGTTACCTAGTCTCTCGATTACGTACACATAAAAATTCTAATTTGGATTCTGCTCACGATTAGGTTTGAGATACATGGGGAGTACATTGCTATGTATATGTAGCTGAGTATGAGTACAATATTGTAGGATTCTAGTTTCAACTGCCGCTTGCTCTCAGTTTTCTACGAAAAAGCAAGCTCTACAAGTCGTTTACAATGTTGTGGAACTCATTGGGCATGCAATTGTAAATATGTTGAGGGGTTCGGTTAATGCGATTAGCTTTCAGAATTCCTAGACGTACATATGTGACTGACTACATGATAGATGTGGGTCGTGTGTTTGTGGCTTGTCTACGATTACCTTTCGAAACGAACACAAAATAAACTCAAACTCATTGGGGAAACCTCATCTAAACAAATGCCAAGTACTATGAGATGGTACATAAGTGGGTGGGGTGGCTGATGGCTACGGATTTTTGGTTTGAAATGGTCATGATATACACAATCATAATTATAACACATTCGTTTAGCTGCAAATTGCTTCTGTTCTTGAGTCTGATTTAAATCGAAATCTATGTGTCTGTGTGTGTTGTTGTTGTTGGTTGGTTGCTATATACTTAGTCTACAGAACGACGTCAGGCAGGTCGTGCGGCCTTGCCTAGGCGCGCATTTGGTTTTCATGTACGATTTTCCTCTCCTTATAGTAGATCTCCTCCGACTCCTTGTCGCAGAGCAGCAGGACGACGGCTCCGAAAAGGAAGATGGCCGCTCCCCAGCCGACGCCATAGGCCCAGCCGAATTCCCAGACTCGCCGATTGGCTAAAATATTAAAATATATTAGATATAAGTTAAGAGATTGTTCTAAGAAGATTGTGGTAGCCATACCCATGGTTAGTTCACCGGCAAAGCACACTGGATACACGATCAAGGCGGACAGCACGGCCAACACTGCAATATAAATTAATCGTTACTATTTGCAGCATTTATAAATCTGTATAGTTACTTACAGGACACGAGCATCACCAACACCGCTATACGATAGAACTTATATTTTAGATTGTGGTTCTGCGTCCTCAGGCCCATCCCTGTCAGTACTGTGGCAATAACGTCCGTTATCAGCGTGATAATGCAAAGGGCGGCAGTGGCCTTGATATAGCCTTTGGGATAATAAAAGTTGGGTTGAGTTAGTATAATGCCATAGAAGAAAATTCGTTTAAATACGATTATTTCAGCTAGTACTAGGTTCTTTCTACCTTATTTCATATCTATAAAAAGCCGATATGATTTATGTCAAATTTATGATTCAAACACATCAACATGATATTTTATCATATCATAAAAAATACCAAATGTATTATTTTTTGAGCAAATAATATAAAAAAGATTAACATAATCTTTATTCATATCAAAATGATATGAATAACTTGATCTTTAAAAAATATCAAATTTTCTGTGTAACAAACCAACTAATAAACAACTTCTTATCGCTTTAATACATACCCACATCGCGGGTCCAGTAGCAACCTGGCGGATCCTGGATGTTAAAAGGCAGCGGCGCCACCGAATCATCCTCGATGCAGTGCACAAAGAGGCCTTGCCGCCAGTCGGAGGCCATCAGCCAATCTGTGGAAGCCAGGGCCATGATCATCAGGGCCACCACGATGACGCCGCAGATAAATGCAATCACCTGTGGGGGCAGAAAGATCTGTTAATCAATCCAACACTTTAAGCCAAGTGCATACCTTCAGCGGCCTCGTGATTGTGATGGTCTCAATCGTGGTTGTTGGCGCCATTTTCTCCGCTGGTGGACGTAGAACACTGAATACACGATAATTATTATTAATTACGGGGGAGGAATATTTTATTTATCAGCTTTCCAGGCCAGTCAAACTCACCTTATCGACTATATGCAGGCAAAGTGCTGCCCGCAGCTACTAATTGGAATGCGTTTCAATGCGTTTCTTGGTTAGTTTTGCTTAATGGGATGTTGGAAGGGTTTTTTTCTTTTTTTTTTCGGGGGCGATTAAATGCTACGCCGGTTGGCTTTAACAATCTAATATAAATGCTTCAATTGGCGTTTTATTGCTTTTGGTTTGCGCGCTGAGGTTTTTCCAATGCGTTTCGAATTTCAAATTGCTGGCGGAAGCAGCCCGTTCAACATCTGTATTACGAGAGGTGGGATCGTTTGTTAGCGGGGCAGGAAATAGAGAAATTGGTGACATTCGATTAGAGCGACTGGCGCGCAATGTTCGTACAACATGTGTGTTTACATCAAGGCAGTTAAGGAAGCAGCAGCAACATGCAAAAACAACTCGAGCAACAACATCGACAAAGACAATGGCTAACTATTAAGGGTTTATGGGTATCTATCCAAACCAATCTGCGGCTACTGGGCTATTGAGCGTACAACATGGTTAATACCAATCTGTCCAATTATAAAATATACATTAAATTCACATAGATCTCTAGCAGTTTTTTTTTCAGTATACATTGCACATATAAACGGAAATTCAGACTTAAAAATTCAATTTTTTTTAACCCATACAATTTTTTTTTAATTTGTTTGGAAAACCTTTCAGAAAAAGCTATATTACTTTTTCCTCAATTGTAGGAATCAATGTATGTCATGGATTAACTGTCGCAATTTGCAAAACAATGCGTCGCCACAGTTGAATGAGTTTGGATTGTTAAAATTAAAATCGCTCTATTGTGACAGACGGAATCGCGTCGGAATATTTGAGTCTGTGAAGGGGGAAGCCCGAATGACAAAAGACGGAAGCTGGGGCGCTGAGGTGCAGCCCCCACATAAATTATGCTGCGAGGCAACTGCAACTAGGCAATTTCAATGCTGGAAATACAGACGGGCTGATTATCCCTTCGCATTCCATTGTTATACTCTAGCTAAGGAAGGTATCATATGATTTTTTTTAGGTATCAGCATCTTGATTAGCATTATCATCTATCGGTTATTGCCATTTATTTTTATACCCTTGTAGAGGGTATTATAATTTCAGTCAGATGTTTGCAACGCAGTGAAGGAGACGTTTCCGACCACATAAAGTATATATATTCTTGATCAGCACCAATAGCCGAGTCTATCTAGCCATGTCCGTCTGTCCGTCTGTCCGTCTGTCCGTCTGTCCGTTTCTATGCGAACTAGTCTCTCAGTTTTAAAGCTATCGCGATGAAACTTTCCCGAAGGTCTTCTTTCTATTGCAGGTAGTACATATGTCGGAGCCAGCCGGATCGGACCACTATATCTTAAGGCTCCCAATCACATATAAGAAAATTCATTGTAACTTTGTAGGAAGTAGGCGTTTTGATTCTTGACTACTTAAAAACAAAATTGAAATAAATCAAAACGCTGAATCTGGAATCCCTGGAACTGCACCGAGTGAGTATTCTTTTATCTACAAGGGTATATAAGCTTCGGCTGGCCGAAGGTAGCTTCCTTTCTTGTTTCATCTTGAAAACTATAGATTTGATAGTTTCGAAATATTTTTGTATAATCAAGATTCCGACTGGTTTTTGTGATTAAATATAATTATTTTAAAAAAGTGGTTATAGAATCTGTAAATCTGAGAATAATTCGACCATTATATCATACAGCTGATATAGTACAGATCGGTCCCAATTGCTTTCAAAGCAAATAAATAAGGATATACAAGTTTTAAACGATTTTAGAATGACATTACAAATTTTCATAAAAATCAACCTATTTTGTTATTTAGACAAAAGTGTGTATAATCTTCGCCATGCCGAAATCGCACGTTTCCCCTAATTTTCACGTTTCCTTGCCAATTTTTAATATCTTCAAGATGCAGATACGCGAACTGAGATACGTTTATATCTGTGTACATACAAACGAGCATATGTACGAAGCGTCTGGCAAATCTTGAGATATTTCGAGGGGCCAGACGGAGATGATATTAGTCTTATTTATAGCGGCTAGAAATTGTTCAATAAAAACAACAACAACTAAATTTCGCAGATGAGCGAGTACGGACTTTGTGTGCTGGTATGTGTGCGGGTGTGTGGGTGAGTGGCATGGCAACAGGATCATAACGGTTAATTGCTATATAGAACGTAACGGTAACGGCAGGCAAAATTGGGGCAAACGGCCAAATGCAAAACAACAACAATGACAAGGGCGAGGGTATTTCTAAAACTGTATGTGGGTGTGTGTTTGTATGCTTGTGTATGTTTTGGGGGAGAACGGAAGCAAAACAAAATGCGAGTTGTTTAAGTTCAGGAATATACCTTTCCTTGTAATAGTCCAGAGTAACCGATTCGGAATCAAATTCTGAATAATCTGGCAGCGACTCGGCATCAAAGGAGCTCATTCCGCTGAGCGTGTAATTGGGCAAGACGTTCATTTTGTTGTTGTAGCCAGCAAGGTTGCCTTGCTGCTGCTGTTGTTGTTGTTGTTGCTGCTGCTGGTGGTGCTGCATTGTTGTTTTTCTCTTTTCTACGTTTGTTTTTCTACGCTTTTAACAATATGTCACAAGCACACGCACACACACACGCCCACGAAACTGACTGATTTTTCTCTATTCTCTTTTCGCTGCCTTTTCACACTTTGCACTTTCGCCAAATTGTTGTTCGCTCTTCGTATCCACCTGTGCACTTACAATCTGCTCGAAAAGCTCTGTCGCTTTTCCACTTTCACATGATCCTCGGCCACTTTTCTATATAATCAAAAAATAAAAACGAAAAGATAATGTTTTGCTTCATAGAGCTGGAACTTAGAGATGCGAAGACATCGATGTCACTATCGATAGGTAGTATACTTTATACGATGCACGATTATTTCCACTTCCAAGTTGGGAAAAAAATGAATATAAAAAGAGTTCATAAAGCAGAAAATATATTTTGAAACCTCTAGAATGTTTTTAAATAGGTTCAACTTTTAAATGTTTGAATAATGGGTATATTTGACATAGTAGCGGCTGTGTGAAGAAGTTGTTATGAATTGATGTTCTACTATCGACGGATCTCAAAGATATATATAGATACAAAAATGTTGTTAATTCTATTTTAATACTTAATTTAACCCCTAGTTTATCATTATAGTTGACCCATAAACTTTATATCCGATATATATCGCGAGCGGCAAAATCAAATGCCCATGCATCGCGGGACAATAAATCCCGAAAAGCAGTATGACCGTTTGCCTCAGTACGAAATCGTAAGAAATCGGCGTCGCGTGGCTTGGACAGATTATCGAACAAAACAATATCCAACCACAATCCGTGCTCCCGTTTCCAGCCCAAAGAGTCCGCGGTGGACCCGAGGAAACCATGGCCACGGACACGGTGTCCAACGGCGAGAACTTCGCCCAGCACTTGACCGGCAGCGGCGGCGGCAGCGACGACGACGTGATCTGTCCCACATGCGACGTGAAGATCAAGCGCAGTCAGGTGGCCGATCACTGCCAGGTGGAGATGGAGCGGCTGCACCATCCCATTAGCGTTGCGCAGCCGCCGGCCCAGCCTGCCGGATCAACTGCATCATCGGGATCCGGGGGCAGACAGCCGTGGAGCGTTTTCCAGCGGGTGCAGCGCAATCGGCAGGCCCGTCAGCGCCAGCGCACCAGGAAGCGTCCAGCCTCTCCCGCAGCAGCAGCAGCAGCTCCTAGTCCTGCTCCGCCGCCTGCTCCTCCTGCTGCCGCAGCTCCGCCAGAAGCCAGTCAACCCACCTGCCCCGTGTGCAACCACAACTTTCCGCAGTCCAGCATTCAGGAGCATGTCAATCAGTGCCTGCGCCGGAATGGCCAGGCGAATGGGGAGCGGCACTCCAGCGACGAGTCGGAGGACAGCGAGGAGTACGAGGAGTACGAGTGGGCGGGACAGAAGCGCATCCGCGTGTCCACGCTCGTTCAGGGAGGCTACTCCGCCTTGGGCCTGGGCCAGACCATCAAGTACAATGGCAGCCAGCAGGCGCAGGAGGACGAGGACGAGGATCTCAATGTGGACGAGGATGACACGCACATCTACGGGCCGACGCAGTACGGCGAGGGCGATGTCATTCCGCTGGTCAACGAGGATACGGAGGGCAATGTTTCCGAGGCGGATGTGACCAGCTATGTGCGACGCCTAATCTCCTCGAGCGACGGGCCCAAGGCTAATCATTCCAACGAAGCCACCGAACAAGAGACTACTGTAGAGGCGGCGCCACCAGCCAGGGAGGAGCCGTCCACGTCGCGGTCCACGCGTTCCGCCTCCCAGAACCAGCAGCAGGTCATCGAGTCGCTGAAGGCCAAGCTGCGGCTCTACGAGAAGCAGGCGCAGGGCAAGTACAAGTGCCTGATCTGCATCGATGACTACAAGAATCCCGCCATCTCCGTCTCCTGCTGGCACGTCCACTGCGAGCAGTGCTGGCTGCAGACCCTGGGCGCCCGCAAGCTGTGCCCGCAGTGCAATTCGATCACCACGCCGAAGGACCTGCGACGCATCTACCTGTAGGCGACTCGTTGTTATCCCCGCTGCTGCCAAAACGCTTGCTTTGCTCCCCACGCAGCTCTAGATGATAACCCTATACATATTATTTATATAGATAACAGATACCGACTACATTACGTGACATTACAATAAGCCTAACATGTAACTATTACAATAAACCACAGAAAAACATCAGTTAGTTGAGGATGGGGTAAGATCTATGGAAAAAGCGTTCAAAACAAAAGCTAAATATTGTATAATTTAAATTACCTAAAAAGAAGATCATTAATTTTTTTTATTTTATTATCAATTAAAATTAATTATAATTTTTGAATAAAGTTTTTTTTCTGTGTATCGTCTTGTTTTGATGGTCAGTTATCGATAACCAAAGAACAATTTCAAATTAGAGATGAGCTTGTGCTATTTTGTTTGTCGTGAGTAATACTTTTGAAATTGTTTATGTTTTTAAGTTTCCTGTGTAATAGTTCGTATAATAATCTAAATATCAAAAGAAAAGTTCAAAGGGTTTGCATAATATTAATCAAGTGAAACTTTTCCCAACTGGAATATCGTTTTGTTTTTTAAATGTCCCTCACGCGCTCATCCCTAATTCACTTTGCCTGGTTTTCTGTCCAATTTCGCCACCATGTCCGGCTCCGGTGGGATTTATCTCGGAATATCTGACCTATAAGCTAACTCTGTCTTTCCTGCAGGTGCCAATCCCTTTGCCCAGTTCCAGGAATCCTTCACCCAGGACGGCAGCGTCTACAAGTATTTCGATCTGCCCTCCATCGACAGCAAATATGGTGAGTAGTCGTCTTTATCATTATTGTTGTTATCTCTATTATTATTATTATTATTTTTACAGATTCCCTGCCCTTTTCCATTCGCGTTCTGCTGGAATCCGCGGTGCGCAACTGCGACAATTTCCATGTGCTGGAGAAGGATGTGCAGAGCATCCTGGGATGGACACCATCGCTGAAACAGGAAACCAGCGATGTGGAGGTCTCTTTTAAACCAGCGCGTGTGATATTGCAGGTTTGGATTGGCACATCAATCCTTAGATTCTTCTAAATAATTACCCCAACTTCAGGACTTTACTGGCGTTCCCGCCGTCGTGGATTTCGCCGCCATGCGGGATGCGGTCCGCGAACTAGGCGGCAATCCGGAGAAAATCAATCCCATCTGCCCCGCCGATCTGGTCATCGACCACTCCGTTCAGGTGGACTTTGTTCGCTCCTCGGACGCTTTGACCAAGAACGAATCGCTGGAGTTCCAGCGCAACAAGGAGCGCTTCACCTTCCTCAAATGGGGAGCCCGTGCCTTTGACAACATGCTGATTGTGCCACCCGGTTCCGGCATTGTTCACCAGGTCAATCTGGAGTACCTGGCCCGCGTGGTCTTCGAAAGCAACACCACCGATGGCTCGAAGATCCTGTATCCCGATAGCGTCGTTGGAACCGATTCCCACACCACCATGATCAATGGTTTGGGTGTTTTGGGCTGGGGCGTTGGCGGCATCGAGGCGGAGGCCGTGATGCTAGGCCAGTCCATCTCCATGCTGCTGCCCGAGGTGATTGGCTATCGGTTGGAGGGCAAACTGGGCCCTCTGGCCACCTCCACCGATCTCGTGCTGACCATTACCAAGCATCTGCGTCAGCTGGGCGTCGTCGGCAAGTTCGTGGAGTTTTATGGGCCCGGAGTGGCGGAGCTCAGCATCGCGGATCGCGCCACCATCAGCAACATGTGCCCGGAATACGGAGCCACGGTGGGCTACTTTCCAATCGACGAAAATACGCTGAGTTATATGCGGCAGACCAGTGGGTTTTACTTAGCTATTTGATGGTTTAACGGATATAATCATAGATTTCATTTAACAGATCGCTCTGAAAAGAAGATCGACATTATTCGGCAGTATCTAAAGGCCACTCGACAGCTGCGTGACTATGCCCTCGAGGATCAGGATCCCCAGTATACAGAGGTGTGTAGTATAATTATTTTGAATTTTTTGTTTTATATAAATGAATTAATTCGAATTTTCCGTTTATTAGAATTGAATGAATTTGAATTTTGAGTTTATTAGAATTGAGTGAATTTGAATTTTGAGTTTAATAGAATTGAATGAATGAATTGCATGAATTCTGTAATAATTCAAACGACAATTTCTTTAGAAGAAGAAAGGGCCATCATTTTGTGATTAAATCTGCCTGAATTTTATTTACTAAGCAGTTAACATTGATTTGTTAAAAATGTTCCACTTTTTGTTCATAAAATTCATAAAAATTATTCATTTATTCATTCAATTCGAAATGAATTAGAAAAACATTCAATTTATTTCACATAGAATTAAATTAAACCAGGGACCGTAAATAATCATTATTTGAGATTTTTATTTTAAAAGGCCTACTGAGGTTTATACAAGTTTTAATCAACAATTTAACTGGTTTTTATGCACTTTATAGACATGAACAAATAACAGTTAATTTGCTTTCCAAATTTGTTGAAATGCATATACTTTGTGGACAAGAGTAACAAGAACGTTATTTTTGACGTTTAAAACCAAATATCACAGTAGTCTTTTTAAAATAAAAATCTCAAATATTGATTATTTACGGTCCCTGAGTTAAACAAATCAGAAATTTCATGGCATACTATAATAAAACAAAAATTGAATTATTCACGAAGGGCTCTAGTTTAAATGAAGCAATCACTATCATAAGTTATTTCTATCCCTTGCAGTCCGTCACTCTGGATCTCTCAACCGTGGTCACCTCGGTTTCGGGCCCCAAGCGGCCGCATGATCGCGTCTCGGTCTCCAGCATGTGCGAGGACTTCAAGTCGTGCCTTACCAGCCCAGTGGGCTTCAAGGGATTCGCCGTACCGCCAAGTGCTCTAACTGCCAGTGGCGAGTTCCAGTGGGACGATGGAAAGAGCTATAGAATAGCTCATGGATCCGTGGTCATTGCGGCCATCACCTCCTGCACGAACACCTCGAATCCCTCGGTGATGCTGGGCGCCGGTCTGCTGGCCAAGAATGCCGTGGAGAAGGGCCTGAGCATTCGGCCTTATATCAAGACCTCTTTGTCTCCTGGTTCCGGGGTTGTTACCTACTACCTCCGCGAATCCGGCGTGATTCCCTACCTGGAGCAGCTGGGCTTCGATATTGTCGGCTATGGCTGCATGACCTGCATCGGCAACTCGGGGCCGCTGGACGAGAACGTGGTGAATACCATCGAGAAGAACGGACTGGTTTGCTGTGGCGTTCTGTCGGGTAACCGCAACTTCGAGGGTCGCATTCACCCGAATACCAGGGCCAATTATCTCGCCAGTCCGCTGCTGGTGATTGCCTACGCGATAGCCGGTCGAGTGGATATTGATTTCGAAATTGAGCCACTGGGAGTGGACGCCAACGGCAAGGATGTCTTCCTGCGCGACATTTGGCCCACGCGCAGCGAGATCCAGGAGGTGGAGCACAAGCACGTCATTCCCGCCATGTTTCAGGAGGTCTACAGTGAGTATTAAGCAGGATTCAGAAAATAACACACTCTGTAAAAAACTTGTGTTAATAACATGTTAAATTTCAAAGCGTTAAGTTCAAAAAAAGTTATTGATATGTGTGTAAAAAATTGTAGCTTACATATGTTATAAACATAAATAACACACACAGTTTATTTGAGTTATTTACACGACGTGTTATTAACACGACGTGTTTTTTGCACAACGTGTTTTTAACACAATGAGTTTTTGACATTAAAACGTCAGAAATACATGTTTTGAAACGGTTAAAAATAACTTTTAAGATATCCTGGCCCAACCTTGATTCTTTGTTTTTCCTTCGATTCGTTAATGACCTTAAATTGTAATTTTCATTTGTGTTAAAAACACAGTGTGTAAAAAAACGCCGTGCTAATAAAAAAAACTCGTGCTAATATAAAAAACACGTCAAAAACTTTGCTCACACTGTAAAATACAATTTTTCATGTTTTTAACATCTGTGTTAAATTCCGAACCCTGGTATTAAGGATTGGATTTTTGTACTTATGTATCCCCCATCCTTATAGGTAAAATCCAGCTGGGATCCAAGGACTGGCAGACTTTGGAGGTGTCCGATGGCAAGCTGTATCCCTGGAGTGGCGTATCCACCTACATCAAACGTCCCCCCTTCTTCGAGGGAATGACCCGGGAGCTGCCACAGCTGAAAAGCATCGAGAAGGCTCGCTGTCTGCTGCTGCTGGGCGATTCGGTGACCACCGATCACATCTCGCCAGCCGGTTCCATTGCCCGCAGGAGTCCTGCAGCGCGGTATTTATCAGAGCGCGGCCTCACTCCCCGTGATTTCAATTCGTACGGCTCCCGTCGTGGCAACGACGCTGTGATGGCGCGTGGAACCTTTGCCAACATTCGGCTGGTGAACAAACTGGCCTCCAAAACCGGACCCAACACGCTGCACGTGCCCAGTGGCGAGGAGATGGACATCTTCGATGCGGCGGAGCGGTATGCGGGCAAGGGAACACCGCTTGTCCTGGTCGTGGGCAAGGATTACGGCAGTGGAAGCTCGCGGGATTGGGCCGCCAAGGGGCCATTCCTGCTGGGCATCAAGGCGGTGATCGCCGAGTCGTACGAGCGCATTCATCGCTCCAATCTGGTGGGCATGGGCATCATTCCGCTGCAGTTCCTGCCGGGACAGAGCGCGGAATCCTTGAATCTGACTGGCAGGGAGCTCTACAACATTGCCCTGCCCGAGGGCGAACTGAAGCCGGGCCAGAGGATCCCAGTGGAGGCCGATGGCGTCGTCTTTGAGACCACCTTGCGCTTCGACACCGAGGTGGACATTACGTACTACAAGAACGGTGGCATTCTTAACTACATGATCCGCAAAATGCTGGATTAGTGATTTGTTAACTTCTATATTCCATGTGCATTTTTTACTGATGAATTTTTGTTATTGCGGTGTGATGGGAAATAAAGTTTGACGCATCATTGGTAAGATGATGAGTAATAAATCTTTCGACTAGTTTTGTTTATTTTTTACCAGAGACATTTATTAGAAAAAATCATTATTTAAAATTTTTATTATAAAAGTTTCAAAATAATTATAATTATCAATTTATAAAATATCAGTTTTTTAAAATAACAGTTATTTTCGGGCTTTGTTTTTTAAAATAGGTAAAAATAAATAAATCAAATTACACATTTTAAAATACGCGCTCTTTATTATATCGATAACATGCAATCGATAGTTTAAACTGCTTGCTTAAATCGTCATAACAGAAAACTGCTTTAAAAACATCGAAAAGATTAAGTTCGATAAATTCAACAATCGATTGGTCGCTGTTAGCTCGCTGTTAATTTAACATAAATTGCTGCTTCTTTTTGTCCGTCCCGTGGACTTTTCTCCAGAGGATTTTGATTCCAATTCGCAAGGAAAAACACAAATAAGGCAACAGATCGCGCGTGCGAAGACCCCTCTGCAGCCAGTGCGCGTTAGTTAGTTGAAAAAGCCGCGGAAAAACGCAACAACGCAGCAGGAAAGTCGCGCCTCCGCCGTCTCCGCCTCCCCACAGAAAATCACACGAAAAAAAAAAGATCTCGGGTCGCACAGGGTTTTTATTTTGGGCTCCGGTGGCCGTGCTACAAATCCGCCGACCCATATATACCATATAGAGAGTGCCCAGTGGCGTCGCGTCGCCTTGGATTATGTCATTTGTTTACGGGGAATTGCCGCAGGCCCAGTAGCCAATGTTGCATCCGAAAGAGGCAGCAGCGAAAACCTGTAAAAATGTAGACTGTGTGCGTGTGTGCGTGTGTGTGTGTGCGCGGATAATGGACGTTTAGTTTTTAGTTTTTAGTCGTGGCCCCAAAAGAGATATAGCGCAATAGATATAGCCAGCAGATTCAGAGAGAGATCCACCCAATGGCCACCTATAATCCGGGCGCCAGCAGCAGTGCCGCCGATGTGCTGAGCGCCACCAGCGGAACGGCCACCTTTCTGGTGCCCACCAGTGCAGCAGTTTCGCATCCGGGCGCGCATCCTGCCCAGCTGCAGCTGGACCAGTTTGGAGGCTTGCAGCAGCAGCACCACCATCACCACCAGCAGACCAACTCCTCGTACACCTTCGTGCAGATCAAGCGGGAGCCCTGCCAGGTGTCCGAGATCAGCTCCAACAATTGCCACCAGCAGCAGCAGCAGGTGCAGCACCAGGGCTTGTCCTCCGCCTCGCTGACCGCCTCCTCCAAGACCATGTCCTCCTCCACGCTAACCACGCTCGTTAAGATAGAGGCGCCCTCGCCGAAGGTCTCCGAGCTGGAAAAGTCCTCAGGTAGGTGACATCTAGACATATCCTCCTCCTCACCCGGTTAACTACACTATTCCAGCAGGCAACTCCGTGCCCATTGGCATCGCCGTGGCCAGGAAACGGCCGCAGGAAGCCCTGGTGCCGGCCATAAACACCCCCGCCACGATGCCCCTGCAGCCGCCACTCAACAAGGACATGAACTGCTTCGGCATACGCGTCGCTGACCTCGGTGAGTGCTACACAGAGAGAAAAAGGGAGGCGGTCTTATCTCAGTATCCTTAAAAGCATTTATTTTTGGATAAAAATGATTCGGAAAACTAAATACTGTATAAATCCCGAGACATCCGCCAGTTTTATAGGGATCTTTAACATTTAACATTTTAACATTTATTTTTAAGTTCCAGTAAGGAAATGTTTTGAAAACCTAAATAATTTATAAATCCCGAGAGATCCGCCTGATTCATAGGGTTTCTTTTGTAACATTTCTTTCTAAGTTCCAGTAAGGAAATGTTTCGAAAACCTAAATACTCTATAAATTCCGAGAGATCCGCAAGTTTTATAGGGTTTCTTTTGTAACATTTCTTTCTAAGTTCCAGTAAGAAAATGTTTCGGAAACCTAAATACTCTATAAATCCCGGGAGATCCACCAGTTTTATAGGGATTTTTTTGTAACATCCACATTGAATATTCTCCATTTTGGATATTCTCCGAAATTTCTAGAGCGATAAATAGAAAATCCGGTTTATCAATTTTGAACTTAATATTCTTTCGCTATTTTTGGTTTATTGCACCTAGATTGGAATGCTCTTCCGGCTTTATTTCGCTATCATTATGATATCATCATATGATATGATCTATAATGACATGTACATTTTCCAAAACTCATTATCATATTGCCTCAAACTTTCCCGCCGTGTACCTTCTGGGCATCTAATTCAATTGAGGCACCAGATTTGAGCGCCCCTAATGAACGAAGCGTTCGCGTTCCCAAGGGGCAACGTTATATGATGCTTATAATGCCAGGACGTGGACGTCGTTCAATTATGCCACTAATAAGATTGCCAGCAAACGCTGAACGTTGTGCGGAATTCCTTCAGTGAGTTGAGTGAAAGCCGAGGGTGTCGTCTCCGCCGTAAACACCCCGTCAGCTTTTCGAGAGTTGAGAGTTGAGAGGGCAGGAATCATATGATGGCCGCCTGTTGTGCGGCTGTCGTTGTTGTGACAGCCACCGAATCGAGAACGACTCTTCCCTTTTTCCTCCCTGGGAAAGGAGGGCAGGAGGAAACCGGTGGTAAATCATACGAACTTCTAAAGCGGAAATAAAGCGAAAGTGAAACACACTGCGATTGTAGAAGGGAGGCTTTGCCTTTGACTTTGGCCGACTTGGAACTGCTCTTCAGATGGGCACATTAAATATGTTTATGTACTCGGGGGTGTGTTGTGTGTAAACCCAGTCGAATTCTATTTTCCGGATTATTTTTGAAGCTTACTAATGGAGAAATAAGCAGCCATGACCGTCAACTTGATTATTTTACGATCTTTGAAATGAAAACTAGGGCTTCACTTTTGGATTATTAGGAAAATATTAACAGATGTTACATTTTTGAAATCAGTTCAATGATCACATTACAGAATTCATTACAGCTCTTTTTTGGGGACTTTAAATGGTTAAGTAAATGGAAAGTAGAGCTATTGTATAAATATTAGTCTTACTACAACATATAATAAAACCCTATAGAAATTTGTATAAGGTACATTGATTTATAAAAGTTTAAAGTTTGTTGGTAGGTAATTTGTAATTCAAAAATTTCCCACGTATTTCCCAGAAATCAACATTCAAAGCTGATAAAATAGAAATAAGGTGCCTTTGGGGGTTTTTATTTTCACTCCAATACACTTGCAATGCTGTTATAGAAAGCAATAGATTATTTTTGTGGAATTTTATTAAGATATCTAAAAGTACTACGCCTTAAAAAATCATATCTTCTCCACATTATATTTCTAATCTCTCAAAAATATGTTCACAAGCAAGAGCAAAGCGAGATATGTGTTTTTATATATGTATAACAAGAAATATAAAAAAACTTTCCCTTGATAACTTTTAGGTAGCTTTGCTGAGCTACTTTTGCGTTCTGGGAATTTAGCAATCAGGTTCTCGTACTTTTCCCTTTTCAAAGAACCTTTATAAAGCTGGCAAAAGTTGGCGGGTTCCACATGTTTCGTCAGTGAGCAGGGTATCACGCTCCACCGAAGCTTTGAAGCGGAGGCGGTGGAACATCGGAGAAGCGAATCTAAAGACAGATTACTCATGGACGGTGCACGGGTGGGTGTTTTTTCAGACAAGTTAGCGGTGGCTGTTGCTTAGAAGTAGTCAGGGATCTGAAGGGGAAGAGCAGCCACAAGGGATGCTCGAGTTCTAGCTCTGGATGCTTGACTGGTTTCGCGGGGATGTGAAACTACACACAAAAAAAAAACTATCTAAATTCAACATAGAAAAATAGTATCTCACAATTTTCTGAATTTTTCATGTTTTGTTATTTTATTTTTTGGGTCATGGAATAGTATTTAACAATTAAAATAGTAGAAAACCTATTTACGAAATATGCGGGTATTTTGTTGTTTTATTCATTTGGCAAATTAATAGTAATAGTAATTTGATTTGTAAGTTTAGGTATCTGTGAAATGTAAGTGTCTATAAATAACTTCCATTTAAATTATTATAACAAATTTAATAAAAAATAAAAATAGTTCAAAAAATAAATTTAAAAAAACAACAATTTTTTCGAGTAAAATACTATTTTGTAGGTCATCTATTTTTTTTATAGGTACTCTACTATTTTCTTTGACCATTTTCTATTTTTTATGGGTTGGGGCAGTTTTTACTATTAAATATTTGATATTACATAGTTTTTTTTTTGTGTGTAGAGGAAGCTGGGTACGACTTAACCGAGAAGAGTCGTCCTAAAACAGGACAACCTAGCAACATGACACGCCGAATTGGATTGGGTACACACGACCATATGGCAGAGTCTTTAGTTATTATTTTTTTCCCTTCCAAAGTCACAGGCTATTTATAAACGTTTGCTGGGTAGTTTCAGTTCCGCAGCCCGAAACAAATCACTTGTCAAAAGATGTAGCTCTAATTGCGTTTCGGAGATGGGACATTGTCATTCATTTCGTTTTGGGGGTGGTGTTCTGCTGGGCTTACCAATACTTCAGATCCCTTAATGTAATGCAATTACAGGGCATCACGTTCGGTTTAATCGAATTTCTGTAAAATTATCCAGCCGCAGATTCGGGGGTGGGTTATTCAGTCGTCAGTCGAACGATTGTGATGTGTGTGAAAGGTTGGTTGTTGGTGGTGGGCGGCGGGCGCAGGCGGTCACCAAATGCATAGTTCAAGGACACACTGCAATATTTCACGTATACATACACATCCTCGCTTACAACTAAAGTTACACGGCAGGCCCGAAAGTTTATTAAACAAACGAACGCCGAGCAGAGAGGTTGTCTAATTTATCAGGAATTGAACTTAATAAAAATACCGCCAAAATATTAAATCATTTCCTTGTTATCCTTACTTTCAGGTGCCACCAGTTGCGGCAATCTGTACTTTACGGGCAACGGCGACCTGATGACCACCGGCACGGCCACCGCCGAGGAACTTGCTCTGAGTGCAGCAGGTGTGAGCCGAGCACCCTCCACCTTCTGGCAGTATCCAAGTGAGTTGTATTCCAGATTGCATGCCAGATCCCCCTATCTCCTCCTCTCTCTACTTTGGTTCTCTCTCTTTTCCGTTGCGTTTTTGTAGATGCATTACCCATTGAATCAGTGATTTCCATGTCGCCCGCCACGGTGGGCCTGCAGTACTCGCGGGAGGCCAGTCGCGGACAGGTGGTGCTGCTGCCGGCCGGCCCAACAGCGCTCGGTAAGTCGAGGATCTGGATCTCCTTCACATACCCACTCCGCATGCCAAATTAATTTCGAAACTCGATTCGCCAAAACCAAACTAATTCATGCTTTTAAACTGCGCTTCTCTCCCCTCTGCCTTTACTCCAAAACTCCAACATGCACAGCAGGCATATCAAATTTTCCCCTCTTAACGCCCACAGATCCGTTCCAACAGGCGGCGGCTGCGGCTGCGTTTGTCTGGCCCTCGGCCTACATCCCCCAGGCTCCGAATCCTGGTGGTCACTCCGCTGCTGCTGCTGCTGCTGCTGCCTCCATGCAGCCGACGCCCAACTTCATCTTTCCCTCGATGGGCGGCCACCAGGCGCTGAGCACCACGCCCTCGTATGCCTCCACGCTGCAGCTCTACTTGGCCGCCGCGGCAACGGCGACGGGCAGTTCGACAATGTGCCAGCACAGCAATCAGCAGACCAGCACCACCACCACCAATTCCACCATCAATCTGAGCCTGGCCGCCGGTTCGGGGGTCACGCAAAGCGGGAGCAGCAGTCTCAGTGCGAGCAGCTCTCGCTTCCTCAGCTTGGCCACTCCTTCGCTACTCTCCCTGCCGCCACCGCCGCCAGGAATGAAGGAGGAGTATGCTCCGATGCCGCTGGCTTTGCCACCTTTAGTGCCACTTGAGGCTGCGCGGGACAAGGAGCAGGCCTTGAACCTGATGCGCCTGCCCACGCCGCCCACCTCGGCCACCATGGAGCCATTGCCTTCTTCCCTGGGACAGGCGACGCCCCACCATCTCTTCCAGTCGGCTGCCATGGCTACGGCCACTGCTCAACCGACACTGCTCAACCTTTCGATGCATGGCAACGGTGGGGCAGCAGAGTTAACCGCCGCTGCCACGCCCCTGCCTTCGGTTTGTGACGAAGCGGCGGCGCTGAACTACAAGCTGCATGCACCGCTGACGCCGCAGACACCACCACGTCTGGCGGAGATTCCAGTGCCGCAGATGCAGGATGTGAATATACAGACGGACACGCCTGTTTGCAGTGAAGACGAGAGCTTTCCAGTTGCAGGGAAGTCCCAGGAAACGGCAGATCCTCCGCCGCTGGAACTAACGAAGCCCAGTGAAGTTAGCCATACGCAGCCTACCGAGTGCCATACCCAGACGGAACCCAGTGAAATACCCAGTGCCAGCCAGGAGGAGGAGGAGGAACCCCCCGCAGAAACGATGATGACACAAGCGGAACAGGCAGCTCCCGAGGATCTGACCGGCTTGGAGCTGCTCTCCAACATAAGCACCAATAGCAAGCCGCTGGTGCGCGTTAAGCAGGAGCCGGTGGAGCAAGTGGAGATACCGCCGCAGCCAGTGGAACAAATGCCCATAGAGGAGCCAGCGCCGCCCATGCAGGAAATGGAATTGGAGCCCACACCCCAGGCGCCGGAACCTCTGGGAGGTCTCAAGCTGCTGTGCGCTTTGGCCGAGCAGCGGATCCAAGAGGAGGTGGTGCAGGGCAGCAGTCTCTTTGCCACGCCCTCCTCGCGCACGCCCACTCCTACGCCCACAGCGACGTCGCCGCCCTTGCCCTTTGAGGCCAAGTCCTGTTTTGCCTTTGGCCAGTCGCAGGTCGCTGCTTCCGTCTTCCCCTCCTCCTCCTCCTCCTTTCAGATGCCATTAAGCTCGCCCGGCTTTCCTTCGATGCAGGGCATCGAGTTGCCATCCACTTCGGCCAGCGTTGTAGCCGATCTAACGCCCGTTAAGCGCAAGAAGCACAAACATTCCAAGTCCTCGGGCAGCGACAGCCGCAAGTCGGCACGCTGCAGCAAGAAGAGCAAGAAGAAGCGGCGCCACAGCACTGCGGCGCAGAAGGAGGAGGACGTCGAGCTGCAGGACGAGCAGCTGCAGTCGGAGCTGCGCAGTGCCCTCCACGCCATGGATCCCAGCTACGCGCAGCGTTTTGGCCAGGAGGTGTTCAGCATCATGGACAACAGCATGCGAATGCGACTCGCGGACGTAACGCGGCAGTATCGCAAGAAGAAGCGGAAGCTGGACGAGATTTCCAAGCACAAGAAGAAGAAGAAGTGCTCCAAGCAGCAGCAGCTCCAACTGCAGCAGCCGTCACCTGCTCTGCAACAGCCGCAGATGACGCTGTCCAGTGTCCTGGGGTAAGTGATTTCTACTTAGGATCAGGGCTCGGAATTTAACACGCATGTTAAAAACATGTAAAATTGTATTTCACAGTGTGAGCAAAGTTTTTCACATGTGTGTCAAAAACAAAAGTGTTAAAAAACACAGCTCACTTGTGTTTTTTACACAATGTGTTAACACGGCGTTTTTTTACACACTGTGTTTCTAACACAAATGAAAATTACATTATATGGACATTAACGAATCGAAGGGAAAATGAAGAATCAATATTGGGCTCGGATATCTTAATTGTTATTTTTAACCGTTTCAAAGCATATATTTCTGACGTTTTAATGTCAAAAACTCATTGTGTAAAAAACACGTCGTGTAAATAACACAAATAAACTGTGTGTGTTATTTATGTTTCTAACATATGTAAGCTACAATTTCTTACACACATGTCAATAACTTTTTTTGAGCTTAACACTTTGACATTTAACATGTTAATAACACGAGTTTTTTACAGAGTGTGTTATTTTCCGAACCCTGCTTAGAATATCACTTACAGGCAAATCTAATGAAATTTAAATCTTTCAGAACTTCATCACCGCTGCGCGACTACAAGTTCCCGAAGTTTTCGAGCAGTAACCTTCAGGCATCCAGCTTCCTGCGATTCCCGGAGAAGACACACTCCTCCTTCCCACCACCGCCGTCCCTGCAGCAGCAATCCCAACCGGAGCCCAATCCCTTGCCCAGCAGCAACTCACCGAGTACCTCGTCGTTCGTCCGTTTGGAGCCCAGTGCCCTGGACGCGGCCGTTGCCATTGCCCCAACTACCTCTGCAACTGCCGCCTCCTGCTCATCACCGTCGTCTGCCAAGCAGGCGGCTTCGGCAGCGCGAAAGCAGCGGAAGATGAAAGCGATTGCCAGCGGTTCGGCTGGAGATCAAACCACGGCGACGGAGGCAAAGCGGCGGGTGAGCGGCATTGACCGTGAACTGCAGCTGACCAGTGAACACCTGTATCGCGATGAGACCCGCGTCCTCACCGACATGGGTGGACTATTCTATGCGGGAGTGATGAAGCCCTTGCGACCGCCGGATGTCTACTCCATCACTTTGGACGGCGAGCGCGGCAACAAGTCGCATGTGATGTCACGCGAGGATATACTCAAGGATACGGTTAGTAAAGACTAGAGCCCTGCATGAATGGATTCAATGAATTATTTTGAATTTGTTGTTTTATATGAATGAATTAATTAGAATTTAATAGAATAGTTTAATAGAATTGAATGAATTTGAATTTTGAGTTTGAAGAATTTGAATGAATGAATGGCATGAATTTCGAAATAATTCAAACGACAATTTCTTTTAAAAAAGAAAGGGCCATAACACAGGTCGACAAAATCAAGACTTTTTCTTGGCCCAAGAATAAACGCTACAAAACCTGAAGGAATTTTAGCTGTAGATTACTACCTCATACTTGGAAACTTTCCATCACGTCGAAGTTTTGAGAAATCCGTGGTCAAAGTTCCAAATTTTCGATTTTTAGGCACTTTTTGCGGCTTAATAGTAAGAAAACCTTTCGTAGCCCAGAGCCACAATTTAGCGGAAATGGTACCTTGAACCTTTAACTTCAAGAGTGTCCAATCACAAAGCTGGGCGACCTCTACTTCTTTAGCTACAATGGATTTTACAGAAGTACTTTTTGTCATTTTTTTTCATCTATAGTAGCCTGATATTTTTCTTGTTGAACTGAGACCCATATACATAAAATACATTAAAAATATCAGGCTACTATAGATGAAAAAAAGTGACAAAAAGTACTTCTGTAAAATCCATTGTAGCTAAAGAAGTAGAGGTCGCCCAGCTTTGTGATTGGACACTCTTGAAGTTAAAGGTTCAAGGTACCATTTCCGCTAAATTGTGGCTCTGGGCTACGAAAGGTTTTCTTACTATTAAGCCGCAAAAAGTGCCTAAAAATCGAAAATGCGGAACTTTGACCACGGATTTCTCAAAACTTCGACGTGATGGAAAGTTTCCAAGTATGAGGTAGTAATCTACAGCTAAAATCCTTTCAGGTTTGGTAGCTTTTATTCTTGGGCTTTTTTTTTGTCGACCAGTGTAATTTGTTGATTAAATCTGCCTGAATTTTATTTACTAAGCAGTTAACATTGATTTTTTAAAAAATATTCCACTTTTTGTTTTCAAAAAAAAGCACAAAAAAAATCGGACAAAATTATTCATCATCATTTAATTCGAAATGAATTAGAAAAACATTAAATTTATTTCACTTAGAATTGAATTAAACAAATCATAAATTTCAGGGCATACTATAATAAAACAAAAATTGAATGACTCATGCAGGGCTCTAGTAAAGACATACATTTTATAAATCGGAAACAATTCTAATTAAATTATTGTTTTACAGATCCTTGAAGTGGCCCCGAAAAGCGTGGAGAGTGTGCCAGTGGGCACGCGTTTGTGTGCCTACTGGAGCCAGCAGTATCGATGCCTTTATCCTGGACGTGCCATTGACTCCGAGCAAGTTGACGACGGAGCCGCTGGCGGCGCAACGAATTCGGCCACAACAGCGCCGGACTTTGTCAGTGTGGAGTTCGACGACGGCGACAGCGGCAGGATCCGCTTGCAGAACATCCGCCTGCTGCTCAGCGATTATCCCATAGCAGGTATGCTTGTACTTTGAACTTTTGTGGGTATAAAACTTAAGACCCCGCCACCCAATCATTACTTTCTTGTTGTGTGCGTGCCTCCTTATTTACTTCTTTGTTGTTTTCGTTGCTCCTGCCCAATCTTCCCCAACCCAACCCCTTGGAACAGAGTACAACGATAATCCCCTCTACTCAGTAGGCAAGCAGAAGCGAAGCGCTCTGCGCGGGGGTGAAAGTGGCCCCGGAGGAGGCTCGCAGGACCACTTGAGCGTGCCCGGCTGCGAGGACTCGCACAGTCATCACAGCCTGGGGATGAGTAGCGATAACACCACCTCGCTGGCCGCCACCATGGAGCTTTTCACGCAGCGCAGTGAGAAGAAGCGCCTGAAGAAGAGTCTCAAGAAGATGTCCAAGGCTCAAAATGGCGTTAATCAGGCTACTTCTACCAATGGAGGAGCTGATGTCGCTGCATCCGGCGAGGGTGTCAGTGCAGAGGATGCCGCTCGAAAGCACCACAAGCACAAGAAACGCAAGAAGCACAAGAAACATCATCGCAAGAATGGCAGCGAAGAGCCGGAGCAGCAGCAGCAGGAAACAACAGAAGCTCTCAGTACAGAGATGTCATCAGCACCAACGGCGCCAACCACGAATCGTGTTAAGGTGGAGGTCAAAGTAAAGACAGAGCAGTTGGAGATGGAAGAGGAGACGGCATCCAATCTCATGTCAGAGATATCCGAAGAGGTAGGCTATCTAACAACCCAAAATTGTTAAAATTAAAATTGTTACGATAAATCAATGACTTTTAAAGTAAACTTATAAATGTTACGGTCCCTGATGAAAATCTCTCCAGCTATTCAATGCTTACCATTTGATATTTTAAGTAATTTGAAGTACATCTATTACAAAATCCGAGTTATTTCATTAGTAGATTGCAATACAAAGGGCTACGATATAATTGAAGGGTTGAAATAATCCCATTTTCTATTCGCAGGCCAAGGGCGACGATCTGGTCGAGCATAACAACTCCAAGGGAAGCAGCAAGATAGCTGCCTTCCTGCCGGAACGGCAGCTGTGGGGTTGGAATGGTACCGCCTATCGCAAGGCGGGCGTCAAGGGACGCGCCAGAAAGCAATTTTACAAAACAATCAAAAGGGGAAAGGAGACTATCACGGTGAGCACACTCTACCCATTCGTATTTCAATACATCCCAAATACAAAACAATCTTTAATTATGTTTTCAGGTCGGGGACAGTGCAGTATTTCTATCGACGGGCAGACCAGATCGACCCTATATCGGGCGCATTGAGTCCATGTGGGAAACGACCACGGGCAACAAGGTGGTGCGAGTGGCGTGGTTCTATCATCCGGAGGAGACGACCGGCTGTCCAAAGTTGAAATTTCCGGTGAGCTACAGTTTGTGAAAGCAATTATAAACATCATTTATTTATTTCTATTTTATTCTGAATAGGGTGCTCTATTTGAATCGCCGCACGAGGATGAGAACGATGTGCAGACAATTTCGCATCGTTGCGAGGTGCTGCAGTTTGGCAGCTACTTCGACAAGTTCGGTGCCGATTCGAAGCAATATCAATCCATATACGATAACAATGATACATATTATTTAGCCGGGCACTATAACCCAAGGTTACAAGTGCTAAAACTACAAGACGATATTCCAACTCTCGAAGAGCTGCAGGATACAAATAATACTACTACTACTAAAACTACAGAAACTACTACCGAGGATTAAGCGAAAAGTGGATAGGCGTGGTTAGGCCTAGTGCATACAGATCTATATATATACAATATATATACATTATACATATATTTTACTATACGTGACCAGATGGAGAGCAGATATATACCTATATGTATACAAATATTATTTCTATATATTTTAAATGTATTATGTATTTCGAGAACTCAAAAAACAAGGACACTGGCGAGAGATAAAACGAGAGAGAACAAGGAACTAAGCAACAACCACTAAATTAATGTGTAGTTACGAGAAGCGCAAGCAATTTTAAGTCTAATTTTGTAAAAACAAGAAAAACAAACAGAAAAGGCGCTTCGATGACGACAAACTTAATTCACTTCAAGTTCAGCGAAAGTTTAGAAACGAAATGTGTGCTTCTACATCCCCTTTGATCCTTTGACCCTTCGAACACAACACATAACATAACACAACCAACCAACCAACCACAAACAAACACAGTCCACATTTAGAGCCCAGGCTATAGCTACAGGATAATGGGATACACTTGTTAACCTACGTGTATACCTACATGTTTCAGATGAAATTTAAAACGTGTTTTAAAGATTTTAAGCAGGCAACATGCAGCAACTACTACTATAAATGTAACAATTCAATGTGATAGCAAAACAAAACCAGATGTTGATGTGTACAGAGGAGAGAATAAGTATAGATGATAAATAAGAGATCAAGCAGAATGTGTGTGTTGAATATTTACAGTTCGTTTATTCAAGAAGAACAGCAACGTATAAAATCAAACCTATCTTTAATTACATCAATAAACTTGCCGGATATATTGAAATTTTTTATTTGAATTTTTAAATTGGAAGTATATTTTGAAGGCGTTCAAGACAAGCCTGGAAATTTAATTCAAATAATACTACTACTTGTATATACTTTTTTACCTTGAACAGTTTACATATCGGTTATATTGGCGAGATGTGGAGTGTTCAGGCTTTGGTGGTGCACCTCTTGCTGCTGGGCTCCATCCTGAGCATCTACTTCCAATCGACCGTATTGTCGGATCTTAAACCACTAAGTACACTGCGCGAATTGGGCTTGGAGCCACCGGCTAATAGACTAGTGGTTTTTGTGGTCGACGGTTTGAGGGCAGAGTCGGTGCTGGCGAAGAATTGCAGTTCAGTTCCGGACTTGCAGGAGCTCTTCATCGACCAGGCTTTGGTTGGCATCTCACACGCCGTCCCGCCAACGGTGACCAGACCGGGACACATCGCCATCTTCGGGGGATTCAATGAAGATCCTGCTGCTGCCCTAACCAACTTTGGCTGGAACCCATCTACCTTCGATACCGTCTTCAATCGCAGCAGAAACGCCATCGGCTGGACTCAGGATGTGGTTGCCCAGGTCTTCACCCACTTGCCCACCGGTGGTGCCCCGTTGCGCTTAGAAACCTTTTCCAGGTCGGACATTTCGGGCAGACTTCGGTTGGATGAGTGGGTTTTCGACAAGGTGCGCCTGTTCCTCAACAAGGAGGAGAATGTGCGTCCATTGCGCAACGCCACCTCGGTGGTGTTCTTTGTGTATCTAGCCGATATCGACCTGGCGGGCCACGCTTACACACCATACGGCTCAAATTTCCAGGAAAAGCTGAACTTCACCCAACGGGGCATCCGGCATACCTACGATCTCTTCGAAAGCGTTTTTAACGACAGCCGGACGGCTTATTTGATGACGGCAGATCATGGAATGAATGATGCAGGTGGGTTAGAGCCTTGAGTAATCGAATTTATTTATTATTTTATTCATTTTTTTATTTATTTATTTTTTTTATTTATTTATTTATTTATTTATTTATTTAATATTTATTATTTTATTTATTTATTTTTTTTATTTATTTAATATTTATTATTTTATTTATTTATTTATTTTTTTTTATTATTTTATTTATTTATTTAACCCACAAATCCCTATATGTTAGGCCAGCATGGCGGTGGGGGAGATCGCGAGGTGGAAACGCCCTTCATCCTCTGGGGATCTGGTGTTAAGGACATGGCCCCCGATCCCGGCCAGAATTTCACGGTTAATAACGATGGTCTTACCCGACCTCTGTACCAATTGGAGCAGACACAATTGGCGCCTCTAATGTCCGCTTTGATTGGCCTTCCCCCTCCGATGAACAACATAGCCCTGTTGCCCCTGGGATTCCTGAATACCAGCGTTCAGTACGAACTCCAGGCCCTCCACTTGAATGCCATGCAACTGCTTGTTCAGGCCAGGATTCTTATAAAGCGTCACGAGGAGGGAATTCTGTATCTGTGTCTGCCCAGGTTTGAGGGTCTGGACTCGGCACAGATTGATAATTATCCGCTGAGGATAAAATATCTGGTGGCCGAGAAGCACTTCGAGCAGGCGATGAAGATAACTCAGAAGATAGCCAAGGTGGCTCAGCAGTGCTTGGAGTACTATCACGGTTACTATCACCTGCCCCTGCTGGTGGCCACCACTGCCTCCTATTTGGTGTGGTTTTACCTTCTACTCGTGCAATTCACCCGAGAGTCCAGCGAACCGAGGACGAAGCGGCGAGGATTTCTAACGTGGAGCACTTTGATGATGTCCCTGGGAGGAGTGCTGCTCCTTGAGTTGATGATCCTGCAGAGGGTGCCCTACCTGACGGCCTTCTATCTGCTGCTGCCCTTCGGAATCCTCATCGTCGCCGTGGCGGAACGTCCCTCGGAAAACAGTTGGTTTAGCATCCAGTTTCCCATCCTTCATCTGCTGGGAATCCTTGTGCCCGCTGGCCTGCTGATACTGATGGCCTTTCACAACAGTCACATTGGAGTGCTATATTTCCTGATGGTGTGCCTAAATAATAGAAGGGCCTTCTTCAGGCCCTCCTTAAAGTTCTTTTTCTGGCTTGCCCTGGTAATACTGCTGAGTGGCATCCTCGTGGTGAAGCAGAACCCAAGTCTGGATTTTATTACCGATGCTATAAGAGATTATGTAGACAAAAGCCACGTGGTATATGTCAGTATGGTGGTATCTATAATTCGCCCTCTGATCCTGAAGCATCAACATGCCAAACGTGTTTGGATCATCAACGTGGCAGCGCTTTTGGCAGCAGCATACGGAATCTATCAGTGGGATAGGGATCAGCCAGTCTGCACCTACGTTTATGCTGCATGTTGGTCCTATCTAGCCTTCGCCTTCCTATCGATTCCTTATAGTGGGGCAAAGGAGTTAAGGCGTCGCCTGGAACTGATCATATTCAATATGCTGACGGTACACATAATGCTGACCATATCGATGGGCTCGCTATTTGTCCAGATCATGGTAACCGAGTTTGTGCTGGGCCTCGAACTTTACGAAGAGAGCAGCAGATCGAGGGATATTAAGAATGGGAATACCGATGAGGATCAAGAGGAGTCTCAAGTTGAAAGACCCGTGGGTCCATTGGAGCACCTGAGGCTGTCCTATCGCTATGCGGCTCTCATTCTTCTGTACTTTTACGTATCCTTCTTTGGCACCGGCCACTGGTTCTTCAACTTTACCTTCAAAGCCATCACCTCGCGTCTGTTCTTCCCTCAATTTCAACTTCACCTGATTGCGGCCTTCATCTTGCTAAAGATATTCATACCATCGATTATAGTTATGTCGAGCATATACGCCTTGGTAGCTTTTGGTCGAAAGAATACCCGCTCCATCTTTATATGCCTGTTCCTGATGAACGACACCATGAGCCTGTACTTCTGCTACTTTGTGAACAATCGAGGCTCTTGGCAGGAGGTGCGCCAATCGTTGGACCATCTTTTGGTGACCCATGTCTTTATCATTCTGCTGCTTGTTTGCTCCTGGATCGCAAAGGGTTTCCTCACCAACACCACGGAAGATAAACCAGAACGAGGCGCCCAAGTACAGGTTCTCGACAATGCTTCGACCTTGGTTGAGGACAGTCAGGTCTAGCTCATCCCAAATGGTCTGCCAAAATTGTCTAGTTCTATTTAATCTTAATCGATGTTTTGAAAGAAATTTGTTAGTCTCACATAAAAACTTATAAATTAAATATTTACAATTACAAAATTACATGTATGTGTGTTTGCCTTCCCAGCGGGAACATTCTTCTGGAAAATATGATATTTTCATGAGGTTTCTCTATACAAGCGGAAGGGACAAAACCTCATTCACCCCTTACATTTCTTTCGTCTGTGGTTTCAAAATACACGGGGGTGACACAAAAAGTTAGGGGTAAATGAGGTTTCTATGTAATTTTTCAAAGGAATTTACATTTTTCCTAAACCGTTGCCTGCTAAAAGATACAGGATTTCCAATACTTTTTCCTAAAAGGAACAGGATTTCCAACACACAATGAACCACCTTCTCACTTTTCCGGTGGGTTATTAAAATCTTTTCATTGTTGGTCCTTCGAGGTTTCGTTCTCGACTAGAGGAACATTCCAGGAAAGGTTTTATTTCTTTTTATAATATTTGCTAGTTTTTCATAACCAATACGAAAAGTTTCTGTTTTGTAAGTTTACCGAAGCAATTATTATCTCACTTCCGCCAAACAAGTTATAATAGCTACTAAGCTGTAACGGCTTATGACATTGCTAGTCTAGTTTCCCAAAACACAACCGACCCCCAAAGCCATAACCCATTTGCATAAGGAGCAGCCTGACGAATGCGTGTCTGTCGATGATGTGTTCAATGGGCTCACATGGGTGCCAGGAATCGGGGTCTCCTACCGCTACCGCCCCCTATCTAATCCTTAGCTCCTTGCCGTCAGATGCGTGCGTTGCCTGGCTGCGGGGGTCACGAGACCTGGCATCGATCCAACAGAAGGAAAATTTGCATTCGCCAGGCTTTATGGGAAGTAGGAAAGACGCGGGTCGACGGATGTACGGATGTACGGATGCGTGCCTCGAAGACACAATAATTAAAAAGCGATTTGTCTAGAACAACCGGGTTGAGTTAGGGGTCGTTCCGTCGTTCCGCCGCCGGCGGACAGGCCCCACCAAAAATGAGCACCACCCCGAAGTGGTACTGCCGCAACAAATCCCAGCCGATGCACACGTTCGCGGAAATCGGCAAATTGGGCCTGGAGCTGCGTCGTATTACCAAGCGGATAGTGATCGATGTCAACTCGGCGATTTTCAGTGAGCATGTGAGTTAGGATTCACTCTTCTGAATATAGGATTTCCACTTCATAAGTCCCCTACACTTAGGACACCATTTTGGAGGAGTGCGAACGGGTGGTGGAGCAGTACTGGAATCTCAAGGACGAGACCAAAAATGCCGATTTCCAGTCGCTCTCGAAAAAGATCAAGAGGAGTCCCTACAACCAGCTGCTGATGAAGAAGTTCCACTTGATAATGGATCTTAACGATAGACGTTTTTGCCAGCTCACCTTTGTACTCAAGCGCACTGTGGGTATAGGTCTTATATAATATTGAACTTTAAGTAATCATTACTAACTTTTAGTTAAGCTTCCTGCTCCGCAAGTCGATGCAATCGGAAATGTGGCTGAATTGGGCCTTGCACATTACCCAGTTGTACAACAAGTGTCGCAAGGTGGAGAAGCCCTTGGTTCCCGTGGAGGTGGACAGTCAACCAGGTGAGGAGGAGGCGGAGGAGGAGCCCAAGTTGGGTGGCAAGCGAAAGGAGGAAATGCCCGCCAATGTCTGCAGCAATATGTATCCTGCCCTGCTCCTGGCACTCAAGTCCATTGATTTCAACTACGTTCTGCAGGTTTGAATTCTTTTGAAACTTATTTGAAACCCTTCTTTAACTCTAGCTCCTTTTTCATATAGTTGGTGGCCCAGACTCGAGTGGAGCAGAATGCGTTGGATTTGGTCTTTGGACTCTTCAACATGGGCGAGCAAGATGCCTGGCGGGAGCAGCAGAATCTGGAGTCCACCTCCTCCAGCCTGGAGATTTTGCGCACCCTGAACATATCCTTTGCCGCCGGCGATTACCAACCGTATTGCGACTCTGCCCAGGATTACAAGTCCATGCAGATGCAGATGGCCGACGCCAGTCTCCAAGTGCAGGATCATGACCACCAGAGTCTGCGCTGCAAGCACACCGAGAGCTTCCTACAGAAGGAGCGGGTCTTCATTGCCCAGTTGATAGCTAAGGCCACGGAAATTAGTCCGACCATTTTCGGTGGGTTGTTTAACTTCTCAATCATCTTTAAAAATATTTATAGTTATTGATATCAAATAGATAATGGCAAAAAAGGTCCCGTGGACATGAACATGTATATTGTCAAGGGTTTGCGACTGCTCTGGTCCTATGTGGGCATTATTTTGGACCACATCCTGCTCTGGTGGATAGATAACCCCGTGTCCTGTTATCGACTCACCCATATAGATTCCATACGCAGCTGGCTCTATCATCAGAGTGTGAATGGTGGGTCATCTCTAGGATCTGTATTCTATATTATTACTAACTATAAATGTTCATTAGATATCCCCGAACCAGTTTTCTCAACACTCCGAGGCATTGGGGAGATCCTTACAGGATTTGTTTGCAACAACATTTGGGATCAACTCTTTCGCCTCACCCTCATATCTTCCAACAACACAAATCGCTTGGTGGATGTGGTAGCGGAACAATATCGCGATTGCCCCAAAAATGTAATCTATTTTTTACAATACTACAACTGCTAAGAACACACTTTTTTAGGAATTTGGTACCCCAACCGGCACCGTATGGATCAGTATTTTCGCCAATCTAGTTAATTTGAGCAACCAATACTTCTCCAATCTGGAGGCGCACAATAACTCCAGTCTGCTGCCAGTGGCCGAACAAATACCCATACTCCACAGGCTGGGTAAAATCTGAGTGAGTTTAATATCAGAGATCCGTTTATAATATTTTGTAATCCTGTGCCAGATCATTCGGTGCACTCGATGCGTCTCTGGGTCACCGAACAGGCAAAGCTTCTTTGCTGCGAGTGGAAAATGGACCGCTTCTTCCAGATTCTGGAGCACGATGTCAAGCTGTGCCTGAATGTCTTCGTAACCTTTCAACTGCCGAAACTCACTGCCGACCTGAGTGATATCCTGATGCTGGTCTGTGTTGCCCTGCGGACCAAGCTCATCGCCGAGGTCAACGCCAATATAGACAAGCTAAAGGTAAGTATGTACACCACAAAAAAACAGAGACAGGAAAAATGCCAAGATAAAATTTGTACGTTCTTGAAATCAAGGGAAAATCGCTCCCGAGTTTTGTTTTCAAGGTGAAGCCTTCTTCAAATAGAGATAAAAGATGTATCGATTTTGATCATTTAAGATTAAATCGTTCTTGTTCAGTTTAGCTGTATAATACTAACCTTTCTCCCTAGAAAACCACCGACGAGTGTGTTCAGATCCTCTCAGCAGTCTGCCGGGTCCTCAGCCTGGCCAACTTTACGCTCTGTTTTCCCGCCGCCAATTTTTGGCAGCGCGACCTATACAACAACGATGAGAAGAGCCTCTATGTGGGGTATGTGCTGGACGAGATCTATCTGCCCACCATACGTGCCACCAAGGACATTGTCATACTCAAGCTGATCCTGAAGCTCATCTGCGAGGCCTGGCTGGACTTTATCTACCAGAAACGCATCCGTTTTAGCGTGAATGGAGCCGTTCGATTGCTGAATGACTTCGACGATGTGCGTGAGTGGATCCTGGCCTGCACTTTGTTGGATGAGGAGCAGCTGGATAAGCTGAGCAACCACGAAGTGCTGCGCATGTGCAAGGGCGTGGGCAAGATACTGCTCCGTAAGCCGGAGGATGTGATCTCCATTACCCAGTCGCCCAAATTTGACAAGAAGGCGCGTAAGTTGATAGAACTTTTTTTGGAAATTGTATCCCTTTTGGTAAGGAGTTGTATACGTTTTTTGCAGAGGACGCCTCCGCCCAGGACACTCAGCTGCCCTCCGAGATGTTCGTCTCCAATCAGAAGCACTGGCTACAACTTCGTGCCAGTGGAGGCAATGGATTCCCCTTCCTGAAACTCTGCTGCGGAGATGCGGCCATGTAGTTGGACTTCTTAAGGGGCACAAATGTTTATTGAGTCGCTAAAATGCTTTACAAAAGTGAGGGTCTAGAATATATATATAAATATATTAGAAAAAGGGCAACTATGGTTATGTTTTTCTTTTCTTTTCTTGGAAGTCTCTTTTAGGCGGGCACCTTGCGACTAATGATCTTTATCAGCTCATCCACGCGCTCGCTTTTGCCGGCGAATTGTTTTGGATGCGGTCCAATCATTTGAATGATCATCGGCACATCTTGCGAGACCTGAAAAATGTGGAAAAAATATGCGAATGTTTGACAGCTGTCAATTTGGGCCAAGTTGAATATGGGTCAATACCTCGAGAAAACGGGCGAGGGCCTTCAGCGTGCGGAAGATCTGGTCTTCGTTGGGACTGCTCTGGAAGAACTGCAGAATGGCCATGGCCAGCTCCACGGCAATGTCGTCGAAAACCTTTAGAGATATATCTTTAAGATGTGCTTTTAACTGAACTTTAGGAGGAACCTACCACAGTCTTCACTTCCTTGATAGCAATGTTGTACAGGATCATGCTGCCGATGTTTTTCAACTGCGGGCAATTGGATAGAATGCAGTGGACGGCCACCTTGGTGGTCACTCGTATGTTGGAGATGGTCTGGCCATTGTATTCCCACTCGGAGATGTACAGCAGCCATTCGGAGGGACCCAGGTTCTCGAAGAGGTTGCACATCTATAATACATCATAATAATATTAATCAGCTGAAGTATAAAATATATTTCAGGGATAGCCACTTACAAACATGGCCCAGGCCTGCTGCTCCTCGGGCGTCTGCTTGTCAATGTCCTGGGCGTAGTTCATCAGTGTGTGATCCCTGCGATCCTGGTGCAGAATAATGATCACGTCGTCCTTGAGCGCTGCATAGGCCAGGGTGCGGATCAAGTGTATCCGTGTGTCCGGGGAGAAGGCCTGATTGTCACGCAGGACGCGCTGCACAAAGACCAGGAAGTTGTCGCCCAGCGCCCAGGAGCCGTCGTCCTCGATCAAATACTGATGCAGCTCCTCCATGGCCACCTCCTCCTCCTTGTAGATCTTGCCGTCCAGCAGTTTCACTAGGCTCTCTAGTTCAGTCTTAATCTGTGTCGATAAAGGGATTGAAGATATAATATGATTGATATTCGGCTGAAATTGGATTATAGCGACCTTATATTTCAAATAATGTAATGCAATTATTTCACTTATTTGTTTACAAACAAATCGGCAAGTTTGTATTTGTTTATATTATTTATTCCATCTTCTAACGGCAAGACGTAAAATCAATTTTGTTAACATTTTGGTTAAATTATTCGAATAAATTAAACCGTGCTCTTTGAAAATTTGGTGGCCATCCACACAAAAATAAATTATATCTTTTACAAAAATATAATTACATATCTTAGAACTGATGAGAAAAATTATTACAAATTAGTGTATAAATAATACTGTTAATTTAAGAATTTCTGTTCAAAATGTTTCAAGAAATAAACTAATTTAAAATTATTTTTTAAGGCAAGGAATTACTAACAATTTATTAAGTTTGATATAAATTTACTATAGTTATTAATTCTCAACTTTGTTAGACTTACGTCAATGTCTTTGAGCACCAGCGCCGGTTCGCGTGGGATTTCCTTTTCCTCCGTGGACTTGGAGCGCTCCTTGCCATTCTGCGGCTGCTGTTGTTGGGCTGCGGGCTCTGACATCGTTGGTCTATTAATAGAAGAGTGAGGAAATTATAATAATAAAATAAATTTTATACTTAAAAAGAAATGAATGTGCACGACGGCCACAAACATCTTCTGCTGCACAAGGCAGCATTGCAAGGCTTTTCACTTTTAATACGAAATTATTTTTTACGATCTGCTCACGATAATGTTGTAATTTGCAGCACAAATTACCGCTCAAGCGTGCTGAAATGTTTACAATTTCGGCAAGAGAAATATGCGAGGAATTTGATGTTTCATATAAACAAAGAAGCGGAAAAGCATTAAAGCCGCTTAATTAACAAAAAGAAGGAAAAAGAAAGGGAAAAGCGGTTGCCGGCGATACAATTGAAAGAGACAGGACAGAGGAAAAGTTGTCAAACCGAAGTGTGACAGTAAAACTGAGGAAAACTCAAAATAGCCGAGGTATTTTTAGTTTTTTACTTTACGTAGACAAAAACAAGGTACAGAAGATTCTCACTGGCAACACGAAATTGCATGCAATGTGATATAAACGATTTTCCAAGTTTTTCTTCACGGCCTGCAGCCTGCCATTATTTCTTTTTAATCAAATCAAACTTTGGGTATTCCCATTAATTTGCATAATTTATAGACTTCCAAATTACTCACATGCTATTTTAGTAGAAGTGACACAGAAATTCCTTAACTTTCGACACCAATTCGTGTGGGAAAGCCGAAAAAACAAAAGTCAAAACTCAACTAGGGCACAAATTGTATCTCTTGTCGGCGATGCGTTTTTTGTTTATTCAAAATTCCGAAGATTCATATATGGTTATTTATTTTCCAGATCATGCAACTTTTGTAGAACTTTTCATTGAATTCCGGAGATCGAGTAGCACGCGAACCGTTTCTTCAGAGAATCGACTCGAAATTGCCGCTGTTTGTTCGGAAAAGTCCCGTGGAAGTGTGAGGAAAAGTTTCGGAAAATGCACACTCTGCGGCGTATGAGCGATCTGTGAGTGTGTTTTCGGATATTTCGGATCGAATCGGATCGGGTTTTTATAAATAGACACTCGTCTCAGTTCGCTCGCGAGCGAAATGTAGCCAATGCAGCTACACTGACCGAAAGGAGGAAATTTGTATAGAAATCTCACTCTTTAAACCCAGACCATTTCCATTTTAAATTAAATGTGCAGTGGGTTCTAGGATTTTATTACCCTCTGCAAGGGCAAGGACCATCCTTCACACGTCAATGCAATATGGCAGTGCGGGGGCGGCCCGGCTGGGAAAGGTCGGGAAAAACACAAAAAGCTATTAAGTGGCAACCAAAATACATTCCAGGCCCAGCTGGAGGTCCTGTCGCATTCTGAAAGCAACAAGTCTCACATTGCGTAGCCGAGATGTTGACCGAGGCCCAAGCTGAGGCTACTTTCATTTAGCTTTCAAGTGTTAAGCGCGTCGGTTGCTAAGTGAATCCGTCTTCAAACTATAAAGGACATCTCTTTTCGCAATGAGAACTTCTATTAAACTTTCCCTGAGGCTGGTGGCGCTCCTGGTTTGCCTGATCTCCTGTCAGGCCGCGCTGGAAAGGGAAAACATCGAGGGCAATAACATGGCAAATGTGAGTTATCATTTGTTTAACTATTTCAAAAGGTCCAAACAAAAAACAGAAAGCCGTGGTGAAATTATATGTATTTTTAGTCGAACGACCACGTCAGATATTAGTTATAATTATAATCTAAATTGATAACGTTCGCTTTGTTCGGATTATTATTTAAACCTATTTCAACAGGGTTTGTTTTATTTGCATCAAAATAAAAGAAGTATTGTTATCTTGCTAAAAGGTTCATTTGATTACTTTTTTAGTTATTACTATGTTTTATGTTTTAAAACGATTTCACAGTAAGATTCGATTGATTCATAGGATTCTGTCTCCAATGTGACTTATATTATTTATTAAATGGAAACAATTGGAAAAGCATTTTATTTAGTTTTATTTAATACAAAAATAATAAAAGTTTAGTTTTTATTATTAATGAGTAAGCTTCATTCTTACGTAATCCTATACCGATTTAAAAAAACAAGTTTTATTGTAAATTATTTTTCTTATTCAGATAAACAGTATTTTTAAACCTTAGTGCCATTAAATAAAATTTAAATTTTTTCAGCACAAGCTGAGTGGCGTTATACAGTGGAAGTATGAAAAGAGACCGTTTTGTAATGCATTTACAGGTAATTTCAATAAATATCTTTATTTCGAAGTTTTTTCAACCCGGAAGTATTACAGGCTGTGGTCGGAAGCGTACTTATCCCTCTTATCCGCCATTTACGCTATTGAAACGCAATGAAGTCGAAGAAAAGCCCTATAACAATGAGTATTTGTCCGAGGGTCTAAGTGATTTGATCGATATTAATGCTGAACCCGCTGTGGAAAATGTCCAGAAGCAAATTATGTCGCAGGCAAAAATCTACGAGGCCATCAAAGAAGCCAGCAAGGAAATCTTCCGACAGAAGAACAAACAGAAAATGTTGCAGAACGAGAGAGAAATGCAACAACAGCTGGAGGAGCGTGAGAACAAATAAATCGGACAAATATCGGAAAAATTGGATTAATGGGACACAAATGGACTGGATAGTTACCACACTGGATTTGTTATTGTACATAATATCTTTATCTATGACTCTTTGAATTGCAAAAGATTCTACAGCACTGGCATGCATTCAATAAAAATTGTTGACCTCACTTTTGGATGTGGGTTTCTGGGCAAGATGGGAATTTGTACTCTTGTTAGTGCTAAAATTTGAATAGAAATAAAAAATATATATATGAAAGCTATGGGATATAATACTTTATAATAGGTATATTTTTTCCCAATTCTATACTACGCTATAGTAGTATATAAGTACACATTCTTTATGCCAAAATTGTTATAGAATTTGTTAACTTATGGTATCTCTCTGTGGCATTAGTAATCAGTAATCGCGGCAGTTCCTCCTATCATTGCAAACCTTTGATAGCGATAAGAGGCCTTAGCCATTTCATTGTGCTACCATAGCAAATTATTCGACTGCACCTTGATATTGATTACAAAAAAAATGAACAAACAAAACATTGTTTATGACTCTTTAATTAAAATAGTTCTTTCAAGTAAATTTTTTCAAATAAATAAACAAAATTGTATTTTAACTGACCTAAGAAACCTAATGTTAATCTACGCTATTTAATTACATTGACTTTTTATAACCGCAAACGAAAAATAACAGTTCTTACATAGTTCATTATTAAAATTACAAGGACAACAAATTTCGACTTATTTTTGGAGGTTATCTTTTATCATATAGGCGATAATAGCACTTAGCAATTTATTATAATCCAAAATAATCAAAGTGAATTTAGTGCCACTTAACTAATGTATTTCATCATTGCGAAAACTTCAGGGTAATTTGGGCACTCTTTTGGACAAACGAACTCGCACTCCGTGTTTGGGCATCAGGGCAATGCCGCTATTCTCGAACTCTATTTGGCGTTTGCTCATCACCTCAACGTTGAAGTTCTGAAGGATTTTAATGATCGCCAGTTTGGCATTAACGCGACCCATTCGCTGGGCAATGCAAATCCTGGGACCCTCGCCAAACGGCATAAAGGCAGTGGGATTGTAGTTGCGACTCTCCTCCGAAAAACGATCGGGATCATATGTCTCGGGATCCGGGAAGTACTCGGCATCGTGGTGAATGCCATATAAGGAGATCACAACTGGGGTTCCCTTCGGAATCACATGGTTGGTATCCGGTACAGTGTAGTCCTGAGTGCATTCGCGGTTCAGGATAGGAAGGCCCGGATATTTACGGATTGTTTCCTGGAAGCAAAGCTCCAAGAACTCCATCTTGTGCAGGGCATCGTACGTGATTTTTCCGTCGTTCTTGGCCAGAGTCTCATCCACTTCATCCTGCAGGCGCTTCAGCAACTCTGGATATTGGGCCAACTCATAGATGGTAAAGGCTGCAGTCGATCCAGTGGTTTCCTGACCAGCTATGTAGAATATAAAAGCCTGGGCGGTGATGGTCTCCAAAGAAATGGCCTTAATATGACCTGAAAACAATGAATGTCTCAGTTGTTGTTTCTATTTAGGATGCCATTTTAAACTCACCATCGGGTGTTTTTTGAATGCTAAAGGATTTCTCATCATTCTCCTCGATCTTGCCCGTGTTCCTCAGCTGGATGAGCAACTGCAGCAGATCCTTGCGCACAATTCCGTTCTTCTCTCGGTGCTCAACGGTTTCCTTGACAATCTCCAGCATGGCCAGACCAACTGGGTTCTTGAAACCAATTCGGAACAGAAACTGTGCAATTCTACAGGGTAAACCATTAGGTTAAAATAAAACAAAAGAATTACAGCAACACTTACGAGGGCACCAGGAAGATCATCATGCCGAACAAGGCATTAAACCTGTTGTTAGCCCTTGCAATCGACACCAGTTTTCGGAATTTGTTGTCCGGATTCTCGAAGCTGTTCACGTCCAGGCCAAAGATAGTCGAGGCAATAATGTCGATGGCATAGTCTTGCATCACCTTCTTCAGATCCACCTCCTCGAAATCCTTTTCCGGCAGCTTCTTCTGGAGGTGAGCCACCATTTTGTCGCCAATATCCTCGGAGGTGCCGAACATGGCCTTTAACTTGCCGGAGGTGAAACAAGGCGACAGCATGTGCCTCATGGACCGCCAGCTCTGACCTCGTAGGGCAAATATGCTGGCCGACAGCGGATCCTTCTGCTCATCGACGTAGACCCCGCGATCGTGGAAACTGGCGAAATCCTGGGCGAGCACTCGACGAGCCAATTCGGCATCGCGGACCAAAACAGCCGGACGGAAGAGCAAGTAAATGCCCAAGACGCGCTCTTTGCTCTTCAGATAGGCGTCGTAGATGGCCAGGCCCATGCTCTTCTCCTGCCTCCAGACGCTGTCCAGACATCCGAATGGAATCCCGGAGTGGCTGTCGTATGGAAATCCTCGTTGCTCCCAGAAGGCATAATGGCGTTTCAGATAAAACCACGCCAATGTCAAAAGAGACAAGACCAGCAAAACCAGCGAAAACATATTGGACTTTTCAGAAAGAACGTTACTCGAAAAAAGTCTATAATCAACTGACTAACAAAGAGCTCGGTTGCCATTTATATAGTCGAAACTCAACGCCCATTTGTTCTCTTCCACTTCAACGCTCTCTTTAGATAATGAATTCTGCTATAACATTTAGATTCTCTTTATTTCTTAACATGATGAAATTTACTATTAAAATGTAGCTGTTATGAACGAAATCTACTTATAAAATATCTCTAACATGGCAACAAGTATCAGATTTTAACAGTCGATTCTGACAAGGATCTTGACAATTTAGGGCAATATAAATTGCCTAAGAAATATCGTTTAGGAGTTTGAAGGTAAACAGTAAAAGGTTTCAAGAGATCTTAGCTAATTTATTTTTTGTTTACATGACAACCGGTTTAAATTATTCTTCGTCATATAATATTATTTGTTTTTACATTACCCCATCAACACAATATAGGGCTGATCCAAAACAGAATTTGAAAATTATATAAGGAGAATCAGATCTTAAGGGAAAACCGGTTATTTAAATACATAACAAATATAACACAAAAAAGGTAAACAAAGTTTTACATTAGTAATGATTTAGTAATGAATATTAACAGAGAGTTTCGCAGCTCTTAAATTAAATACGCCGATATGGAGATATTTATATATATTAAGAGCAATAGAAATATATTCTCTTAAGTTACTATGCCATATCAGCTAGAATTAAAGCTTGTTGTTACTGTTTGACAGTTATAATTTCATCACTTTTAATTTAACTCTTATAGTATATGTACAATGTACGATTAAACTACACACTATGTAGTTAAAAATCTCAGTATTCAGAGAAAGATTCACAAGTCTACTCTGTATAGGTTTAAATATAACTGATAATTATTATTTATTATAACTGATAATTTAGAAGAGAGCATTCCAACATATTTAGCTTTTTAATCAATTTATTTATCTCTTGGACAAACGCACTCGGATTCCATCCTTGGGGAGAAGCGGTATACCGCTAGACTCGAACTCCACTTGACGTTTGCTCATCACCTCGACGTTGAAATGTTGGAGCAATTTAATGACAGCCAATTTGGCATTAACACGACCCATTCGCTGGGCGATGCAAATCCTGGGACCCTCACCGAAGGGCATAAATGCTTTGCGATTGTAGTTGCGACCTTCCTCCGAGAAGCGATCGGGATCATATTTCGCAGGATCAGGGAAGTATTCGGCGTCGTGATGAATGCCATGCAACGAGATCACCACAGGTGTTCCCTTGGGGATCACATGGTTGGTCTCGGGTACTCTGTAGTCCTGGGTGCACTCGCGGTTCAGGATAGGAAGTCCCGGATATTTCCGTAGAGTTTCCTGCAGGCACAGCTCCAGATACTCCATTTTGTGCAGTGCCTCATAGGTGATTTTTCCGTCGTTCTTGGCCAGAGTCTCATCCACTTCATCCTGCAGGCGCTTCAGCAACTCTGGGTATTGGGCCAACTCATAGATGGTAAAGGCGGCGGTTGATCCAGTGGTCTCCTGACCAGCTATGTAGAATATAAAAGCCTGGGCGGTGATGGCCTCTAACGATATAGCCTTTATGTGTCCTGGAAATACCGGTTCTTTTGCTTTACTGAGTGTTATGCACAATTTTCATTAGCACTCACCGTTACTTTTTTGTACACTAAAGGATTTATCATCATTTTCTTCATTCTTTCCAGTGTTCCTAAGCTCCATAAGCAACTGCAGCATATCCTTACGAACAATTCCGTGCTTTTCGCGATACTCAACGTTTTCCTTGACAATATCCAGCATGGCAACAAGTATCGGATTTTTAAAGCCGAAAAAGGCAAGGAACTTCACAATGCTAGAGATATTTAATTAGGTTTAATAAACAAAACAATTAATATTAATAATTACAATTACTTACGAAGGAACCAGAAACAAGAACATGCCGAGTAGGGCATTAAACCTATCAGTGCGTTTGGCCATTGCAACCAAGTTTCTAAATTTGTTATCCGGGTTTTCGAAGCTGTTCACTTCCAAGCCAAAGATGGTCGAGGCAATAATGTCGATGGCATAGTTCTGCATCAAGTCCTTCAAGTCCACCTCTTGGGAACCCTTGTTGGGCAGCTTCTTTTGGAGATAACCCACCATCTTGTCACCAATATCCTCGGAGGTACCGAACATGGCTTTCAGTTTGCCTGACGTGAAACAAGGCGACAACATGTGCCTCATAGATCGCCAACTCTGACCTTTCTGGGACAACAGATTGGCCGACATGGGATCCTTTTCCTCATCGACGTAAATTCCGCGATCGTGGAAGCTGGCGAAATCCTGGGCCAGCACTCGAAGAGCTAGTTCTGCATCTCGTACCAAAACTGCCCAGGACGCGCTCCTTGCTCTTCCGGTAGACATCGTAAATGGCCATGCCCATGCTCTTCTCCTGCTTCTTCTCATCCGAATGGAATTCCCGAGTGTTTGGCGGACGGAAATCCTCGTCGCTCCCAGAAGTCATAATGGTACTTTATATAAATCCACGAAAGTGCCAAAAGAGACAGCACCAGTAAAAGTAGCAGAAGCATGATCAAACTTTTTCGAAACCTGAACAAGAAAGTATTCTTAAGAAAGTCAATATTGAACTGGTCAGCGACGAGTTGGGTTTCTATTTATAAGATAGAAATTCGAGGCTTTTTCGTTCTCTTTCCATTGGAATCTATATAGATTGAGTTCTGTCGCATTTCTCTTAAAATTTTTGTTTATGTCATTAAAAATGGCAAATAATTCTAAAAGCAATTCACAAAGGTCTTTAGGATTGTAAATCTCAAGACCAAATACCCAAAAGGGACTGTTAAAAATATGAATTGCCCAGATCAGAAATATATATGCTTTAAAACTTTAAATTGTCCTAGCTTTCTCTTAGAATAGCCAGTGTATAATTGTCAATCACTCTTACTAAGCTAAAAAATAGCGCGTGCCTGGTTTGTTTGATAACAAATATGTTAATGAAATTGCAATAATTTTGAAAAAGAGAGTAGCTGGCTCTTTAGCTTAATCCACTCTTAAGTTGCTCTTCAAATGATATTATTGACCATTTTAGTACGTAGAAAGTACGCAGTAATGGTGAATGCCGATTTAGTATCTCCCATTTAAATTAGTCTTGTTAAATCTATTTCTGAACTTTTTTTTAGTTTAAATTGCATAGTTTAAATGCCGATTGCATCATTTAAAATATATTATAAGAACTATTTTGTTAATTTTCTGAAACTATTTTTATTTAAGTGTACATTTCTTACTTATCTTAATAGTTATAAGGAATTATGGTTGTTCTCTTTTGACTTCCCTGCTTACAAACAGTTGTCGAAATATGTCTTTTTATTTAAATATTTTTTAGACGGTTATATTTTCTTTATTAGATGCCCTTATCAATATGAAGAGTAACATTGGCTGTTCGATGGTTTCCCTTTGCCGTAATATTAGACATCACCCGCACCGAAGTGGATCCCCTATTTATTCCTGTACTATGCAGTTCTTGTGGTTGCCTGCTCTCAGACCAGGGCTCAAAATTGAAATGGAATCCCTCCAAGTCCTGGCAGTTCACTTGGGGATTGCCTTTATCCCGCAGTCGCTGCATGACATGCTCCCTCACTCGGGTTATTCCATCTGAATTGCGACAGATGATGGCAGCCAGACTGGTTTTGTAAATCTCCGCCAGTTGAGCTGTAGAAAGGAAGGTTTGTTTAAGATAATTTATATTAAAGGATTCCGTTTTTAAAAACCCCCACCTTTGGTGAACTTCTGTGGCCCCATCTTCCGCTCATACCAATGGGAGTCGCCCAGTTTGAGGCGTAGGAACTGATCTGATACCATGCAGCTGAGGAGCGGACCGAAGATGGCTCCTCCCAGTGGTGGCTCACTAAGAGCACCCGTGTAGACGTCCACATCCTGGGGAGATCTGTAGATCGATTTTACATTATTTAAGATCAATTTTAATTTGATATGAGGCCAGGTAAATTTGACCTGGTCATGTAAAAACGATGTGGGTTTAGCATGACCTGAAATTTACATGGCCATATCGATTTTACGGCGAAATGCTTTTTTTGAGGTTACTTAACAGAACAAAGTGGATAACGTACTCGTAAATCTGCCTGATGGTAGCCAAAGTAGCGTTGTCTATGGCCTGGGACATCTGCTCCCACGTGTCCACCGGCGGGAGACGACAGTGTCGCCGGAAGACTGGATACGAGGGTATCCCATGATCCCGACCTCTTTGAATGTTTAGCGAGACCAGATCCAGGCCGCACAAAGGCACCCTATCCTCGGCGGTGCCTTCGAAGAGCTTCTGGGTGACCTCCAGTGAAAAGAAGCGATCCACCTGCATCACCGGCGTATCGGCTGCTGTCCTCAGGGCGTGGTCAATGCCATGCTCCGCCCAGAGGGAGAACGGATTGAAGAGCATCTTGTGCAGCTCGATGGCCTCGGGACTACTGTTATCCCTGGAGACATTGAACAATCCCGGCAGAAGGGTGTGGGCAAAGCGAAAGGCGGCTGCTGCAAAGCAATTGGCAATACTGGGATCCACCTCGGGATCATAGGTGTCCGGAGCATTCAGATTGTGCTTGGCAGGGAGTAAACCCTTGGCCTCGCTGAGATTCCTTCCCAGCAGCACGGGCAAAAACTCATTGTACGTGATGTGCGCCATTTGGGCACCCAGTATCTTGCGGGCCTCCTGATACAGCCGCTCATCCTCCCAGTGGGGATTCTCCGCCTGCAACTGGCGAGCCAAATAGTTGTGATGCCTGGCCCACAGCAGATGCATGGAGGTGAGCAGCAGGTTCTCATTGGCCCGATCATCGCCAGACTCGAAGCAGTATTTTCCCAACCTAGTCATCTGAACTCGATTGCAACCATCCGCCGGATTCGAGGAGATGGGCAGCAACTGGCGACCATCGTCCGTGAGATACATCCTCAGCGATCCGTTGATGAAGCTGCGCAGCTGATTCTGCCGCTGCTCCAGATTGCCGTAGACCACGGAGGCATCGATGAAGGCCGTCGCCTGGTTGAGCTGCATCCGTGGACCGAATCTTCCCGTGGGCGCAGGAGCAGATCGCACGAAATTCATGCAACTAATGTTGTACTGCCGGTAGTAGGGATCATCGGGCAGGATGTCCACGGGAAAGCATTCCGGATGCTGCTCCCGGGTGGCAGGCACACAGCAATCGATGGACTCGCCCTCCTGCGAAGTGGTCAGCGAGGTGGCTGTGATGTCGTGGTCCATAAACTGGCCAAAAACGGCCAGCATGACGGTGAAATTCGAGTCCGTCTCGTAGCTGGAACGATGAATCTTCAGGGAGACTTGGCGAGCAGGAGGCAGGCTTCCATGATGACTAACCCGGGGAGCAGCAATGCCATCCGCGTAATCCGGAGACACCATGCGACGGTAGGGAACCATGGAGGCTCCAAAGGTCCTGGGATGTTTCTTATTATTACAAACTCCCGTGGATCTTCTGTAGCGGGCATTAAAGTCACAATCCAATCGCAGAACCGTGGGATCCGGCAAAACTATCTTGGGTCCCCAGCCAATATTGCTGCGCCCCGGCTGCTTGGTGTAGTTGAATCTCTTGGCTATGTCCATGGTGGCCTGGTTCTCCACATAGCCACGTCGGGCCAGTTTCCTAGCCTCTGGATTCGTGCTCAACGAGCGATAGTGTCGAAAGGCCGGCGTATTCACCTCGTTGGGCTGCAAACCCTCCTCCAGTATCTCCCGATCCCCCAGAGCTTTGATCCCAGCACTCACCGCCTGGGCGCCATCGTGGTGACCCAGTGCCGCTTGCTGGAGGGCCCAATCTGCCGCCGGTTCGTCTGGCAGTGGTTGGTTTGGCGGCAACTCGATTTCCGTTTCATTGACAACGAAGAAAAAGCTGGGACCGCCGTCCGCAGCGCCAAGGGAATCGCTGAATACGAGGGCGAGGCACAGGGCGGTGATTACAATTGCTCTGCGGTCGGAAAAGTGAAATCACTTTGTGGTTAGCTTGGTTGAGCCACGACTAAACGTTCACAGTGGCTTGTTAATAGGGTATTGAATATCCTGGTGGAAAGGGGTTGGCATTTTGATTTCTCACTAACTAATCAATAGAGAAATCTCTATAAGTGATTCTTTGTGAAACGTATCGAGATTTTCTTCATGGTCTCAAACGATATCTATCTCGCAATTTAAAAAGGAATTTTAAAAAGCTTTAAAAAATCCATTTGACAGAAGCGAAGACATGGCGATGCTATTTTTGATTAATTAATTTATAATTTTAAATTACGTGGGTTAAAAAATAAATAAAAATTCCCAAAAATTATTATTTTTGCCATGCTTTCAGATAAAAATAACGCCCATAATGGTTCCAGTGCAAAATATAGTACAGGAGCCTTTAGCCAAGGGAACCATATCAAATGGAATGTTTAAAAAATGGTGGAAAATTTCTATCCAAATAAGCGGACTAACCCTCTATTAATACATAACTTTTTATAATAGTTGCCTTAGAAAACAATACTAAAGTTTAAGGATAGGCCACTATGTTTCCTTTTAAGTAGTGATAAACTGCCAAATAAATGTTCACTGATATTCGACATATGCTATTCCAAACTCACATAAAAGTAATGCCCATGCAGCACTGAAACTGGCGCATCTTGTTGCGTCGCGAGCGCGGAGAAACACCACCGGGAAAAACGCGGTCGGGTCCTTGATACGGCGGCAGGGCGACATATCCTGAGCCACCGGCAACGGCTTCGGTTAGCGGCGTTGTTTCGTCCGTCATGATCAGAGCTAAACTGATGCACTCTGGCGGCAAATGCAGCCAGCAGAGCTGTGGGCCAGGGCGACTCTAGAGTTGCCCCGAAACACTTGGCGGGCTTCCGGCTCTCCGCTCGCCACACTTCAGTTACTTTCGCCGGCAGCGCCGCGCTGTGACAAAGCAACTTAGTTTATAATATATTATAATGCCAGCGTTTGAGCGACGCAACAACAAGGCGGGCAACTGTCCGCCGCCCAAGAACACCAGCCATCATCTTGAATTCTTAACGTAAACTTTAATAAATGACATTCGTGAGGTGCACGATTAGACTTCCATATCGTCTGGCTGCCTGAACATGTCGGCCACATACTCGTAGGTCAGTTTCAGCAGATATTGGAACGGTTTCTGCTGCGGCAAATCGCCCAGTTCCACGCTCTCCAGAAAGTCCTCCATGGGCGGCAAGAAGTTCTCAGACTCGTGACCCATAAGCTGCGATAATTCAATGATCTTGAAGAAGAGCAACTTCTGCATGTAATCCACTCCATTGTTTGGGTCGTAGTCCGTCCAGTTATCGCGCTTAATAGCTGCACACCAGATTTTGTGCCGCATATCGTAGGGCTGCTCCACGTAGCTCAGTAGCTCCAGTGCTTTACGGAACTCCGTTTCGGTTGCCGTGTCGTTCTCCTCGGCAATATTAAGCTGTGAATAGAGGGGTTACTTGTTATTCATATACAGAAAAGTATTTTAAATGCAATCTCACATTGATAATCTCTTCGGCTTTGAGCACCTTCTGTTCCGTTGGATCGAAGCCAAAATTTAGCAACACGTCATGGCCCAATTGCGACTGATATTCGACCAGCGTTAGTTCTGAATTGATCTTCTCCACCTGAGCAGTTAAATCGGAATCGGCTGCCGCGAAGGCCGCCAGTTTGGCCAGCGACAGCATAGACTTCTTGCGCGCCACAAACTCCGTTTCGCATTGGGCCAATTCGAACAGCACCTTGGCCGCCCGCTCGAAGTCGCCGTTGAATATTAGCTGGATCCATCCCAGGGACGGGTGGTCGCGCATGAACTGAGCCAGCGCCGTCTGGTTGCCCTTGAAGCGCTCGAAGACCTCGCCATGCCGGTTTTGCCGCAGATGCCAGTTGATGGCAAACTGCGAGAAATCAAATTCCTCATATTTGCGGGTGTAATCGTCCAGGCGATTCTTGTCCTGCGTCTCATCGCAGATGAGCACCAGACTCTGAAAGTCCAAGTACTTTTCGGCCAGCTTGGCGGCATATTCATACTGGCGATCTTTGACTGGAAATGAAATAAATATAAATAATTAATAAATTAATACTACTTGTAGTATATTTATTACTTACTCAGTACTGAGATGAGTTCCCTGCGCTGAGCCTCAAACTGCTGCTGCAGCACATTGAACTTCTCGGAGTCCCGCACGCTCTCCAAATAAGTCCGCCGTCCGTCCAGCACCAGATCGACTAGTTCAAAGATCTGTTGGTACAACTGCTGCTTCAGCTCCGTCTCGCTAACGCAGTGACCGCCATAACGGACGCTAATGTCGATGAGGCGGGTCAAAGTGTCACGCACACCGGCACTTCCGGCCATCGCAGTCCAAGGAAGATTCTCGTAGGATGTTAGTTTGTCGTTGCTCAGCCTGAAGCTACTGGCGTTCTGTTCCCGATGCCTAAACACCTGTCCCAGAATGTCCAAAACAATGGAGTTTATGTCGTTGATAAAGTGGGCCACTGAAACGGTCGTCTGGCTCTGTGCAGCAATTCGATCGTCGGCGATGTCCGCTAGGGCCTCGAACACATTCTGTAGCTTTGACAGCTTCACATAGAATATATCCTGGTAAGTTAGGCTACCATGTGGCTTCTCATCCCACAATGCTACGGTGGCTTCAATAGCCTCTTCGATTAGCTTGGGCCACTTGGTCTGCAAGGAACGAAGAGCCATGGCAGCCACTATCTTCTCGCTGATGTCGGAAAGAATAAAGCTGGTGGGCTTTAGCAAGTGACTTCCGCAAGGTATGGCATTTAACTGGAAGGAAAGTATTAGTTCTTAATAACATTCTGCAGTGATATTATATTCCTGACTCAAACCTTTTCCCAAACTCCGCTGGAATGCAGAAACGCGATGAAATGCTGAAAGGCAATGATCTTGTCCCTCAACTGATTGATAATCTGCATGGAACGCGAGCTGCCGATGGCATGTCGATTGCTGTCCTGATCCCCGATCGCCTCCTCCCAGCGAGGATCGGATATGGGAATATCTTCGGCCAGGTCCTCGGCGATGGTAATGACAATTCTATCCAACTTGTAGGCATCCATGGGTGCACCATTCGGATCGGCTCCAGTTACGCTGCGCAGCAGCTCTCCAACAATGGTCTTGACCATGTTGTTGTTCCTTTTCAGATGGTAGAGGAAGGCTGCCTTCAGTTGGCCCACTTCATCGCAAAGTTCGTTGTAAATTTCATCCGGATCGAGTTCAAAGAGGTGAAGATTATTAGTGCTTCCCGTCATAGCGGATTGATCGGGAGCTCCGAAGCTAGCATTGAATGAAGTAGGGGCGTACAAATCTGGCGTGTTGCAGGAGCTCATGTTCATCATCTCGGTACCATCGAAATCACCTGGCGTTATAGAAACCAGTCCGTGTGTGCGGCTAAAGAACAATGGCAGTTGACTGCAGATGGCGGCACTCAAAATCCGATCGTCATGCAGATGGAACTCGATCTTCTCCGCCTCCAGCTCTGCTGTGGGCACGGAGTTGGACATGTGCAGGGGATACACTACTTTCGGAGTGTACAGATAGATGTGACTGCTGCCCACCACGAAACGCAGGCTGAGACAATCCTCCTCAGTCTTGGCACTAAAGAATTTATTTATCTTAAGCGGTGTAAACGACTCTAGCAGCATGCTTTCTGGTTGAGCACTTCCTGTCACTGAAAAGATCTTTGTTATAAGTCTATTTAATTATTTTTTAGCTAATTCTTACCAAGAGCGTAGACCATTTGTGGAGCATGAGCAGTGTTCACAGCTCCAGCCAGTATATAAGCCTTGTTCTTCACCAAATGAAAGTCTAGGAGATGCAAATCGATCTCCACATTGTCCGCTGGCAGACGGACATTCCAGAACTTTGTTTTGAACTCTTCGCGTATCCTGCGCACCACTTCGCCATCCTCGTAGATTAGATTCTCGGTATTGCCCTTGTTGGACAGACTCCATCGCTGAATTGCACGGTCCGAGAGCACGGCCACAACTGTTTCCCCGTTTTCGGAATTGCTCTCGCAGCGCATGCCAACTAAAACCTATGGAAAATAGTTATTAAGGATGGTTTAAAATGTAAATTACAAGATACTAACCTGATCCTTGTCGCCACCCGTGTTCATACCAATCAAAATAGAGGCAAATTTCTTGCCAAAACCACCCAGAAAACTAGTAGCTGGCTTGATGGTCTTATGGTGCAGTGTGTAACGACCATTGGTGAGACCCACGCGTAGGAATACAAGATTGCAGGTGGTGGTTACGGCTAGGTAGCCCTGCTGTGTTGGTAGATTGAGCAACTGGACAAACTCCTGTCCTGTGAGTATGGACAGATCCACAGAGTTTCCATCGTGTGCAATGGAAGACCAGTAGCGAACTTCTCCGGTGGCGGAAACGGCAATACATGAGGCCATTTGCTGACCCTCCGTTTGGAAAACGCTAATCAAATCGCTCTTGTGTCCCAGGTCGCTGTAGGGCAGAGTCAACTCCCGGCACTGGGCCAGGCCACCGCCGCGTCTTCCCGGTTTGCCCACACGCGGTGGGGAGCCCGACTTGGCTGTGTCTTTGTATTGCCAAATCAAAAGGCGTCTGCCTTGGACAACCTGGAAGACAATAGATTGTGAACCAGTTGCAGGGGATTACCACCGATTTCTTACCCAAGCCCAGCCATTCTGGGTCACTTTGGCCGTTACTGTGCCCGCTCCCGATCCCGCAAAGGTTAGGGCTTCATTGACCACCACCGGCAGTGGACAGCCGAAGCTCTCGACCACATTGTAGTCGGATCGAATGCCGGGAATCGACTGAGTGGAGCGCACGGACAAGCTGAGCCGACTGGAAGAGGAATATTATGATCAGAAGGGTCTACCAAGTGGGCGAGGAGCACTCACCTGTTGGTCAGGGCAGTCTTTTTGAGGTTTCCGGGCAGCTGGCCGCATCCAGCGTTGCCGCCAAAAAAGGATTTTCGCGTGCTGTCCGCCGAAGCCGCTGGCATGCTATATCTCCGCAATCCCGGGGAAGATTCCCGCGACAGGCCGTACAGTTGTTTCTGCAAGTTCCTCTCCATTATTGTGCAGGCTGCGATTTAAGAATCACTTAAAAACAAAAAATAAACAATTATTTCGCAGAAAACAATCTAGCCGGCATGTGTGCGTATCGATAAGCGATAGTTAGTGGCGCACTATCGAAGTCACCGCCGATAACTATTTTTAAAATATATCTGTGAACAGTCACGACATTATAGATTCCAACGTTCCATTTTCAAAAAGTAACGGTGCGAAAATGTTCTGATTTTATTTGTAAAAAATCGTTTCAAATAAATTTATTATTTTTAGACTGGACGATTCAGTTAGCTGTAATAGCTGACAATCAAAAAGGCAAACCTATCATTTTAAATTTTGATCCATTTTATGCAACAAAAATTCGTGATGTATAACCCCTTATAAAAACCTAAAATTTGACAACCAAATTAATTTTCTTAATCAACCTAAAAGTAACAATAACCTATTTATTATACTGTTAGCTGTTCAAACCAATGCGATGTTTTGATATAGGACAATTTGTGTCCAATTTACAGAAAGAAAAAATCATCCAGATCTTGACTTCCCTTAAATTACCAATTTAAATTATGATGTCTTACCTCGTCAAGCTTGAAATAAAATTCCTTATCGATTGCCAAACCTGGACATTTTAAGCTGTATGTATGCTGTAAAAAGTAGATCTTGGTTTTCCAAAATTTGTATCAAAGCTCTTTGATAATATACTAACTCAAAAGAGCCAGTGTATAGATGGCAAAGTTTATAATTGATATTAATCAAAAATTGCAAATTTTGGGTTTGTTGATCGCAAACACTTCCGATTTCTATTGAAAGGTTTTTATTCACTGTGATGCATATAGAATTTGATAACTTCTTGAGATTGTTTACAGGTGCGCCAAGTAGTTTAGGATGCTGCTTCGCCGGCGGCAGAAACTCGAATTTCATTGACTTGAGGCGTCTTTCAGTGAATCGATTTCAGTGCGATATCAACGCCATGGGATTATTGGCTTATTTGGGTTTAATTTCCTGAGTGCCAGCTTCCACACGCCATAAATCAAATACTCGAAAATGCCGCCGCTCGGATTCCAAAGGCAATTACTCAATTAATTTGAATATAATTGTCACAATTTTCCACTTGAAAGCCACACAAAGCCATAAACCAATGGATAAAAAACAGAGACATCCACAATTTGGACGCGTAGGAGGGGCAAATGTAAAACGAGATCGCAATTTGATGTGCATATCAAATAAAAATGTACACAGCGACTCGTTGGATTTTCCGATAAAATGTCAAAGGCTTTAATGGAGGCTGCCAGAGTCACTCAGCCCATCCACTTGACAGCATTGGATCTGGATCTGAATCTTAATCTGGAGCAGTGACAGCGAGAGTAAAAGGCGAAAAGGATGGATGAAAGCATTCACAAATACCAGAGTCGCCTAAAAGATACCCCTTGACAGAATTTACTTAGATAAGAAAAATATTTTTCGGATCTATACCTAAACCTCTATTTATAAAAAATTTACAAGTCAAGTGATCGAACCCAATGTTCTCTGTTGAGGTATAAGGCGTGTGGGTCCTTTATCATAAACAAATTTTCTTGTTTCTTCGTATTTTTAAGAACACAAAGGGAAATGTATTTTTATATGTATAAGTTAGGGTTTGATAAGGCTTGTTTGATTACTTAATCAAGCTAGAAATATGAAATATATAAAGTACGAGTCGTTTAATTAGTTTTGTATACCCTAATATCTCAGGACAAAGCGGGGTAAAATTACGTAATTGATCTGGCGGCATTATTCAAAGGCTGCGGAAATAAAAACTGTTTTTGGGTTAAAAACCACCGATAGTGCTGTTACTATTGTAGTCTTTTCATATTGTTTATTTATTGTTGTTAATAAATCTTAATTTGCTTACCTTACGCTCGCTTTGGCGGTCTGGTGCATTGAGGAAATGCAAATGAGAGCAGTGAAAGCAGTCGGGGAAAGGGGAAAGTAAGTAACTGTGGGTGCAGTGAAGGGAGGAGGAGAGGGGAGAAGGGCACCTCTGCTACAGCGGCTCCAGAACCTTTGATCCTCTGACGCAACATGAATTAAACGGCGCTACAGGGCGAACTCTATCCTGGCTTATCGCCAACTCCCCGATCCGATCCTTTGTGTGATATATGGGAATGACAAATTCTCCACTTGAGAGTTGCCTCGGTCTAGACTCTGCATTTCGTGGGGCATATGTATATGCCTATAGGGACAGGCACACGTCGCCGCAACATTGCCGCCGACACTGAAAGACGAGACCGTAATTGTTTATGGGTCGCAGATTCATATTCCGCCCTCGCGACATGGGCGTGTCTGGTCAGTGTGGTCCATTAGGTCATGTTTAGTGCCACTTGACATGCATTATCCTCCTCCGCCGGCGAGGGCGGTTTGTTTGCCACTCCACGGTCAACTCCTTTGGGAGTTTTGGCGGGGAGCCAGGATGCCAACATTGTCCTTGAACATTACTGTCTGGGAAATGTATCTCATATATAATTGGTATCAAAATTATAAATGCAATTATTTGTTTTATATATTTTACGGTTAATAATTTTGTGATTTTATTTTTCATAAGGATTCTTATATGAACCCTTATCCCTTTCTTATTTTGACTGTCGGATTTAATAAAAACCTTTTTTTTTAAAGAAACTAATTTTCTTCCATAGAATTAAATAAATTATAAAAAAATATAATAAAATTATATAAAATCCTATTTAAATTTGTTTAATTTTAAAATAACTTTAAGGCTGTTTTACAGTAAATACTACACAGAGAGAATTTTTCAAGAAGAATGACGTCCACTAATTTAGTATTTGTATTCTCAATTGGAGGATGTACTGATTTTGTGGACAAATTTTGGAAAAAAAGGCTTATTTCACCCTTGTTGTTTCAACCTTATTTGTTCCCATTTTTGGAGACAAAAAACTCTAAGAAGGCTCAATTCCAAGGTATATTATTCTAAAAATTGGTACTGAATGTGAGTAATTTGCACTTATATTTTGAGTAAAAAACTATCAATTTGAGCGTAAAGTTCTTGAATAATTGTCTCTGAGTATGCATGAAAAGGCCACTTTTAATGGCGATTTAATGTGTATAATACATTTAAGCTAATCCACGATCCCCGTGACTGACACTTAACCCAGGGCAACTGAATCGGAGTCTTCACCCGACGGCCGACCCCAGAAGCTCCGGCTGTCAGAAGTTTTATTTATCCAATTCCGTACTACCCGAAACCGAAAGTGTGATCAGCTGCACTTGTTGGTCTGTGGCTGCAACCTCCCCTCACCCATTGACCCCTGCCATGTGTTTGTGGAGTAATTGATATGCCACTGCCACAACACCACCGATTCACCACCGCAAGCAGATTCAGAATCCGAATCCGAATCAGCCCCCAATGAAATATTAGCCTTTGCCCCGATGGCTGTCATAAAATGTTGAGTTGGAGGAGTTCTTGGGCCCTGCATTTCGTATCTCAACGAGAGAGTATCTGTATCTGTGGAGGCAGGAAAACATTTTACAGTTGCATTGACGATGCCACTTAAACGTTTCATAAATGCAACCTTTGTAATGTCTGCCGCCAACGCATTTCCCCCTTTCCATTTCCCCGTGCCCTGGAATCCCTGCGAAAAGTTGAAAAAGGGAAAACATTTCCCGCACTAAAACGGAAATTGTTGTGTTTTCATTGGCCTTTGAATTCGTTTTTCATAAAACTGATCGCTCGCTCCGATAAAATTGATTTATGCGGCGATCGGCGGCAATTATACGCAGATGCGGTGCCTAATGGATCGGTGGCCGATCGAAAGCTGTTCATAAAGATATAAATACAAGGAGTCATATGCCATGGTGTAATTTGCTTTTTTTCTTTGACAAAGGCTGAACCAAGGAAATATGAAATAAGAAGCTGTAGAATTAAAAGGAAAAAACCAAAAGCCTTTACTGAAAAATCTAAAAAATGTATAAACTAATATAAAACGAAGTATCTGTAAAATTTCTAAAATAATTGCTTATATTTTAAGGAAATTTGTAGTTTTATCTTTTATCCTTTACCACACAAAATTTAGTTTTTTTTTATTACTTTAAAAACAAATGCATTAAGTCAAATAGTTTGTCTTAAACTTTATTTATTGTCCAATATATACATAAAACAAGGTACTAGAGCTATGAGGCGTTTGCTTAAACTACAACATATAGTCTGCTTGAAACTGCAATAAATTAGAGACTCGAATCCTTCGTCCTGGGAGCGAACTACTGCATGTGCTGGATCTGTTGATGCTGCTGCGATTGCTGGATGGTTGGGGGCCACATCACGTGATTGGGAATCGGCGGGGGCAGCGAGGTGGGCGAGTGCAGGGGTTCGGTCTTCAGCTTAAGATGCTTGGCGATGCCCTCGCAGTCGATGTCACCCCGTTTCGACTTGTATCGCCTATTCTGGAACCATATCTTCACCTGCGTCGCCGAAAGATTCAGCTTCTGGGCGATTATCTCGCGCTCCGCTCCGGTCAGATACTTTTTCAGCCGAAAGCGACACTCCAGTTCCAGGACCTGAGCCTGCGAGAAGAGCACTCGGGGCTTTCGCTTCATCCTTGGCTTCGAGGATCCGTTGTTGCTGCCATGGCTGCCGGTGCCATTGATGCTGTTTTTGCGCAGCTCGGAGCGCGAGGAGGTCACCTGGCTGTTGTCCTCTGAAAGGTGAAAAATTAGACAAACATTTAGTATGAGAAATATCTAAAAAAAAAAAGAATTTGTTTTGATGTGTTCGAGATTTTCAAGCTTATGCCTTTAAAAAAACTTAAGATAAGTTATCTCAAAAGTTCAACACTCAACATAATAAATTATTTAAATGATTAAATTTTCCATTTAAATTTTTATTAATGGTAAAGAGCTAAGCCGACATTTAACCAACATTTTTGTTTATTTGACTTTCTAAATATCCTTTTCTGACACTTTTGCAATATGTGGTAAAGGCTCTACGGAACTTCCTTATCTGAACTACTTTATGAAGCCAAAAATTGCAAAACTCTATATTATCCCTAAAATATTTGTTTGACATTTTGGTCTTATAAAGTCTTAAGAAATATCTGAATATGGGCTGTAAGTCACATCTTTGTCTTCATTATCCTTTAAAGTAAAATCTGTTTTACAAATCAGAGATTGGAAATCCCTATACTATTAATTGTGGACTTACGAAATCAATGCTTATTATTTCTCTAACCTTATTGTTTTTTCGCAAGATTCAAATAAGTTTTCATTAATATTCTTTATGTATAAAGTATACTGAACTTTTTTTTCTTTCGATTCTTGAAACCCAATTATTATTAATAATGATATAAGTACTTACTTCTCTTGGCACCCTCCTCGGCGCTGTGAATGCTCCTTAGCGAGGCCGAGTTGCTGGCCGTCTCCATGAGACGCTGTGCCAGGGGATTCCCGCAGAGCTTTTGCGCCGGCGTTTGCAGGCTGTCCACCTCCGCGGAGCTGTTGAGGTCCAGGGTGGGCGAGGGCGTCACATAGGGCGTGGGTATGTACTCGCTCTTGATGCCCACCGGGACGACCGAGGGCGTGACTCCGCCGTAAACCTCTCCCGATCCGCTTCCGGTTCCTCCGTAGTTGTAGTTGTAGGTGGCGGGACTTTGGTAGGCCGTCGCCGAGGCTCCGGCGTAAAACTGCGAGGCGGACATGTTGTAGGCCGTCGCGGAGTGCTGGAAACTCTGGTGGGGATGATGCCCATGATGATGCTGGAACATGTGGGCGGGCATTCCGTAGTCCTGGTATCCACCATAAAGCTGATGGGGCGGCGGAGGCAGGAGCGGCGACAGAGACGACGATGTGGTCGTGTTGGTGGTGCCATCGTCCAAGTGCTGGGGATGCAATTGCTGCTGCTGGACCGGCAGCTCGGATTGGTGATGCTGCTGGTGGCTGTGGTACTGATGCGGATGCTGATGGAGGTGCTGCTGGTACTCGCCGGCGCCATAGAGCGCCGAGGCAGCGGCCGCACTGCGGGAAAGCAGGGAAATGAGAAAGGCGAAAGGTTAAACAGGGAACTCGAGCTATATGGCCGCCATATGTTGCATCATGCCGGACATTTTGGCTCCCCGGACTGCAGACTTTTTGCCCACTTCCTGCTGGCGCGACAGGATCCTTGGTGACATCATTTCATGGCTCATCAGGAAATTAAGGACGCCCCCGGGGCGGCGGACGCACACATGCGAATCACACATGTTGGCCAGCCAAAAAAGAGGATCGAGGCGATCGCCCAACTGACTGACCGACTGCCTACCTCGGACATTTCTTGTTGTTCTTATTGTTAACACTGTGTCTTCGCATCTTTGTCTTCGGCCTCTTGTACAAATAACGATGATTTGTCAAAGCCTCGAGGTTCGAGGTTCTTCGGTTCCAAATCCTATTTGCAATTCATGCTTTCTATGTGTTTTCATAGGATTTCTTCTGCTACGTCTCGACGGAAGGTTATCAAAATATTATCTTTCGTTGGAAAATTGGTAGAAATTAATTTTCCTATGGAGCCCTATTAAATAAAAATAAATAAAATGCATTCGGGGATGGGAAGTGCGCTGAGAAGAAGTTGCTGACAGGTAGAAGTGGCAGAGATATTCAAGAAGATGCTGGGTAATAAGTAAATATCAGTTAAATAACAGTTGGCATGGCCTCTATAGCCTCTATAGAGAAGTATACTTCTCAGAATCTATATGTTGATTTAATTGTAGTAAATAGGAAAGTTTATGAATTTTACTAAAACATAATATTATTATTATTTCTTAATTAATCAAGAAATCCTTTGTTCTGATTTCCATTTAGATGTAAAACCTTTTTATATTCCTAAAACATCAATCCTATTCCAAAAACGGAGAGATCCTAACTTTTGAATAAGGAAGTCTTAACTAGTATGATCCCATTTAAAAAATCCTTAAAGCTTACCTATCGAGATGCCCGTAGGCGCCTTCGTAGGCCTCCGTTTGGTTGACCATGTTCAGTATATCCTTGACTGAAAACGGAGTGGTATTCAGCGAATCGGCATTTGTCAAACTGCCCGGACTGGGGGACTGATTGTAGTCGTAATAGCCACCCGATTGAGCCTGCTGCTGATGGTGCTGCAACATCCTCGCGATGCGATCACTTGGCCACTTGAGAAGCACTTGGAATTTAAATAAATACAACAATTTGCCAAATCGCACTTGAACTTGCGACACTTGAATGGGTATGGGAATCTCGGTAGTTGGGCAATCGAGTAGGTGGCGGAGTACACCCCACCGAAACCGTAATCGAGATCGAACTGGTTGGTAACCCGTAACCCGTAAGCCCAAAGACGTAAAGTGCCGTTCCGATGCGCACTCGACCGTGTCTGCAATTTGTCAGCTCGATTTTGGTACTGACCGAGTGCTTCTTTCACCCCAGATTTCCTTATAGTATATGGTATGGTGGTGTGCCATACAGACGCACACGAGTACCGTTACGGGGAAAATGGCCGCCCAGAAGCCAATCACAGCACAGCATCGGAATGCGGACTTCTCTCTCTATCCCGTTCGTTGTGTTCATCTCTTTGGATAGAGATGTACTCTTTTTAATAATTTAAAGAATCTTTTTATTATTATGTAGAGTACAAAAAATAGTATAAAATAAAATAACAATACTTTTAAAATTTAAAAAACAAGTTAAAGCTTTTCTTAATTTATATATTACACCTATCAATATGAAATCATTTAATCACCAAGACACTTGCATTTTAAGAAAATATTAATTTGATATAACCACAAAATTAAAAAATGTAAAAAAATAATTAAATGAAGATATCAGTTTAAGATGTCAGTTCATTATAATTCTTGCGTGATCTGCGTGATTGAGAAAGCATTTCTTTGTTACCCTCTCTATGACCATCCTCTTCGCTCTGTCTATATGTGAACCACCATGTGTAGGTGTGTACATTGCACATACACAATTCTATATGTATCTTTAAACAATCACAGACTTTGTACCTTACTATCAGATTCAATAACCGACTCCTTCGTATTTCCACTTGCAACGTCACGAATTCCTCTGCCTGCTCCCTGTTGTTATTAGTTGTTTGTTCGCAGCCACTTTATGCAGATTTTGTTTCGCTACTTGAGCTTGAGTATCTGTATTTATTATTGTAAAGTCCTTAAGTTTTATAGTCCCTTTATACGTTGGTTTGCTTATAGTGTATAGTGTACAAACTGGATGTCAAGTGGCGCTCAAGTGCAGATTTTCGCACACTTGATTTTATGAGTTTACTTAGCTGACAAATGATAAATTCGAGTAACAGCAAAGTATTTATTTCAAGTACTTTTGCACATTTAAAAACACTTATGTACGTCCAATCGTGACAACAGGTGTTTTTTCAGTATACAAATTATAAGTTACTTTTATAAGTTTTTCTCTTTTTATGCAACTTCTGCTTCTTTTTCCTAGAATAGGAAACAAAAGCGCGAGTTTCCTTTTTTCTTCTAATTTTTGGATTAAAGCTCTTAAATGTTGGAATTGAATTTCCTTTTTTCTTCTAATTTTAAGACTAAAGCTCTTAAATGTTGGAATGGTCATATAAAAAATAAAATTCCTATTTTCCTATTTAAAAAACACGAACGTATTTTTATGTTAATCGTTTTACAGTGAAACTATCAATAATTATAAGAAAAACTTATATTATGATCAGTAAATCAACCGTTTTATTTCTGAATCCTTAAATATAATTCTAGTTAGTTAAATTTAAAAGGCTGTGGCTAGAGACAAATAACTTCTTACTATGTTGTTCCAAATGTTTTTTGTTAAAAGATAATTTAGTAAAGCATCATATTTTCTTTTAAAAAATAACGTATTTGAGGCCAAATTCCTCATTGCTATGCCAGGAGTATGTACCCGCTATCCTAGCCGATACATCCTCCTTACATTTCAGGGTGACCGTTTATTTGACATTTCTGGTATATTTTGCTCGGTATTTTTTCCAAGCCAGTTTTATCGATAAGTACGTGGTCCCTCAGATCCAGTCGTTTGCACATCTCAAATTTTCGCTGAACAAATCGGACGCGTTCTGCGCGTAGTCCGCGCGAGAATAAAATATAAGTTTAACTTTGGCTTTTAATAGTTATTTTTAATGAGAAATATTTAAAAAAGAGGTGAGTAACTGCATTGCTTTTAAAAGTTTACAAAATTTTGCGGTCGATCAGTGTAAAAAGGCACTTATTTCGCACAGACACACACACACACACATGCAAGTACAGACGCGTGAATTTCCCTGCTTTTTGGCTGCGTTGCATTTTTTTGTGTGTGCTGTTACCTTTTTTCGGCACTCGCTTCTGGCTGTAAACAATGTTTTGGCCAGTTGGTCAGTTAAAACATTGACTAATAACCGTGCAATGCACTTTTTCCGCCTGCAGGCCAGCAAACGCATAGATACAGAAAAGTATTGATTTTCGTCCAAGATGGCGGACGACGAGCAGTTCAGCTTGTGCTGGAACAACTTTAATACGAATTTGTCGGCTGGCTTCCACGAGTCGCTATGTCGCGGCGACCTGGTGGACGTCTCCCTGGCGGCCGAGGGGCATATTGTGAAGGCCCACCGCCTGGTGTTGTCCGTCTGCTCGCCCTTCTTCCGCAAGATGTTCACCCAGATGCCGTCGAACACCCACGCTATCGGTGAGTTTTGGCCTCTGCTTTTTTTGAGGTGCCCATTTGATAATCGTATTTCCCCGTATTATCCAGTATTCCTGAACAACGTAAGCCATTCGGCGCTGAAGGACCTCATACAATTCATGTACTGCGGCGAGGTCAACGTGAAGCAGGACGCCCTGCCCGCGTTTATTAGCACTGCGGAATCGCTGCAAATCAAGGGGCTAACGGATGTGAGTATATATGTACACTTAATATAGTGGGTATATCAAATCGGTGTGGGGAGGGAGGGGGACAGTGGCAAAAACAACAATAACGAAAGCATCGCCGTTTGCGCGCCCAATACACACACGCCAGCGTCTGTATAAGAGCATGGTTTGACTGTACCGAGAAATTTCTCGCAAACCAAATGCCAAAAGGCACGCGTGCCAGACAGGGACAACTATAGGGTGCGTGTGTGTTGTCTCGCTCTCGCCTTTATAGCAACGACCAACTGGGTGGTTGTTTTTGTTTCGCAGCGAATTCGGTGCCAAAGCATAAACATTCATTTGTACCGGAGATTAAAAAAAAAACAACCATAAAACTTGCAGTTGGAAACAAGCTTTTGACGATTTTATTTTAGTAACTGTAATATAATCATTCTACTTGTAGCAGGGAAATGATTTTTAAATATTTTCGTTAAAAATTAAAGTACCTATTTTTCTTAAAGATAAAAAATATTAGCCAAGGAAACTGTTTAGTTTATTTTTTTTTTATTTAGCCTATTATATTTAACTGATAGAATAGAAGACATTCAGATTTAGATAGATTTTTTTTTTTGGTTGGAATTTTTAAAGAAATAATTTCTGGTGCACATCTTACTTTCTCTATAGTGAAATCCTATTAATTTAATTTTAAATCATCCCTTTTCCAGAACGATCCTGCGCCGCAGCCACCGCAGGAGCCCAGCCCGCCGCCAGCAGCACCTCATGTACAACAACAACAGCAGTTACCGGCTCAGCGGGTTCAGCGCCAGCAGCCGCGAGCTTCCGCCCGCTACAAGATCGAGACCGTGGACGACGGACTGGGCGACGACAAGCAGGGCACCACCCAGATCGTCATCCAGACCACGGCCGCACCCCAAGCCACCATTGTACAACAGCAGCAGCCGCAACAACAGCAGGCGGCGCAGCAGATCCAGACGCAGCAGCAGCTGCAGACGGGAACCACGACGACGGCGACGCTGGTGTCGACAAACAAACGCTCCGCCCAGCGATCCTCCCTGACCACCGCCTCCTCCTCGAGTAGCGGCGTGAAGCGCTCCAAGACAAGCGCCTCCGCCAATGTAATGGACCCCCTCGATTCGGCCACTGAAACTGGAACCACGACAACCACCCAACTGGTGCCGCAACAGATCACCGTGCAAACCGCTGTGGTCTCGGCGGCCGAAAGTAAGCTCCACCAGCAGACGCAGCAGGTCCGCCACCAGCCGCAGCAGGAGGAAGCCGAGTATATTGATCTCCCCATGGAATTGCCCACGAAATCGGAACCTGACTACTCTGAGGACCACGGTGATGCCGCCGAGGGCGAGGGCACCTATGTGGAGGACGATGCCTACGGAGACATGCGCTACGACGACAGCTACTTCACGGAGAACGAGGATGCGGGCAACCAGACGGCGGCAAATACAAGCGGCGGCGGAGTGACGGCCACCACGTCCAAGGCGGTGGTCAAGCAACAGTCGCAGAACTACAGTGACTCCTCGTTTGTCGACACCAGCGCGGATCAGGGCAACACAGAGGCTCAAGGTTGGTTGAATTCCCCCAGTAAATATGGCCAACGGTCATTAGTTATAAGTAGTATTTAGAAAAGGTCTAGATTTTCGCTTGCAAGATGTTAGCAATTTCCATTTTGTACCTTTATTGAGGTGTACATTTGATGTATGTTTTCTAAACTTATCTACTTTGCCAGCGAAGGTCTTGCTCTTTTAAAATCTGGTAAAGTGCGTTTAAATATGTTTTAAAACAAATTTAAGCTTTACTTTACTGGGCCATAGTTAATAACTAGTTAAGTAAGCCTGTGTTCTATTTCAAAACGCTAAAGAACACCTGGCAGATCGGCTGTCTGATGCATATTAATTAATTAATGCTACGACGGCAGGATCACGCGGTTTTTTATAAATTTGGTTAAAAGGTGAGTAGAGTGTTGAAATTTCAAAAAGCTGCCAAGCCCAAAATGATGGTAGAGCTGCAACCTGGACTCTCCCGAAGATCTGCAACTAATTAAGGTAATACCAGTAGCCGTAGAAATATTTCTCTGTATATTTTTGTTAAATTGCAGGTATTTTATAATTCCTTGGGCAAAACTGAGGTAGAAGTCTTACTTCACCAGAGCGTTATTATTTGAACTTGCGCATTATTGTTTAAATAATAATTCTCTGTTGATGATTGGATTTGGTTTGGTTTTAAAAATCTCCATCTCGTTCACCAAGATGTTGTCTAGACTTGTTGAAGCAACGTAAAAGCTTGCTGATTCAATTCTTGCAACGGCATTTATTGCCGAGTCTTAAAAGTAACTTACTTTAAAAGAAGGTGTACATCTGTGTATTCCATTACCAAAGGGAATTGTTTTCTTTTTCTCAAGTTTAGTCCCAAAATAATATGTTTGGATTTTTTTTTGTGCAGGGATCTTAACGATTTGTTTTGTTCGGTGGAATTTGTAAAAATGATTTTAAATATCCTAGTCTTCAAATGAAGTTAAAGAATTAATGTTATTCCGAGTGAAGCGTAAACTAAAAAATCTTTGTATACAAATGAATGACCGATAATTGCAAGAACCAAGTTTTGTAGGAATATTTAATTTCGTAGGGGTTTTGTCAACTTTTTGATTGAAGTGAGATCTAGGCTCAAGAAGAGTAGTTTTGTATGTATACGAGGTATCGAAAGTGCAAGTTTTTTGAATGTAGATTGAGTTTAATGTCCTGCTCGTTAAATTTGTATAATTCTAGAATAATTGAGTTTACTTATTAGTATTCTTTTATTGTAAAATGTATTGCACCGTTTTAGTATGTGATTTTATTTATTGGTGAATGTCTGATTTTAAGAGATTTATTTAATTTAAAGGTCAACTATGAAAATATCTGAAGTTCTGCGCCGAATGTTTTAAATAGAATACCTTTTATTAATCTAATTATTCAAGCTTCTTTTGCATAAAGGTTAAGTTTGTCGTTAAACGGTAATGTGCGTTGCGTTTGTTTATGTTGAACATGGTCGTAAGTTCGTAGATTTAATACCACAATTATCGTTTGTATTTTAAAAGAGAATAATAAAGAATTATCCGCAAAGAATTTAAAATTTCATTAAACCTGGAACGGCTGTTTTTCATGTCATTACTTTGACGGCGTTGCCACTTTCTGGTAGCCCTAATTGCAAATGCAGCCCTGAAATTCCAAAAGAGTGGCAACGCCGTTCGGAATTATTCCGAAAACCAAGCTGAATTTGTTTTGTTTTTTGATTTATCTCATGTGAATTACAATGTTTTTCAATTCACAAATTAGTTATTTCCTGCCTGTGCAAAAGTGTGTGATGGTGTTAATTGAGAAATTCAAGTGAAGGGGTGAAAAATGGGCCGAAGCCTTGGTGTGTTCAGTGCTAATTGTTTTCCACCCTTGTGTTTTGTGATAATTCCTATTTGAAACCCAAGCGATGTAAATTCGCATGAAAATGCTACCGTAAGTTGTAAAATTATACGTTCCGGGATTCTGTAAGTATTATAGGATCATATTCATGGGTCCCACGGTTAGCTGTCTGCCAATAAACTGCTTGAAGCCAAAGTCTAAACTAAATGTTGTTTTATTTCGCCGATTCTAGCCTAGCGCTTAAGCCATACATATTAACTAGATTAGGTATTATAAATTAGAAATAATATTGCGGCCACTAAACCAACTTCCCCGCCTTCTTGTCACCCCTTTGTTTTCGGTTATCTTCGGGCCACTTGCAGATGCGGAGATCAGTTTCATCCGCAGCCAGAAGAAGAACGCCCAGCTGGTGTACCGGAACTACATCTACAACAAGAAGCTCACCCAGGCCAATGGACAGACCACCTGGCGATGTGCGGATGTCCTCAAGCTGCGCTGCAAGGCGGTGGTCATCACCCGCGAAGGTCAATTCATCGACGCCCGGCGTCAGCACAACCACGAGTCGCACTCGTCGCGAATTGGCCAGCGGCAGCTCTATAAGGTGGAGCAGGAACTGGATGAGTACATCGAGATCTGCACCTCCAATCCGAAGATCTCACAGTATCTGGGCAGCAGCAATATCATTGTGACCGCCAAGGACGGCAAGGACTGCAAGCTCTTCCTGCCCGCCGCCGAGGCCACCGAGATCGAGATGCAGGCCCTGGTCGACGCCGCCGAGGAGGAGGAGGAACTGCAGGCCGAGGCGGAGGAGAATCGGGCACAGCAGCGGGACCGGGAACGGGAGGCCAGGTGGCAGGCGGAGGAGGCCAAACGCCGATCCCTGCTGAAGACCAAGCCCCTCTAGATGATATCAACTAGCACCTAAGATCGTATTAGGCTCGAACTTCGGGATGGGCCGATTTCTTTGACAACCAAATTGGATGCAAAAAATCCGAAGCTATATGCAAATTTTTCTAGGAAGCTATAAAAATTGTATTATGTTGTACTTAGGTAGATCTAATATTTTATTGGGTCTAATTTCATTTAAACAAAAAATTAGTCCGTTTTAAATTTGTATGTTTATGTCAATGATAATATTTGTAAATATTTTATCATAATTTATTTAAATTAATGATTATTTTTATTAAACACTAGCTAACTAGTAGTTTTCTAATTTTCCAAATATTTTAAATGGTTAGCCATACAAATCGGCCCACCCACTCGAACTTAGATTAAGCCACTTTTCTGACTTCTGTAAACGTAATTCGTACTTACCCCCTAATAAACTGAGACCAAAACAAGGAATGGAGCTCATTTCGGAAAGGACTACACTCCATCATTATAAGCAATTGTAACCCAAATATAGACTACTAACTAATTATACAATAACTTTTATTTTACAGGTGGCAACAAGCTAGTCTTCATAGAGAGTCCCTGGGCGACGCCGTGTCTGGTGCTAAATGGCTACATGTACAACTGCCACAGTCGGAAGAGCAACAAACAGTACTGGCGCTGTCACAATTACTCAAAAAAGTTGCACGAAATGCGCTGTCGATCTCGCTGTGTCCTGGAGAACGGTCGTCTGAAGAGCATAACGGGTGGGCCTCATAACCATCAGCCGCACACGGAGAAGATTGACAAGATCATTATGCGGAATAAAATGGCATCGATCAGTACGGGGAGAAAGATCTCCAGGACACACAGCTTCACACAGCAGCAGCTCCAAGAGACGAAGGCGGAGGAGTTCGACGAGGACCACCAGTTGACCACCGATGCGGTCGCATTGCAGCTGGCGGATCACGAACTGATGCACGCCTCCATGATGCTAATGCACGAGTAGCTGTGGTCTCTGCAGTGCAATGTAGTTACTAAGTAACAGGGATTGAAAGTACATACAATTGACCTATGTGCATTTTGACTTGTAAAAAGGTATTATTATGATTTAGATATCAAATGAAGAGAATTTAAAGTGAAGTACAGTAAATAAGATTGTGAATATAGCTGTAAGCCTTACATTTTAGTTTTTCCAATAATTTACATTGTTACCTACGAAGGATCTTTTTCGGTTTATATTTTCCATAAACAAAATACTACTATTCCTTTCAAATGATCAACTGAAATAAAGATTTGAACTCATTAACGTTATCGGTCTCCGTTGTGATGTATTTTCAGCTCAAGTTTCGAAAAGTAAGTTTACTTCCATAGTTCATTTACTAACTCATTATTTCAATTTCAGTCCTCACCTACGATGATCGAGGAAGACTGGTCCACGAGGGATTCACCTTCACCTGCCACACTAGGAATCCCGAGAAGTGTTTGGCCTTCTGGCGTTGCTCCATGTACAAAAAGTTGCACTGCACCTCAGGTCTAACCACCCACATTAAATCAATAAAATCAATCCGAGGCTTCCACAATCATAAGCCACCCGAAAGGCTAAAGACATTTGTACCCAGAGTAATTGATTGGGAATCTCGCCCAGACAAAAAGGATAATTAAACTGTAAGTATTCTAATTTATTTTAATTATAATGCTTTTAAACTGCAACATTCCATTCCCTGTTTATCCAATTTCGTATAAGGCTTATAAATATTGGAAATATTCTTCTTTATTGCAGATAAATTTATAAGCAAAGGCTGTACAAATTTCCTAGGACCCACGGAATCATAGTTGTGAAATTGAATAAAATAGTTATAAAGCAACCATGGAATCTGTTTATTTAAACTAGTTGCAGATATATAAATAACGATCTCATATATATTTCCAAACTAATATATTTTTTTTATTCTCCTCCGTTTTTGCAGGTGCTAAAGGATTACGAATAATAAAACCTACTCAAAAGGTGCGGCAGAACCGAGTTGTTAAACTTGCATCCACAGTCCGTTTGGCAGCAGAAGAAATGGTTAGTGTGGACCCCGTGCGTAGAATAAACTTGAAGAACCCGGATAACATTATCCGCACCTCATCCAATCACCATAACTTTGTGAATGTGGGATTGCCTCGCTTGAAGGGAAAATGTGTGAATTGTCTAAAGAAAAACGTTGCAGGTTTGATCAGGATAAGCACACTGTGCGACACATGTCCAGGCAGCAACTGGATGTGCGAACCCTGCTTCCAGGAACTGCACTCCTCAAGGAATTGAGAAACATTTTTTAAAATAATATTTGCTTTTTATAATTTCAGAGTAGATGGTTTATAATGTAGTGTCTTTAATTTCTGTTTGTATCGTAAACTTTGTATTTTCAATGTTCATTTGCAATATTGACAACTATGTATTAAGTAAATAAACAACTCAACATTTTTCAAGTAACTGAAATTGTTAAATTATTTAATTTTTGGATCACCATTCCCGCAAATTCTATAATGTGTAAAAAATATATCCTTGTGTTCTTTTCTTGCAGATTTCAGGAAACTTACAAGTAGTTTACGTCCAAAGATTTTTGTCAGGAAAGCGCAATCGCTGCGTAGTGCAAATAATGATAAAAAGACAAGGGGACCGGCGAAAAAGCAATCAAAGCGTATGTTGGACTGTGTTGAAAATATCGCTAGGACCTCCTGGAATCAACATAATCTTGTTGTGGTCAGAAATAAACACGGTGGAGATTGTGTCAGTTGCCTAAAAGCCCACAAAGAGAACTTGACACGGGTCAGAACTTTTTGCATCACTTGCACGGGAGGTGAGTGGATGTGCGCTAAATGTTTCGATACAATACATGCTCCACCGAAAGCAGACGACTCTTCACCCTCTGATCTTATCAAAGAGGAATTTATAAATATCAATTAGATTCTTGGAATCGGATTCCGAAACATGCTACTAGTTTATAGCTATTAATAGACTTTATGAGATAAACCTCGTTTAATAACATGGCATGTTAATGGCTACCAAAAGCTCAAACAGTCTTAACTGGAATTTTTATTTTTATCATGGCATTGATTAAAAATTAAATTTAAAAAAAACGAAGGCAAATATTTGGCCTTAAATTTTAACTAAAAATTAATGTCATTCCAAAACTGTAAATCTGTAATACAACAATTCAGGGAAAAATTAAAAAATATGTTTAATTCTATGATAAAACCGTCCAGAAAATGTGACTTCAAATAATTGCTAATATTATAAACGATAAAACTGATAAGATCATTCTTTTGCATTACGAAGATTAAATGAACTAAAATGTAAATGTCTTAAACATCTTTAATCATTAAAAAACCAACATTAGTTCAAAGTTGGATCTGTTGTCAGTTACACTCTCAGTTACTTCCTGGATTTCATCCTCTGACGAAGCCTTCCTCGATCCTTTTTCGTCGGCGGAAGATCGTGGTTGTGGGGGGCATGCAGGACCTCCAGGCGATTGTTTTTCGTGGTTCGAATGCGAGCCCGGCATTTGGTGGTGGACCGTGTGGCACATATCCATTTGGTTCCGCGACCGTTCTCCATGAACTTCACGTAGCTATGGCCGTCGTAGTTTAGCTTGATGGACTCACGCTGGCCCTTGGTGAAGTAAAACTGAGGGGCGTCACCTGGAAAAAGAAGAGATTTGTGACCCGGTTGGTTAGTAAAACGCATTTTAGGTGGGCAGAGTACTCAAACTGGAACTGGAGAAGATTCGTAGATGCTACATCGATTCAATTGCACTGTTTAGGGCTTACATTTATTACATTTACATATATTTAAGTGTTTATAATCTGAATCATAATCGCTAACTTAGCTTGTCCGTTTAAGGGCGTTAAATAAGTAGACTTTTTAAGAGAAGGGAAAAAAGAAAGAAATGTCTGACAACGTTCGACACATAAAAGAAGGTGAAACCTTGGAAAATAATATTAAAATATTCTTAAATTTAAATTTAAATATTTCATATGGGTTAATAGTCGTAATAAGCCTTTTTTAAATTCAACAAAAGTATCTAGCTCTTAGTTTCCGAAGTGGCAAGTTTAAAAATTATAGTTAGAATGCTTCGAATTTTCTATATAGTAAAATCTGACCCTGCGATTTTTCCCTTTGAAAAAATCGAGCCATTCTCGTGAAAAGACGGAATTCACTTCCGACGGCTGACCACTCGCGTGGCTCCCACAATGCCCGTGACATCCGCCACGATTTCCTCGTACTTCAGGTGCATTCCCAGCTCACTGACATCAATCGTGGCGGGAGATTCGTCCTCGAGGATTGCTCCAGCATTGGTCAACATGGCATCGCTGGTCAGCTGAATTTCTTGCTGCTGATGGGTCTGCTGCTGCTGCTGCTGTTGCCTGGCTGTTGTGGTGACCACCTTGGCAATTGTCTCCACCGGCGGCACGCGACGCACTCGCTTCTTGCGCCGCACAATCTCCTCGTGCGTGTGGAATCGGTTAAGCGGACAGACGACATCGTTGATGGTGAAGACACGGGAGCGGCACTTCTGGTTCCACCATTGGTTGCATCGCCAGAAGCGCTTCTCCTCCCCCGAAGAAAGTTTCAGAGTTTTCTCGAAGATGAACGGCTGACCGCCGTAGATCAGTTGCATTCTTCCCCGGGATGTTGCCGAGTAGATTGCCACGCTGCTTTCTGCGAACGGAGAAGGTACAAATCGGGATTAGTAAAGTGTCAATTGCTGAATTATTCACTACATCTACAGATTCAGAGGCCGTGTAATGCTGTTTGCCAAGTCATGGCGCGTTTATATTTCGCTCAGCTTAAAATCTAATAGTTCATCATAAAGCGACGCTTCGTAGGCGGATGGTTGTGCTCCGGCTGGGACAGGAAAACCTTGTACCGCCCGTTCTTGAGCTTAATCGACATAAATCGAGCTTTGCATGGACTTCTTCCATGTCGACGGCTCCGGCAGTGCCAGTATATGGTGTCTCCGTGATTGTTGCTTTTGGTAAAGGGATATTTTTTGTACAGTAGCTGAACCTTCTTTTGTTGAGTCCGAACGATTCGAATGTTGGGGAAAAAGTCCAAACAGTTGCCGTCCTTATCGTATATTGAATCTACTGGAAGATGCTTCAGTTTCGAAAGGCAAACTGTAAAAAAAAGAGTATTTAGATTAGTAATATCATCAGTCAAAGTTGGTTTACAAAAAAATATATTTCTTAAGCTTAAACATAAGAGAAAATTATAAAGATGTTTTTTTTTTTTTATAGAAATTTTTAATAAACTACACTTGTAATATTCTTTGGGCATTTTTTGATATGACCTTTAGTTCCGCCATTTTACCTAAGATATGATCAAATTGGTCGAATCAGAGATTATGTCTGATTACTTGCTCTACATTTTAATCGACCGTGTGTTAATGCAGAGTGGATTCCTCTCGAGGCTAAGTTTTCGGTCCTCCACGCGTGTGTCCATTTTCTGCGTGGTGTACATTGTGGGATGCGTGTGCCGGTTGCTGGTTACGTGGATAATATCCCCGCCCCTGGTGATTCGGGTAACCAGGCGCGCCCGGCACTTGGCCTTGTGATACATGGAGCACTTCCAGTCGCGACTCTTCTGGCCCTCCCTCAACTTTTCATTGGGCGTATAGGTATTTCCCTCGTGGTAAACCAGATCGGTACCCCTATTGGAGCGCACATACTGCGCTAGCTTCGAGTTATCTGCAAAAGATTAAATATCTTCATTAGTTAATGATTTGAGTATTCAATTTAAATGTAAAGATGTACGAGCAGAATGGCATTTTTGGAGTAGTGAAAAGCAGGCGAACTTTTTTCAACGGAAACCGTTTGTTTATTCCTTAAGACAGCTTGGTACCTGCTACTTCTTAAAGTTACGTCCGCTCACCACATCTTTGCGGCTGTGGTTGTGGCCCTCGTGCCGCATCCGCACCTTGTTCGTCTCCCTATTTACAATTGCGCGGGCGCGGCAACGGCTGCGGAAGTTTGCGCACTTCAAGTAGGTGCGCCGCAGATTTGTAGTGCCGACCACGAAGCGGTAGCCATCGATGATCGTAAATCCGTTCTGTCTATAAACACCACGATGCTGGGGACCTGTTAAGAAATAGCCATAAGTAAGTCACATATAAAAGATAATATTAAGGCTTAAAACTACCTTTAGTGTGTGGGTTATTGTGCAGATATGGTGCCTTGTGAACTGAATGAACCATCTTAAAACTACCATAACACCTGGGGTTATGATTAACAGACAATAAAGTTAGATGCACAAATGATTACAGATTCCCTTTCACCAAAATGTAACAATGCGTTAATGAAAAGGACATGTATTAAGACTATTTAGCTTAAACTAACAATTGATAGATCCCAAACTGGAGGTAAAGTTAACTTCTAGAGCGCCTGCTGGAACGCTTGCGACTGCGCTTGTGCAGCTTGAAGGAGTGCGCCGGATGGTTGTGGTGCCGGTCGCTCAGCTTGATGTCGCTGCTGCTTTCCGGATTGGTGACGCACCTCGCCGGGCAGCGGATGGCACTGTTGCTGTTCTTGGAACACACCCAGTTGATGCTGTTCCGGTACTTGCGCTCTACGGTGTACATGTGCCCCTGGAAGATCAGGCTCTTGCCGCCCCGGCGATTGGACACCAGTTGGTAGCAGGCTGCAAAGAAGAAGGAGAGATTAGTGAGAAGGCCTCCGGGGATGCGCTAAAGGAGACTACAGAAACTACAACGGCGCAAGACGGCTATTTGGTCAACGGAAACACCTTTATTGGACTAATGAGATGGCACAGGTAGGTAGTTTGTAGCTTATGGATGGTTGTGGAGCCCGCGCAGGGCCGAGATCCGATTCGACTTGGTCACCACGCGGGCGGAGCACTTGATGTACTTGCAGCGCAGCTTGACGCACTCCCAGTAGCAGACATCCTTGATGCGGCGATTGAGGGTGAAGGGCTTCCCGTCGATGGTCAGCAGGTTGTTGCCCCGATTGCTCCTCGTGAAGCTCACCGCCAGGTGGTCAAAGTTCTGCTTGCGGCAGCCGCCGGTCGACTTCCTCTTCCTGGCCACCAGGAGCGGCAGATGCACCTTGAAGTCTTCCTCGAACTCTTCTGCAAGACACAAATCGGAGTGGGAGGAACGGGTATTGATTAGAAGATGGCTCTGACAGCAGGACAGCCCAAGATGATCCGCCAAATAATATATGCCGGCTCCGCTATAGTTTCCATACTTTATTAACATTGCGCGGCATTGCTTTCGCATTGCAATCGCGCATTCTTGGTTTTAACAATTGTACACAATATTTTGCAAATACTTTTATTGAAATCTGAGATGGCGTCGATGGTTTTTTTCGTCTTCATCACGCGACACTCGAGCGCTTTTCTTTGGGTGGCGGGCTTTTCTTTCACCGTGGGTTTTCCACCATCACACTGCACTTTCTCCAGGCGATTTAGCACTTTAATTGCGCGTTTTGTTTAACAATTTAGCAACAATTTGCCCAAATCACTTGCATTTTTTTTTCACAACTGTGGCGACACTTAGGCAGAGTTGCCGGATCGAGCGAAGGAATCCAGGGCTGCAGGAGCAAGAGTACAGTGGTAATTGGCGGGAAAAAATATGTAACTTAATTTTAAAAACCTTTAAAATAATTTCAGTATATATTGTTTAAACTTTGACTATCTACATAACATAAATACAACAAAACATAAACATTTCTCATAAAATACATTACATTACTACTAGCAACTTAAATTCCGCTTGGCCGTAGCCGCACTGTACCTCCAGTGCAACCCTGGTTCTGCCATTTCATGTCTTTTTTTTTTGGTTTTACTTTCCGAGACTCGTGGGCGTTCAGAGATAAATAATTTGTGATATATTTAGTGAAATTAAGCAATGAAAGTGATAAATAATAAAACAAACTGTTATAAAAACCCGCCCGGCTGAATTGTGCTTCAAGTGTAGGCGATTGCTTAATAATTTAACAGAAATAAAGTCCTCCATTTACGAACCGCATGAGCTGTGTTTTATTTTGTTTATGTTTTTTGATGGCTCTCTGCAGCAAAGTGTATTAATGGTTTTCTGCCACAATGTGCCATTCCAGGAGCCCCGAAAGAGGACACCGAAGCTCCAAAGCCTGTGGAGAATAACAAGAAACCAGCAACAGATGAGGTGGAGAAACCCACACGAGATGCGGATGCGATTCCCCTGTTCGACGGCTGTCGCGTCTTTGTGTCCAAGGCGGCTCTTGCCAAGGCCTACATCCCCATGCCGGCCATCTATACGTTCCGGGTGATGGATCTGGTGATTGGCAAGGAGAAGCTGGCCCACATCGCCCAGTGCAAGGAGGATGCGGACAAGGATCTGCTGCAGGACGTCATAAGTACATAACAGCGTCTCTTCCCCATCCCAAAGACTTAGTTCTCACCGCTTTATATCTCCTATCCTTACAGCCCATGTGTGCCAAGTGTTTGCCCTGCGCGGCGAGCAGCTTACCTCGTCCGCCGTCCAGGAGTTCATCGACCACAAGCTGTCCACGCTGAAGGTCATGGTGGTCAAGCCCGGGCAGTAGTTTAAATTGTTTGTTGCGTTTGTAAACTGAAAATAAATGCCTTTAACAGAGAACTTCTCCTCCCACCTCTTGTGCCGTAGCTAGTTACCGCAGCCGGAACTCCACAAAATAACCCCGAACTAATGTCCCACATCTCCCGTTCCAGGTGTCATCCAGTCCCTGAAGGCGCTCTTCGAGGATAAAACCACCAGCGCCAGCATCCAGTACACCACCACGCAGCGCGGCCGGGTGATGCTGGTCTTCGAGGGCTATCGGTACGTTGTGAATCGCCAGAGCCTGAAGAACGTCTTCTGGCGGTGCTCGCGGTACGTGAAGCACAGCTGCCGGGCCACCCTGGTGACCTCCAAGATCCAAGACGTCACCCTGCGCATCGCCGGCGCTCCGCACACCCACGGCCCGGAGGTCAACTCAATGGATCTCACCGCTGACTTGCTGGACGAGTTTCCGGAGCTGCAGTAGGCAGCTAGCCCATCTAATTTACTCGATAGACTACAGACCTAGCTTAATCTAAATAAATTAAACTATATGTGTATACAATTTGTAGTTATGCGTGTTCGTTTTGCAACTAGTTTAGCTTTAGAAACCCTCTTAAATCCCTACTAATGTGTGATTTTTATAATCTTGCAGTTGAGATCAAAATGGAGCCTTCGCCCACGCCAACGGCCCTGCCCACGGATGCTGCCGTGGCCGCCTTGGCGGTCACCTACCTGAGCGACGACGAATCGTTCCGGAAACCCTTTACCCTGCCCAAGATTCTGGACGGTAAGTTCTACAAGAACATCCAGCCGAATCAGAAGACGCCGGGCGCCATCCAGGCCACCTGCACCACCTGCTACGGACTGATCTCGGGCACCACCAAGTCGACGGGGAACTTTCTCAGCCATATCAAGAGACGGCACAAGGAACTGCTGCCGCTGTGCCAGCTTTACTGCCAGGCGAAGGCCAATGGCGCCGTGCCTGCGGTTAAAAATCCAACAACCAACCCCAATCCGGTGGTCACCTCGGTGGAGATGATGAGCCAGGTGGCGCCAATTCCCACGCCAACTTACGCCACGGCGCCCACCCATTTGGCCATGCCGGTGACGGTACCTGTTCCCGTTCCCGTCTCCATGTCACTGGCGATGCCCCTCTCCCTGCCCCACGTGCAGACGCCGCAGATGATGGCGCTGATGCAGCAGCACCAGGCCCACGGAGCGGTCTTCATCAGCAAGGAGTACTAGCCCCTGTGGACGCACCAATTTGTGTGGCTTTGAATTATTCTTTGAACTAATGTCGATGTAGAGTACCTAAGCTACGGTGAGCGATTTGATAACCTTTTGTGTAGTCTTCGGACCATTGTTAGCCATCATCTGAAGGTTTTCAAGCAATATTCTTTACTAAGCCACGCGAAAAGACACAATTTAAATTAATTAGTTATAACTATAATAACTGGTGCGATATGATTTGAATACCTGTAAAGAACATCCAATAGCATCACAAATCAAAAATATTTACATTTCCGGGTAAGTTTACAATAGTCCAAAGACTACATACTGCAGATCGAACCACCTGAATTTAAGCTAAGTGCAACGTTGTATAAGTCCTGATAGGTTTAAGCTCTAAACAGAAGAAGAAACGAAATAAATGATAATAGAAAAATCGTGTAGACTGTTTTAACCATTAAGGCTAGTTTTAAAATGATTTAAGTACATTTATATCCTTTTCTGATTTGAGATTTTTTAATTTCTTTCAGTCCGTCGTCGTTACTCAAGAAAGGGCCTGCAATACGACGGGCCCGCGGAGTTCAATCTGGCTGCCCATCGGCGACCCAAGCTAATCATAGCCAATGAACATTTTATCGTCCATCGAATTCTGGGAAGGGATAACCTAATAGGATCTTGGAGATGCATGTACCATCATAAGGGCTGCAAAGCTCGCGCTTCGACCTTTATGGTGGGCTCCGAGGTGAAATACCGAAGCACTTGCTCCTCGCACAACCACAAAAATGTCAGGACCAAGCTGGACAGCCTCAAGATGCCTTGGATTCCTACGGACTAATATTTCGTTTACCAATCTCAAGTTGAAGTTAAGAGATTTTAAATCCACGGGATGCGATCTCAGATTATTCCAACTTTTAGAGCTCTTAATAATAAATGCACTTTAACAAGCAACACGTAATTACAAAAAAACTCGAAAATGTCGAACTAAATATAAATTTGAAAACACTTTTAGAAGAATACAAGTAATAGCATACCAAAAAATACTTTTTCTTGCAAAAATCAGATATTCTTATTAAAAATAAATTAAATTTAACTGAACTATAAGAATACCATAAATAGCACCCACGAAAAATAGAACACAGAAAATATTTTCGTTGATTGATTTGTAAAACTTTGTAAAAGTATGCGAAAATAACTTAAAAATATTGCTATTCTTAGTGCACAAAATAAACTGTAACCTTTTAGAAAGCGATTGCGGAAGAATAATTCTAAAAATATTGTCAACTTAGAGATTTAACTAGGGAAAATACTTGTAAGCCTAGGGCCGAGATCATATAAGCATTGCAACTCGTTTAAATGTTCATCTGATTTTATTACAAGTTCATATTTGTACGTAACACAAGCCATTGCTTAAGTCAGTGCCGTGGCCAAAAGCGTCTAAGCGATGAGAACAGAATAAATAATATGACCCGGGACATTTGCCAATTACAATTAAAGGGTACTGTGAGATCCCAGATGAGCAGGCTACTTACCCATCCTATCTAGGCGCGGGACACTCAGTCTAAATCAGAAAGATACTTTGCAAGATGAATACTAGAATACATTAGCTTAGCCCTAAAAGAACTCGGACGCGTGGGTGGGAATGTCTTATAGGCGGTTACATCTTGGGCAGCTGGTCTAGATTGACCTCGGTCTCCCCTTTCCAGGATCCCTGGATTTTGTCGGCGGCTGTGAGAGAACTTAGCTTTTTGTGGATCAGCATACCAGCCGCCTTGGCCGCCTCGATGCGCTTGTTGTCGCCCATGTGGTTGTGCACATCTGTGGTTGCGAATAAAAATCATTATTTGGTTTTACTACTTTGCTTTGCACTACAAACCATTGGTTACATAGAGATCATCTCCGATGGTCTTCAAGCGGCTGCGGCACTTGACCGATCGGTTCTGCACGCACTCCCAGTACAGAATATTATTGCTCTTGCCGAAGAATTTGAGATTAGAACGATAGACGAAATTGTTGATGGTCAGCAGGGTGCCGCCCTTGCGGCTGATCAGGAACATCTGCGGACCACAGTTGCGGACGTGTTGGGTCACTGAAAAACACGAAAGAGGTAGGTTATTCAACAGGCTAACATATTTTGAGAACATTTAAGTATTACAGAGTTAGAGCTTACGAACTAGTTGAATGCTTTACTTTAAGATCTGATTTATTGACGTCGTTTTATTACGAAAAACTTAATTATTTAGTACTTAGTGGGGGTGTTTAGAACCCAAATGGATATAGAAAGTAAAATGTGCAGCGCTAAGGCATATTCAGGGTAACTTCTGCTTGTTTGGAGCTTTAAGGCATCTTCAGCATCACTTCTTCTTGCTCTGCAGAGCCTTCTGGAGGCGTCGCTTGATCTTTTCACGGAAATCATTGGGGTCCACTTCCTCGTCCTTGGCGGGCGGTTCCTTTTCAGCCAACGGTTCGTCCAGCTCGATCTCGTCGATCTCCTGAATCTCAAACTCCTCGAAATCCTCGTCCTCCCTGGATTCCCCGGATTCCTCCAGCTTTGTGGTGTTCTTGATCAGCAGCTCCACCTTGGTGTCCTTGCTGCTGGACATCGTGGAAATGGCCCCCGATTCGCCAGGCATGAACTGCGAGGGCAGGCAGCTCTTGTCGCTGGCCTGCATGAAGTGGACGTGCTCGCCGTCGTAGGGGAAGACCCTCTTCTGGTCGCACACCACCCGCACCTTGCAGGTCTCGCCGTGCTCCCGGTAGCAGCACTGGAACACCGAGTAGTCGTTCTTGCGGAACGAGAACTTGAAGAGGTGGCCATTGAAGATTAGCTTGACACCGCCTGCGTGGGGGGAGCATGGAATTAGTTTGGCTATTCAGGATTAGGACTCTGGCCAGGACTCACCCTTGGTGGTGGAGGCGTAGACCGCCGGCTCGCTGGCCTCCTCGTTCAGGGTCGCCGCGTGCAGCTTGTCCAGGAGCTTCGGCTTGGGCGTGAGATCCTCGACCTTCGTTTTCGGCCTGCCGCGTTTTCGTTTGGTTGCAGATGCGGATGTGGCGCCTGTCGATTGGAGAAGCAAACGCAACAGGTTAGAACATTTGGGCGAGATGGGGCCATTCGGGCGAAAAACGAAAATAAAACAACTGAGGAGGTCTTTTGCTGGTTCTTGTTTATTTTATTGGTTTACAAAGCAGGGGAAAAAATTACTAATAGTAAAATAAGAAACTTTAATGCAAAAAACACGGTTTAAAGAAGAAGAGCACTGTACTTTAGAATCGATGTTCGATTTATCGGACAATCGTTAGCCAGGACACCCTCCTAACATTTGCGTGTGACCGTTTGTTGCACCGTCCCTTAACAGTCGATAAATCTCGTTAACAGCACTTTTTGTTCTGCTGTTGGCACGCCATCTTTGTTGTAGTTGTGCTCTTACTTTTTCGCCGCAAACAATTTGTTTGTCCGTCGGTTAGGAAAGTGCAATTGTTTAAATGTGCATAAATAAAAGAATGGCAATGCAAGTGAGTGCTGAGAAATCCGTGAAATATCCTGCGAACATACCGCGAGTGTGTATGTGTGTGCCCCCTGCGGTTGTGCCTGTGTGTGTGTGCAGCGAAGTGGCATCTTTGTTGTTGTTGGTGTCTCAAAAAGGAATCCCTCCAAAAAAGGTGGCAAAAAGGATTTACTTTTAAAACCAAATGTTTCAGTGTTTTTATGAAGATGTAAGCAGGTTCTCTGAACCTGGCCAAATCGAAAAATGAAAGTGAAATGTGGTTTTTAACACCAGGTGAGTGTTTACCTGGCAGCCAAACAAACTTTTTTGGCCCTGCGAAGTACGTAAACCCAATAGTAAAATAGTCTTATAACACCGAAAGATAAAACCTCCCACCATCGATATAAATAAGCGGCTATAAATAGTAGACTGTATCGGGAATTGCCTGCAATAAATGGTTTACTCAGCACCCCCAACTTTCCATGTGTTTTTCTCTGGGTTCTCTAGATATTCGAGTGTCAAAATGTCCGGGTTATAAAGAAAATCCCCTCCTCCATTGCAGGTCAGTTCATCGGGGAGATTCCGCGGGGCCTGTGGATCGATAAGCACGAGTACTTCTTCCTGCGGAACCAGAAACAGGGCTTCAACCTGGTATTCAATGGCTATATGTACAAGAAGGAGGCCAGTTTCCGGGCGACGGTCAACTGGATCTGTTCCGATGGCAACGGAAAGCGGCTAAATGAGAACAAGTGCTCCGCAAGGGCCATCACCAAGTTCGATGGAGGCATCAAGCTCGGGAAGAATGCCCACAACCATCCGCCGCGCTTCCTGGGCGCCAATGTGCCGGCCAAACTGATGCCCAAGGATGCCTTTTATCCGACCTATTAAAGAGAAAGATTACGAAAAAGAACGACTCTTTGTAGACAATTTAGTTGCATGTAAAAATAGTTGGATTAAGTTCGCTGTATCACCTACCATCTCACCCATCAATCAAAACCATCCTTCATCTCCTCCAGCAAGGAAAGACCAGAGCAAGGGCGTCCGTTTGAAGCGCACCGCCCAGGGTGAATTCCTCACGGTCGGCGGGAAATCGTACAAGAAAACCCGCGCCATGCAGTACCGCACCTACTTCCATTGCCCCACCAGGAACTGCCCGGCCTTCTTCGTCCTCGTGGAGCTGAGTCGGCGGCCCAGGCTCACCAGGCACCACGACCACGCCCAGCACTGTGGGCAGTGCCAGTAGGATGTAGGATGTAGGATGTGTATGTAGTCATAGGCCGAAATGTACAATATACCGCAAAACCATGAAAGCAATCCCCAGTGTTTTATTCTGTCTTCTCTAATCCTGAACCGCAATCCCATCAACACCCCAGCACTAACCACCTGCGTATCTGCCTTCGTTTTAGCCAAATTCGACTACCAGGTCAGCGTGGATGTGGGCGAGGCCACCATGCAGCTGGCCTCCGCCTCCGCCGCCGGCGTGGTCAACAGCAACTCGCCCTTCTTCATCGTCAGCAAGTACGGCACCAAGCAGATCATGCTCAAGCAGCACACCTTCAATCGGCACATCTGCAGGGACGACGTGACCTACTGGCGCTGCAGCCAGGTGAGTGGATTGCCCAGGGACCGGGAAAATATTGATTCATAAGATGTGCGAAGAATCTGTCTCTAGGAGTCCGAGTATTACCCTTAAGATACTGAAGATTCCCAAGGGTTATTCAAAAGATAAACTAATTGATCCACAATTTATAAGTATTTAATTTAATTTATGTGCATACACTCATAAACAAAATCGAAGAATTTCCTTCAAATCTAAAAAATTCTTTCTTGAATTTTCTTCATTTAAAAAGGTTTTCTATATTCAACGGCAAATTTTCTAAAAAAAAAATTTTTTTTTTATATTTTCAAAGGTAGGCTGATTTAATGGCGAGATTTATAAAATTTAGAAATTAATTTTTATGAGTGTAGTTTCATGTATATCAGCTCTGTAATATCTTTTTTTCTTTCTGTCAAATATTTCATTAATTTAGCCATTAAAATATAAGATGAAGTATCCTGATAGGTGAAATTAGAGCCTACTTATCTGAGTTTAATTCAATCATAACAAAATCTAATAATTCTTATTAAGATTCTGAGGATTCGCTAGCGTATATCAGCACCACATTATCTTTTTATCTGCCAAATATTTAACTAATTTAACATTCCATTTTAATGTAGAAAAGGTTTTTAGAATGTTTAAACTGAAAGTTGTTTCTGACACAGTCCAAAGTCAGTTGTTACCAAAGTAAACCGTTTAAATTTAATAAGATGAATTATCCTGATGTTTGAATTATATAGAATTAAAGCCTACTTATTTGAGTTTGATTGAACCATTACAAAATCTAATATTTCTCATTATTGGCATATACCCATACATTAATTGTTGAATTTTAAAGATAATGTACTAGATAACCAAATAGATTCCAAATTAATTTAAATAATAATCAAAAAATAACTATAGTAACGGTCCCTAGAAATAACTAAAGCTAGATCAGTATAAGTATTTATTATAATTTTCCTTTTAGTTCGCCGTTTTGCGGTGTCGTGCGCGGCTCAAAACCAAACTGGACACCCTGACCATCCTGAACAGCGAACACAACCACGAGGTCATAACGAAGGCCCGAAAGTATGGGTCCTTGAAGCGTCAGCGGGCGGAAGCGGAGGCAGCGGCCCGGGCGGACCGTAGACAGGATCCCCTGGAGACCCCAGCCACGTCGACGGCGGCAACAGCGACCTAGCACTCTAGTCTTAAGCTCAATTGTATCATATAGCATCACCTCGTCTTTCGTCTGACTCAATAAAATTCATGTTAGCTAAGTTTATGGTTTCCCCTGCGTCTCGTTGCCTTCTCTTCTAGCTTAAGAAATGTGAGCTTTATCTCGTTCAGTTTAAACTAATTCAAATCTATCACTTTCCATTCACAGATACCGTCGCGTACTACTCGTACATCACCGGCTTTCGAGGGAGTCGCAAATTGAAGATAGGAGAGTTCACCTTCACGCGAAACAAGTCGACGGGATCGAAAACATATTGGTCCTGCGCCCGGGCAGGGGCCCACAAATGCAAGGCCCGGGTAGTCACCGTGCAAGATCACGATGTGACCATCAAGTGCGGCCAACACAATCATCCGCCCTACTAAACAGCCATAGAAAACCAGCCAACTCTGGCTGTCCAATGTATAGAATCAATTTATTGCCTATTTATTATAGAATATAAATGTGAAAAATCGAAACTGTATTTTATGGTATTCATACTATCCAACTGGTCATTGTATATTTAGCTTAAAACCCAACTAATTGACAATTTGCTATCTTACAGTTTTTCCCGATCTGGACGACATGAAGGGAGCCATCAAGCACAGTCTGCTCACATTCATTCGGGGACAACGCGGTTGCAAGCTGCTGGCTTTCAATGGCCACAACTACGTGAGAAACCGTCGCAGCAACCTGAAGACCTACTGGATATGCTCCAAAAAGGTGAGTCTTATAAAAAAGCTACCAAGGACATGAAAGTTAAAAGTTTTAAAGACAGGCTTAGACATAAATCAACCATTGTTTTCCCTTCCAGGGCAGCACAAAATGCAATGCTCGCGTGGTGACCAACGTAGTTGAAGGAGTGCACAAGATTGTGCTGGAATCGTGTCATCACACCTGTCTCAACACGGAGCGCAAGAAGCGGCTTTCGGTGACCACTGTCGTGGGAAAGTCGCGCAACAAGCCGGGGAAAACAGCCTTTGCTAAGGATGAGCCCGACGAGGATCTCACGCTGGAACTGCGGACCCTAAACTTAAGCATCGAGGATCTGCACAATCTGCAGTGAATATAGAGACTCAAAATCTAGCCATAACTACTTATATGCGAATTTAAAATAAACTTTTTGTCCCGTGTACATAAGCAATTAATTTTAAAGTTAAGAAATATTTGTAAAAATAATTGAAATTTTGGTTTGCATGACTTTTAACTAATTCTGCCTGTTTTTTCGTTTGGCTTTCCAGTGACCTTCGATGTGATAACTGTGCCGCATGTCAAGTCCGATCAACACCCAATGATGAAGCGCGTCCGTTTGGCCAAAACCATGGAGGATGTGCACTACGTGCGCACGGCGGCCGGAAATGGTGTCCTGCACTGCGGCGAGCATCGTTACCTGCGCAACGCCGCCTACAAGGATAAGGTCTACTGGAAGTGCAGCAAGTGGCGGAAGCAGTGCCGCTCCCGCGTCATCACTCACATCTTGCCCAATGGACAATCCCGCTACGCTGTTAGCGGTGTGCACAATCATCCTTAGATCAAAAGGGCATTCAGCGGGCTGAATGAGGCCACCTAGATAGCTTTAGAAATTATCTATGCTTTTTACGTAAAAATAGAAACGAATATTAAACAAAAAAAAGAACAACTCAATTTCTAGTTTTGTGCAATAAAGAATGATTTTCAGTTGGTTAGATTTCAGATAAGAGGATGGCTGATTGACTTCCGGAAACTCTGGTGAGTGCTTTCCAACTTCTTTTTAAAACAAATCACTTTTAATTTATTTATTATTTTATTTTATAGGGGCGAATGGTTAACTCTTGCTTCTTGATTAATTTCTTTTAATAAATATCACATTGTTATTTTAATTTGGATCTGTATTTGGCATTTATTATTATTTCATACATTTTCATTTATTTATTTCATTTTATTTTACTATTAGAATTTATTAAATTGGCAAGTTCTTTTATTAACCATACGAAACTTTTGTTCTCTCCATTTCAGGTCTGGTTGACGTTAATCCGAGTATCCTGGCTGACTTTGGCAACGAAAGTTTCTTGCCCAAGACTCAGGGTGCGGGTCGGCAGAAGATTCGCAGTGGACTGTCGACGGAACAGAAGTGCGTCCGCACCCTGGACGACTGGGATCGCATCCGGTACGAGCGGACCAGCGGCGGCGATGTTCTGATCTACGATGGAGAACGCTATCAACGGCGTGCCACCTACGATGACAACATCTATTGGGCCTGCGCCAAAAAGCGAATGAACTGCAACGTTTACATGATCACACACAAGAACAAACCCACCTATGTGGCCATTTCGGGCGTGCACAACCATTTGTAGACGTACTCACTTACTTGTTTTAATTACCAATAAACATACACTCTTTCGTTAAAATGCTAGATTAGTTATAAAACCACAAGTATTTATATAAAACATTAATTAAGTACAGCATTTTCTATACAACGACTAATTATGTGTTTAATCCTTCCAGAACTGGCTGTTTTTGGCACTGGACAGCGAGGAAGGACCGTGCTGCTGTTCCAAAACGAGAAATTTGTAAAAAATCGATGCTCTGCCTCTCGAACATACTGGATCTGCTCAAGAAAGGTAAGTTGTGACAAAAGTATACTAGATTAAATAATAATATAGTGATATTCGAAGAATACATTTAAAATATTGAAATGGTTAACAATATAATATATTTTAAAAGTAATTTTCGGTAGAGAATCTCTACCATAATTTTGTGATTAAATCTGCCTAAATTTTATTTACTAAGCAATTAAAATTGACTTGTTAAATATTTTCCACTTTTTGTTCTCGAAAGAAAGCACAAAAAAAATCTGGCAATTCAATAAATTCATAAAAATGATTCATTCATTCATTCAATTCGAAATGAATTAGAAAAACTATTTTTCAAAAACATTCAATTAATTTCACATGGAATTAAATTAAAAAAATCAGAAACTTCATGGCATACTATGATAAAACCAAAATTGAATGATTCAGGCAGGGCTCCACTAGAGATCTTAAACTTAAAGTCGACTTTCGTCCTAGTATTAAAGAGCAAATCAGAATTTTAAAAAATATATATTTTATTACCCATATTTTAAAGATAATTCCCAAGCTCAAGTGGATAAGTAAAGACAAATTCCCTTGTCCATTCCACAGGATGTGACTGTTTGCAGAGCCCGCGTCGTCACTGCGATGGACAAATTCTCTCAGGAACGCATCATCAAGTGCACCTACGAGCATGACCACAGCCGGAAGTTTCCCAACAACAACGTCAACTTGCCCGTCCTCATAAAAAGGGAGAAGAAGGCCGTCTCTTTGGACTCGTCCTAGGATTATATTTAAGTGCACACTGTCCGAAGCGTCCAAACAATTCACTAGCCACTTTTGAATAAATCATTTTACTGTAAATCTACTCGATGGCGAACTGCATGTTTTTCCATAATTAGGATAATTAATTAATTAGCAATCAATTAATTCTCGTACTAACCAGAACTTTCTTTTCCAACCCACAGCCTTTCACATCGACTTTGCGGACTCCAAGAAGAATGGTGGCAAGTTGCTGGTGATCAATGGCTTCCGCTTCTTCCGCAACAAGAAGCGCGGTCACTTGCAGTACTGGAAGTGCCGAAACTATTACAAGGAGCGCTGTCCCGCCATCGCCATTCACGACGAGTCCACGCTTATCCTGCGGCTTTGTCACCAGCACCAGCATACGGAAAGCAATGACATTGAGATCAAGCCACTGCACGGCGGAGAAGCCAAGTTACCAGAGTCTGCAGAGGATGAGGCGCAGGCGAAACAGCCGGAGGCTGAGATGGATGGTGGAGATGCTCCGGAGCCGGAGATTGAAGCCCCTCCAATACCAATCCCAATCCCAGCTCCACGAGAGCCACCACCGCTCCTTGAAATAAAATCCAAGCTAAGAAATCGTGACTTTTAGCTGCGATTAGATACTTCTTACCACCTAGTCCATAAGCGTGTAAAATTTTGTGTATTAAAGCCAAGCAAAGTGAAATGTTTTTCAATACCTCTAAGTATCTACCTTTACAAGTTTAATAACCTATCTTTATTTTATAACTAGAACACCTTACTAAATTACTTCTCTTGTATCCGGTATGCTTTCAGAATACGACTACGGACATGGGCAGTATCGCGGCAACAATCCGCAGATCCAGTTCTCGGTTTCCAAGCGCGGCGGTCAACTACTTTGGCTGGACGGCATGAAGTTCTTCCGGAACAACATAAACCGCACGAATCTTTACTGGCGCTGCCATTGGTACTATCGCCACACCAAGTGCCCGGTGCTGATCTGCATGAGCAAGACGAACAGCAACGATTTCCGGCAAATCCACGATCACTGCCATATGCGGGCCAAGCAAAGGGGCAAAGCTGTGACGGGCAGGAGTCCTAGGATGAAGACTCCGGTGGTGTCCAACGTGCGCAGCCTGCCGCCGAGCATGGCGCACATGTTCGATATGTAATTTAAGCGACTGTCTCGAAGCATGTTAATAAAAGACAAGAAGTTACCTTTGAGGAACCTAAACAATTGTCCAATTTATTGAATGTATACTCGTATTCTCCTGCAATTTCGACCACAACTAATCCATTCTTGCTTTCTTGCAGTTGTGCTGGCCAACGATGAGGTGCCCAATCCGGAGGATGTGCTGGTCTTCTTCACACAATCGCTGCGCGGTCGCCCCGCAATTATGGCCAACGGCATTCGCTTTCTGATCATGAGCGAGAACAAAAAGAAGATCCTGTGGCGATGCAGCTCGATGGCCACCAAGAAGCTCAAGTGTCCCGCCCGCATCACCATGCTGAAGGAGACGCCGCCCAAGTTCATCATCAACAAGGCGGAGCACTTGCACGCGGAGCTCAAGCGGAATAAGTACAGTTCCAGCAAGGCGCAGACGCTGCGTGAACCGCACCAAATGTCCACCAAGATGGACTGCGAAATGGAGGCCGCCGGCGACGATAACTTTGATCTTCACGAGGAGGAGCTACATGACCTCACTCACGACGTCTAGGGAGCATATAGTTAGAATTAGGTGTACGTTAGAGACAAGCGAAACATTGATCATTCATTCAGAATAAATGGACAAAAAATGTATTGTTAGGCCAAGTGAAATTAGTGCATTTAATTTTGTATTAACCTCTCATTTTCCATCCCTTAGGACTACTTTAAGTTATAACATATTAACCATATATCTATTCATTCTACATTTTAGATAAAAACTTTGGCTATGTGATAAGTCAAAAGGGACGCGTTTTGTTGATGCACCAGAAGTTCTCCTACGTCCGCGAGAAGTGCATCAATTGCAAGACCTACTGGCGCTGCACTCAGTACACCACCCACGACAAGTGCCATGGTCGCGTCCACACGCTGCAGGGAAAGATTGTGCACACGAGCAAGCATAACCATCAACCACCAAGTCAACAAGGAAGGCAGTACGTGAAGATCCTATCCATTGAAGAAGTTGCGATGGTGAACTACTAGGAAACATTTTACAATATTTGATTGGTACACTTGAATATAAACTACCGAAATATTCCACAATTATCCTTAGATAATACATTAATTTTAATGTATCTAGTATTTTATAATTTGATCTCCACCTTCGTTTGTTAAGAATAAGCTGATGTACGAAAAATAAACTACAAATTAACGCTTAAGTTTATTTAAATACTTTTATTTCTTAAAGCAGTTTTAAGTCTATCTTGTATCTATTACTAATTATGTATGCTCTCCCTTTCAGATACTGCTAATTTGGCCACTTTTAGGTGCACCCGCAAGAAGAGGCGTAAGCTGGTCATCGATAAGCATGAGTTCGTAATGGATCGCATGCTGAAAACCAGCATCAACTGGCGTTGTGCCCGCTACCGAAGCTCCAACTGCAAGGTCAGGGCCACCACCCACAAACTAAAGAACGGCCAGGAGGTGTACCGACTGAAATACGCCAAGCACTCGCATCTGTGACCCCATCTGTTAAATAAATCAAAATGCATTTTTTAAAATTAAATAATCAATTTGAACCTAAACGAGTTTTGGAACTTGTTAACTATTATTTTAAGCGCACTGTTTTACCATATTCAGTTTAAATGGATATTAAATGAAATAAACCAAAAATTACAAGAAAATAAAATCAATAATCAAAATGCGTGTAAGAAATATAATATATTAAATTAGCTTAAAATTTTAAGAACTCATACTTATTAATCAAAACACTGCTCGTTTACTTACAGATATTATACGCAAGAGGGGAATAATGATTGTCAAGGGCACCAAGGGAAAACCGAAACTCCTGATGGGCGGTTACGAGTAAGTCTGTCTTAAAGCTCGTTAAGAAAACAAAAACCTACATAATTTACAAATTTTTAAGGTATTATAGAAACAATTCCCGTGGTTCCAAGACGTATTGGCTGTGCGCTCGGAATCGCTATATGCGGTGCGCTGCTCGAATTATCACCTGCTCAGTGACCGGAGAACTAATCATTAAAAACCAGCAGCACAATCACGACACACTCAACAATCCCAAATCGGAAATTAGGGAAAAACCAGAGACTTCAAGTCCTAAGACTAAAGAATCTGGGAATTAGCTAATGATCCCCATCGTCATTCCATTTTATAAATAATTCCACCTAGCTACCTACTACAATTCATATTCAATTCATTTAAATCATATCCTATATTATTACTGCTATAAGATTGTCTAAAAGTCTTAATTTTTATAGACTTCTCTCTGAAGTTTTCAAAAGGCAGGTTAATTTTGTATTAATTCAATATGTTTTAAGTAAACTGTATATTGTATGAATAATTTGAAGAAATGGAGATTCTAACATAAAATTGTTTATAAATAATTGATAGGTGAAGTATGAAAAGTGTTTAAAAGTTCTATTCAACATCCGTTTGTAATTATTTATTAACTCATTAAATAGGAATTTTTCAAGTGACGCACTTGTTTGTAGGTAAGTCAACAGAACTTGAATTTTAAGTTTATTAGAAAATTTAGGTTGTATGAATTTTGACCTACCAATTTTCATTAGTGATACTAAGTAAGCAACTTTCCATATCTTTGGACAGTGTACAAATGTATCTACATTGTGAATTCCGAGTTTACAAGGGCACTAATGAAGTTTTTTATAAACAGATATTTTCTGTATTGGTTTTCAGAATGTCAACGAACGTTGATATCAACAACCCTTTGTTGTTTCTGTTGCATGGCCGGTGCGTAAATTGATACCGCACACAATGACGAGCCTGCTAATTTCTTGAGTAAACTTTCTGGTCTTGTTTGTACAAATCGGTTTCTCAGCAATGAACGAGCTGATTCAGCTTTCCAGCCACTCGAAATGTGTCTCATAAATTCCTTAAGTGCGGCATATTAATCTGCTACTGCACGCAATTCTTTGCATTCAGACCGTGGCTACAAGAAGTTTGGCTGCACTTGGAAAAAATCAAATACAAAATTTATTTGTGAAAAAAAGTATTTTTGTGAGTACCAGATAAAATACAATTTTTTAAGAAACAAAATAAAATTAGACATTTAGGTTTTTGAAATGTTTTAATAAGGAATTGTAAATAATCTACACGAAAATTAACATTATCTTTTTTTTTAACAACTAATGAATACATTTTTTTGCAAAAGCACCAGCCTTTAATTTTTTCATCCTAATATGCTTTCTTTTAAAGAAAATCGGCGTATCATAATCGTTATTTAAATTTAATCTATTTTTTGAAAAGTGTAAAAGAGTATTGCATTTGAATTCTTACGCTCTCGGTAAATAATTTTTTCTGGGCCACTCGGCGTATCATATCGTTATTTAAATTCAATCAATTTTTTGAAAGGTGTAAAAGCGTATTGCGTTTGAATTCTTATGCTCTTGGTAAGTAATTTTTTCTGGGCCACTGTTTACTTGTTAATGCATTTGCTTGATTTGCTCATAAGCTTAAGTGATTTCAGAACAACAAAATCAAAGTATCATAAATTCGTTATTCATTCATAATATGTCCAAGGTTCAAGGTTAAAAAATGTTTTTATTTTATTTTGTATTGTTTTTAAGCCAATTATTGCGCGCCATTTGAATGCTTTATGTTGGCAATGATCTGCCAAACGGTTCGAGTCCCTGCTAAATGTCGCTTGCATTTTGAAATCTCTAACCTGCGGTCACACTACATCCGTGAGATACGAATCTTCGATGGCGTAAAGTACCGAAAAAGATATATTCTCTCTCGAAAAATCGAACCGAGCGGACGTATCGCGCGTGCCGCGTAGATACAATACACAGCCCATAGATACAATTTCCCCTGGCTCGGAGGTGGTGTGTATTGCAGCAGAAGCGAAGGTCTCTCTGCGTGCGAGAGCGTCTCGAGTCCGTGAAAATTCAATAAAACAAAGAGCCAAGTGAAAATCGGTTCGCAAAACGCCAATTGTCTGGCGATACGAGAGGAAAATCAGAGAAATCAAAAACTGCCAGTAGGTAAAACTGTGTGTACAGCTTGAAAAACCGTTATGTGTGTGTTGTTGTGCGCGTGTGTGTGATTCTTCCGACGCGATGCGCTTTAATTAATATCAATAAGAAGTGCAAAAAAATACAACTTTGTCTGCTGGAAAAGTATCTAAACCCAATTATTCGCCGAAGAGCATTCGTTTTAATTCGATTGACACAGGCGAGCGAAAGAGAGGGAGAGGGGAGCTTAAGGAGAGAGAGAGCCCCAACACCAGTGCAGAAGCGAAAATATAACGGTGGTGGTGGAGCAGCCAGCGGCAGCAACAACAAAAACATGCAAATGTAGCGCCGCTCTGCGCTCTTCGCCGCTTTGCTTTTGCGCAGAGAACCCACCAATTCGCCGCAGCTGTGTGTGTTTGGAAACACCTTGCTCCAATATTTTAACACCCCCCCTCGGAAATACCCGATTTTGCACGACCATCGCTGTTTCAGTCTCAGTTTCGGTTCGCTTCGTGCGCTTTCTGCTGCCCTGCAGCGGAAAATTCAACGAAAAATCACTGGGCAACTTGCAGAAACCAAAGCTCCCCAAAAAGTAAAAAATAAAGAACGGAAGAAAGAAGGGAAAAGAAACCCGAAAACGGGCAACGATTCTTGCATTTTCCAATGCTGGTTGGCTGCGTTTTGCACGCGATTTCCTCTGTTGCTGCATTTTCATCCAAATCCAAATCGAAACCCAAGACAACAAGAAGAACGAGTAAAACCAGGAGAACGGCAAGAAGAAGAGCGCCCAGCGCAAGCGGAGGAAGAAGAAGCAGCAGCAGCAGCAGCTCCAACATTGTCGCCGCGACGTCAGCGTCGCTGCAGCGCCGCAGCTTCATCAGCTAGCCATGAACTACAACTACAGCAACAACAACTACATCTGCAGCAGCATCAGCCCCAACAACAGCAGCAACTACAACAACAACGAAGGCAGAGAACAGGTTTGTACACATAAAAAATTTGCTTACTTCTTAGATCCGTCGCTTTTCCAACTGGACCAGTGCACTCAAAAAAAGTGATTAGTATTTGTTTTAGATTAATTCAATATATTTGTAGGAAGAAATCTTGGGAAACCTATATCAATTTGTTTGTGCAAGGTTTTTCAAAATGACTAAAAATCACCGATTTTATATATTATTCTTATTTGAGTTGGTTATCAAATTGATATAATTCATGATATTAAAAGGTAAACTGTTGTTTAAAGGAATGATTTCAACCGTTTTTGCATTAATTTCATAATTAAATTAATAATTAAGTTCCATCAAAAGACGAAATTTAAACTGTCCTATAAAATTTAAAAACCTCTTAAATATTTTTTCTTTTTACATAAAAAGATCTTAAAGTGAAATGATTAATAATACCGTATATTGCAAAAGATGTTGTCGGTTCTTAAAAGATATTTATAATTAAAAATTGAAGATATATTTCAAAAGTCGTGTTTTAGGGAAACTCTTTATCCTGGGCATAACCAATTTCCAACACAATTTTATTGCATTATCTTATCTTTGCCCGTAATCTTGGCGTTTTTTCTCTCTGCATCGACTCGCCGTCGTTGCTCTCCACTCGTTCGCTTATTCATAACTTTTTTGGTTATAGATTTTTGTCACCCCAACCCCTAAAACTGGCGACCCAACCTCTTCCCTCTCCCCGCTCTCCCTGCTCACTCCGCTCAGCTCACCCCCCGCGTAGCGCCATCATCCTTCAGTTGCTCACATGCTCGACTGTTTCAGTTTTTCAATTATTAATGGTGGCCATTAGTGCGCGCGCCGTTCGACCCAACCGCCCCGCCCCCTTTCGGCTGGCCGCCCCTTTTGCGGGTGTCGTGTAGACGCTTTTTTTCCTTATCGGACAAATTGTGTTTGTCTGAAAAGTTCAATGAGGTGCGCACTGCAATTGCACTATAGTACTGTGCACAAAACCCCCTCCATTTCCTTTTCCTTTTTTCCTGACCAGCCGTCATATTTATGCTATCGACACATAGATAAAAATCATGTTGGTGCCGATGTATATGCATGGCTTTTCCAGATACCGTAGAGCAGATACCAGATACAAGATACAACAGCCCGCAGCACGGCGGAAATGTATTGCATTAGGGGAATTACTCCGGGACGGAGTTGTTGATTAATTCACCTCGAGGTGCGTGTGGGTTTCGGATGTGTGCTGCGTTGGGTTGTTTGCTTTTGCCCGATGTGAAAATTCTCTATTTATATTTATTGCTTAGTTCGTTGCTCTGTGGCGACGAGACGATAAGAAATGCCTCTTACTCATTGGAGTGAATAAGGATTTACGTATTTCCCAGGAAGCGTCGTTGTGCAAAAGTTGACAAACGCACGATAAGTTGTGAAAGGTAGCTGCCGGGTTTGCGACGGGGCAGATGTGTCACATAAACAGGGGTATGGATAAAGATAAAAGTGTCATAAATACACTCAGACTTACTACTGACTTGTGCGGACATTCTGCCCCAATTAACTTGGGTGGGGCTTGGACAATTTCAAATTGATTGTTGAGAAAAAATGTCACGAGCAAGATGAATCTTGTGCTAATAGATTAGATTTCGTGGAAACTGAATAATCATCTTTTAGAGTAAATAAAAGTAGAGGAACTGGGCAAAAATTAAATGAGACTGTACGGATCTTAAAGTTATATATGAACATATTTAATCAAGAAATATGATTGTATTAGGGTTACAAATATCTGTTTAAGATTAGATTTTAGATTAGATTAGATTTTCTATCCAATCTATTGTTTAAATATTTCGATAGAGTTTCAAGTTTTATCTTTAGACTCCAGGCAGGGAAACTCGACTATTATTTCCAGTAAAAGAAAGCTATTAGATACAGAAATAAAAATTATCAAGATAAAAAGTTCTTTGTTCTATAATTGATGGCATTCTTGGCACAAACCTTACTTTAATATACTAATACTGAGTGTTTTATTTCCCTATGGAATAATTATTTTAGCCTTCCGCCTTATCGATCAATTTGTGTTCTGCTTAATTGTTCAGCCCCCGTAATGGAAGCCCAAGAGGGGTGAGGAATGCCTGCGTTATTATCCCATCTAAGTCGCACTTAACTCCCCCAACCGCCCACCCTTAGCTCCCGGGACACATGTGTCCATAATAGACCGTGGCATGAGCCAAGGCCATCATTTACCCGGGGCCAGACCACCTGAAAAACCAATAAAGTCATTTCACACACATTAACCTAACCGAAAAAGCGAGAGCATCACGCAACCTCGAAGGGTACAGAGTCCATTTGATAATTGCAAGGAGGTGTTCTTTTTTTTTGGACCATGCGCATCTTCCAGACTCGAAATCCACCCCATTCCCAACCCATTGCCATTTCAGCAAACACATGCGAAACGCTGCTCGGTCACATATGTTGCCCAAAGTGATTATTTTCACTAAAAATAAACGAAATTAATGATTGATGAAGTGAGACAAGGGAGCGAACGCATCGCATTCGCCTTCGCCCCTCCAGAAAACTTTGAACGGCCGTCAACACCAGCAGCAGCCAACCCCAGTCGCAATTTTCCAATTTCAATTTGAGTTCCGAGTCGGATTCGGATACGGAATCGGGCATCCTAGAACCGGATTCCAATGAAAATAAAAACAAAGAACATGGCCAAACGTAATGAGAAATAAGCCGTCACATAAAAGAAAAGTGTCTTTTAATTGAAACCAGGTGAAGGAGATGGCCTGGACGGGCTTGGACGGGTTGGGCAATGGCAATCGCAATCGCAATCGGAAACAGAATCGGAGCGGACCGTGTGCCTTGGAGTTTCTTTGTGCCCATGCCGCCTGTCGCAACCAGACGGAAATCATAAAAATGTTGCATAAAAATATTTTTTATGTGAGCTGCTTCTGCTGCTGCTGCTGCGGCGTCTGCGTCTTTTGGCCTGGTGAAAATAATAATAAAATGGGAATAAAATAAAGCAAGTAGAGGCGGAACGGAACGAAACGGACCAGGCCGGGTGCCGTGCCACACATTTCGTTTATATTTACTTGACAAGTTTTTGCACTGCGTCGAGACGTCTCCGTCTTTCTGTCTTTGTGTCTGTGCCAGAGATACACTCGAAAAATCCAATTCGAATCAGGAGCATGTACTCCTTCAAGTAGTAGTTCAAGTTGAGAATAAGAAATTTAAATATTTAATATAGCTGCCAAACCCATTTTGGACCAAATTAAGTGGTATAAATTTAAATATTTACAAACTTATAGAAGAATACTATGTTTCTGTATATCTCAGTAAATCCGAAATCTAAAATTTTACTTTTAAACCTTCACATTTGAATATTTGGCTGAGAAAGCTGGTAACTTTTACGTCCCTGTTCGGGCGCCATATATTGAGAACATTGAATAAGAAGAGCTTGTATGAACTATAGTCAAACTTCTAAATGACCTCTACAAAAACTCGAGTTATGGAGTCCTGGAGTTATAGAATGGATTTGTATGACCATTTTCAACCTAGAGACTTTGAGTTAACGAAGTTAGGGAACTTTAACTGTGTTCTTACTCTGAATTCCATATGGTAAGAACCATCCATTTCGTATGCCTCGTTTCTCGCAGTGTTGTGCTTCTGTCTTTTGGTTGGGAACAGTGTCTTGGGTTCGCCGTTTGCCATTTTTGGCGGTGCTATGCAGCGGCGCTCCACGTCATCAACAACATCATCAGTATGGTTTGGGTTTGGGGGCCGGGGCCGTGTGGCCTGTTTTATAGTCCAAACGTGATAGCGAAATGTGCCCGTCTTTTGGTGCTCCTCCTCCTCGTGCTCCTCTCCGTGCTCCTCCCGCCACCGGGAGCACCCTCCTGCTGTGCATTTTCGTGCAGTTCAAGACTGGAGCTGTGGGTCTTGGCAGTTTCCTTGGGTGTTTTGGGTGGGGCAGCTCGCCTCGGAAAAATAAATTAATGGAAAACATGCAAACATAAATTCTCTTTAGCTGTCAGGTGTTTCACATTTTAAACGTAAATTATAAATAAGCAAAGTAAAATTATAATTCCGCCTAAATGTTTTATTTGCCACAGTCTGCTGTCATTTCATTCCATTCCCTTATATTCCGCCTCCGTCCTTTTCCTTTTTGGACATATTTTTCTTCTTGTGGCACATTTCTTTTGTGGCATTTTCATTTGCCGTCTGTCTGGGTGTGTGAGTGAGTGTGTTTTGGGGAGAATTAATTTTATTCAAATTAATGATGAAGCTTATAATTGGCCTCGTTTTTTTGGTCTCCGGTCTCTTCATTTTTAAATAAAGACACTCCACTGTGTGGATGGCGATGGCAACATAGTCATCTCCTCCGGCAGCAGCAGCATCACTCCACCTCCTCCTCCTCCACCGTTTTCCTCGTCATCGTCATCGTTTCATATCCAGCATCAGCATCTCGGGAGGAAAGGAAAGCTCTGGCTTTTTAAGAGCATTTTACATGACTTGGGCTTCATTTTCCATTCGATGCGCCGCCGCCTCCACTTTGATTATGACGTGAAGTTGGCCAAGTGCAAATACTTTGCTGGTACTTTTTAATTAACTTAATTAGCATAGATGATGGGCTAAGAGTAGCGCTTACACAACATCAAAATTGCATTATGCCTCACAAGCTGGTCCGCTGGTTTTTCCCACCCCTCTCGCGCCCCCACACATTTTGATTTAGATTCTTTCGAGCATGCTGAATTTCTAAGGAGAACCTTCATGACATAATAAATGACACATGGCCTGGCGACTCTTGACTGGTGGCTGGGGAAAAGCTTTTCATAGCTCCCACCTTGCCCAGAAATTTCACTCCCCAGTTACATTCATGTAATAAGGAAGCTATGTGAACTCTTATAATCGATTTTGAAAGGTGAGTAGGTAAAAGGATACGGCTTAGCAGGGAACATGCTGAATAATTATAAATAATAAAAAGGAACGTATGTCATGGTAATTCTATTCAGTCTTTAAGAATCTAATCTTAAAGTAGAAAATGAAAAATTAGTTCTGAAGGCATTCTTTTGGGAGCAATTAACATTAATTTAACTAAGAAATTCCTGAAATAGAAACTTTCACACCCAATGAAACTGATGGATTGACATTCGTCAATTGTAATTTATCAAAAGAGTTGTGGGACGACCACACGAAACCTGATTCCAATTCAATATAAAATTTTGGAGCCATAAAAGTGACCAATTAGTTTTCCATCAATTGGAAACGAAATATTTATGTTGCTTGAGAAGCATGCATGCGATATGGAAATTAAGAGTTCCGCTGCTCCACGCACATGCCAAGAATCCGAAAATCTCTCAAGTGGTTTTTATTTTAGTAGAGTCTTTTTTTTCCAACGCGCTGGAGGCGCTAAATGCAGGAAAAGATTATAACGGAGGAAATGCTGGCGATGGCAATGCGTCGGGGGCGATGCAGACATATTCTTGGGGGACTTGGTGCCCCAACACACTCGCACACTCATAAATCGATGCGTATAAATTGTGTGCCTAATTTTTTTATAGCGCGTGATTTTTGATTTACGCATCGTTGGAAGTTTTATTTCGATTGGAGTGTCGCTCGGTTTCCCAGAGCCCATATTTATTTTTATTGCTTTTTAATGCGCCGTCGAGGAAGTTTTATTTATATGTATACGAGCAACTGTTTTTGGTGCGTGTTCGGAAGGCCGAACAATGAATCTTGTGGGATTATTTGTATACGGGGTGAAGCTTTATTTTAAAATTCAAATTCACAGCCACCTTATATCATATTTACTTGGCTCAGCCAGCCAGCGTGTTTGTGCTTTATAATAATAAAATATTCCACTCTTGTCTTTCTGTGTCCCCACAGGACAAGGAGCAACCAATGCAGGCGGCACTAAGGACGGCGAGCTCCAGCTCCACCAGCTCTACAACCACATCCACATCCAAGACGAGAGCAGGAACAACGTCGTTAATCTATTTACCGCCTTTCTGCTATCCATGTAAGCATGTGCCTGCGGCCGGCACCAGTCGGAGTAGGAGTCGAAGCCAAAGCCAGACTTTGAGCCATGGCAGCGGGAGTTGCCGGGGCAGCTGCTGTTGTCCGCCCGGCTGGGAACATAAAAATTATGATAAACATGCTTCAGCGGCGACGTTGACACCAGCAGCAGCAGTAGAAGGAGCAGCAGCAACCGCAACCCCGACAACAACAGGACCTGCAGGGGCAACAATGTCCTCCTCGTGGTCTGTGAAATTCCTGGGGCATGGCAGCACCGATCTCCGGCAGACGTCGCAATTAGTTATGCCCACTATCGCTGGCGGGGAAGACGGCGGCGTCTTGGAATGTGGCAAGCGATGCTGGCGACGTGAGCGAATCCGGCGCGAAGGACCAAGTCATGCGTCTGCGGCGTCATCGCTGGCCCAGGTAAATCCAATCAGCACTAGCCCAGCAACAATAGATGATGGAGCATCGGGAGAAGGAAAAGGAGTAGGAGTTGGAGCAACAGCAACAGCAACAGCAACCGCGCACAATTCGCAAACAACGACAACGACAGCAAGGGGCACAACTGGTGCAGCATTGCCGCATGATGAAGAGAATGATGAATGTAGGTGCTTTAACTATAACGGTGATATTAGTCTGGATCGGCGGGGCGAGGCCGCGGAACTTTCCGGCATTACGTGGCTGATGTTCTTGTGGCAGCATCTGCTGCCGGGCAACGGAAACAACAGCATCTACACCCCAACCCACACCCACACCCCAACCCACGAATCCTCCAGCTTACCAGCGGGGACGACAACGAAAACAGCCAGCAGGAGCAGGAGCTGCGCCATGACGTCGACAAAAAGTTGGCTGGGACCGCTGCTAATGCTGCTTTTGGCCACGTCCGTCAGCGGCTGGGGCGGTCGACAAGATGGTGAGTAGAGTAGCCCCCCGCCGATAAGTAGCGCTATGATAAGAATTTATAATTTCACTTTGGCGCGCCAAGAAAATGGCCCCAGCAACTTGGGGACCCCAGGACCCCAACCCCAACCCCATCCCCATTTTCATTTAATTTTTGTGGCATAATTTGTACTCGCAACACAGCGTCAGCTGGCGAAGGCGGCTCATCCCTGCCACACTCCCACCCTCCCACTCAAAACGGCACCCCCTCTTTTGGTCATGCTCAATTGAATCCATAAGTAGTTTGTGACCGCAGATCTGCGTTCGTATAATGCGTTTCAACTGTTTCTCCATGAGCGAATTTACCCAAAAAAAAAACAGAAAACAGAAAAACAATGAAAACAACAAGCGGAGAAGCAGCAACAGCCGCTCCGGCAACAGCAACATGCAATGGCAAATTGTACGGAAATTGCCCGAAACAAACAGCCAGCAACCGCCGACCACCGACCGACCGCTGACCATAATTCACTCAAGTTAGACAAAAGCATTTTGGGTTGCCCCGCCCCTAATTCTCCACCTCCGCCTCCTCCGCCGGCAACACAGCTGTCCCTCTGCCAAGCGAAAGTCCAAAATCCAGACCCAAGCCCGAAACGCAAATGAGTCTCGCAGGCAAAAGCAAAAGCGTCATGCTCTTTGAGTTCGGCTATGTGCTCGAATAAGTGTTTGTCTGTTCTGTTCGGTTCGCTCGTTCGAAGGGTGCGTATTGCCAGTCAATAGGGGTGGTCCAGTAATATACCCCTACTCCAGTACCCCTACTCTACCCCAAACCCAAGCGCCTAACGAACGAGCTCTTAGCTCTTCCCTCTTCAAATTGCGCACACCCATAAGTGTGGGCAACATAATTGGGTTAAGGAGTTGTTAGCGCGTTGAAGTTGTCATTATAGATCATCATAGATAAGATAAGTGTACGTTGCTGGCGATAGGAAATTGCTTGTCATAACAGGAACCACAAATGACGGAGTAGTGCATAATTAATATCGTGTTAAATATTCTCGCTGTCAATCTCAATTGAATACTGGAAAAAAAATAATGACAAAGTGAGACAATCATTTTGAGAATTACAAATTACAATCGGAATTATTACGTTAAATATGTATGTAGAACTCGGTAGCAGCAGTATTTTCTATTAAAACTTTCACTAGGATTCAATTTAATGAAATTTAAATATTTGGTTAGGTGTTTAAATTTAAATTAATATGTAAATATATCGAACTACAATAGGAGTTATTATTTTTGATAGAATGCAGAAGAAACAAAAGTATCTTTTGTAGATTCGATTTTGGTCCTTCAAATTCTATTCTATGTTCATTATAATTCAATATTATTTAAATAGACTAAGAAATTCGAATCAAATCGAGTTATATATGAAACATAATTCAAGTGAATGGGTATTTTTGGATGACGCTTTTCCACGTTCCCATGTCTTGTTTAGCATATGTATATGTCGGAAAAGTCGCCTTGGCTACCTCCCCCTCACAGCTGCCAAAGCTTCCCGAGATTTATTTTGATTAATGCACCTGATTACTGTCAGTTTATAGGGATCCAGATCCATTGTGAGGAGCAACTCTTTGAGCATATTTATTTTATTTTGTTTTCCCCTTCATTTCGCTTTGTTGTCGCCTAAGCTTCTTCATTTTCCCCATCTGTGTTTTTTTTTCCCATTCCGTGTGTTTCTTTCTGAGCCACTCTAATCCAAACGAAAAACACACCGAAAATATATCTGAAAAGCCCCGTGCCCGCTTTTTCGCGTCCGTCATTTCATTTCAACTGTCTATACGCATTTGTACGCTTGTCTGTCTGCCTGTCAGCCAGTCAGTCGGTCGTGGTCTATGTCGTATATTTGCTTTTAGCTTGTATTTACTTAAGCTTGTCCTGCAGCATATTTTTCAGGGTTCCGGGGGTACGAGGGGTTTCAGGGGTAGCGAATTAAGGACGAAGGGCATCGTGCCATGATTGTGTTGCGGCAGCAACAATTCCATACTCGCTGCGGCACTCAGGCAAAAGTATTGAATCATGTTGGAAAATTATTCACGGTACTTGAAATTGGCGAAACAATTATTCGTCGGCGGGGGGTGGTTTTTGGTTTTGGGTTTTTTCGGCTCTGGGTTTTGGGTTCGCTCCCGGTTCCGGAGTGCGGATTCCGGGAGTCGCAGGAGTCGCAGGACTTTCGTTTCGTTTGGGGCGGTGGCTGCCCGGCAAAGTGTGCTACACTTTTCACACAACAGGCAGCCCGCTGTGCGTATGGGCCGCATTATGACAGCCAAGCGAATGCGGCCCGTAAAAAGCACAAGTCATTGGACAGCACACATATATAGCCAAAGCTATAGCTACAGCCGTAGCTATATATATGTTCGACTATAGTCGGAGGTCTGAGCTGCGGCTCAGTTGGGGCTCAGAGTTCAGAGCGCTGCGCTGATCCTGCGCATGAGTACCTTTTGTTTGCCGCAAATGTAAAAACAAAAAGCAGAAAAAAATGGAATCAACAAGGAACAAGTAAAGTAGAATAAAAGAAAGGAAAGGAATAATAAAATAAAATGTGTATCGCTGTAAGTACGGCTGTGTGTGTGTGAGTGTGGCACCGTGTTGCAGCTGTAGCTGTAGTTGTTGCTGCTGTTACTGCACAGAAAGAAATATATTTTCAGTCTAAAATATATGGTATATACAAAAAACATGTTGCCTTTATTCTATTGTTACTACAAAATTATTGACTCAATTATAGGAACTTGGAAGTTCGAGTCGAAACACCAAAATATCAATTAAGTCACATCTGAAAATGTATCTTTCTGTCTTTAGTTAGCCTAGGTGCCTGCATTTTTTTGATAGGGAATTCCGATTTTAGTAACCAATCAATTTAAGGCCCAGTTTTCTAATTTCCAAAACAATAGGAGGCTTCATCATCAATACCTTTGTTTAGGGATTAAGCTTGGGGATTTGAAATAATAGTCGAACAATAGGTAAAGACAATACATTGAACACTAAAGCAGCATTAGGAATCCATAAAGCTGTAGCGTTATATAGGAGAACATTATAATAAAGTGAGTTAGTGTCAGAAAACATTTATAAATCTACACCCAGAAAACAAAATGGACTAAAAAGGGGCCTAATTACCTAAAATTTTAGGAAATATGGCCAGAAAAACGCGCCAAGGCCATGCATTACCTAAAATGTTGTCCATGTGGACTATATTTTGTACGCAGTCTTGAATTTATTTCTGGTAATGGTTACCTAAAAAAATGGCTAGTGGACTAGATTTTTAGGTCAGAATTACCTAGATATTAGGTATTTAAAAAAAAGCTAGGATTTTTACTATTGATAGTAACATATTTGATTATTTTAATTGCTTATATTGTATTATTCGGAAAAGCAAATATTTTATCTTTCTGAAAAAACAATCACTTTATTTTGTCCTCGGTGGGAATCGATCCCGGGTCTTCTGCGCGAGAGTCCAATAGGCTAGCCTCTGGTCTACGGAACTACTTAAAGGCCCTGCGGCAAAACCAAAGCCTGCTTCAAGGGGCTCAGGCGAATTCTATTTTTAGAATAGGGCACTATTACCTTAAAAGTAGGAAAATAGTCCACGTAGGTATTGATTTTATATATTGAAACTTTTCCATCACTAGCTTTAAGAAAAGTCTAAAAAATTTTTTAACATTAAACTTAAAAAACCGAATAATTTGTTTATTAATATTAGGGACCAATATTTGTATTAAGTTGTGAGTGATAATCGACTTTAAATTATTCCTAAATTTTAGGTCTTATGGACCAATTTGAAGGTTACGATGGCCTATAAAAATCTCTTTAGCTTTACCTAAAAAGTAGGAACATAGTCCACATGCTAATATTTTTAGGTAACCCATTACCTAAATCTGAAATTTTAGTCTATTTAAATTTTTTAGGTCATACGTTACCTAAAAAATAGTCCCACATTTCTCTGGGTGTACTACTATACGATATCTTTTTGTTTTACAAAATATTTTCAAGTATTATTATTATAAAACTTTATCTGATATTTGGAAAAAAAGAAGAAACTAATGGTTATGAATTTTTTTCTCTGCACATCGACTCTTTGCCTTTGGTTGTGTTTCTGTTTCTGGCTCGGGTGCGCACATTCGTCTCTCCTTGCGAGTTTTCTGTATTTGAATGCGTAGCCTGAACTCGGACCGTCCTCCATCTCCATCTCCGTCTCCACCTCCATCTCCAACTGCTACTTGCCAGTTCCGAGTTTCCCACACCCCAGACCCACCGCCCATCGGCATCAGGACTGGCATCTCCATCTCCGCTCCGCTTCGGTTCCTGCCCAGCACCACCACCACCACCACCCTTATCCCAACTCCCAGCTCGGAACCCAAACTCCCTGCCTTGCCGCTGCCAATCGTGCCCAAACATTAATCTATATGTATGGCTCAGAGGGTGGTTTTACCATTTTCTATACGTATCCGTGCGCCGGTCTATACCCATTGTATGGGATATAGTACTTATTGCCTGAGTGTGCGAGTGTGGCATGCCGTTAGCTAACTTTCCGTTTACGTTTCTTTCTCTATACTTTGGATTCGGCTTTCCCATTTCTCTGTAGAGTTCAGTTCAGTTTCTTTTTTTTTCTCTCTTTTTTTAATATTCACAATTGCCATTTCGGTAGTTTTGCTGGCTGTGTGTGTGTGTGCGTATCTGTGTGTGACATTATTATTATTACGAGCAGTTTTTGGTTGCCTGGCTTGTTCAACTTATTTATGCGCCTGTGCCCTCCCCTAAACGGATACCCTACCCTTATCCCATTCCCATTTCCATTCCCATACCCTACTCCTCATCAGGAGGGTCGTAAATATGCGGCACCTTATGCGCACGCACTTAAATACAATCATAATAATAATTGAAACAATTTACAAATTAAAAAGCCACAAATCTTGGCACCAAAAACTTGACAATACAATTAGTAGAGCAGCCGAAGGAGAAGAAAGTGGCCAACCGAAATCTAAATTTATCAATAAACAAGTGCTTTTTGTGGGCTTACTCGTAAATAAATGTGCCTGCAAACGCACTTCATTGGGAAAGATTGCGGTTGCTCTTTTATACGGCTGGGCTCTTAAATGAACAATGAACGCAATTGAGGCCACATCAACCATTTGTACTTATATATGTATCTGCAGTCCACGGGGAGGCAATTGGAATATAATATCTTAATGCATTAATGGTTAAGTCGTTTATTAATAAATTATTACTGTGTATTTTGGCTTGCAGCGCCCACAAATTGCACGTTTCCGGCACGATGGGAGGGCTCCTGGTTCCTGTCCGGCTATCAGCAATCCATACACATCAAGGGCTCCCAGTTCAGCTATCGCGGCAGGTGTGCGGCCTCCGATGGTAACAAATATCTGATTGTCGACGAGTAAGTACCATCTCCACCGGCCGGGATCCATAAACCCCAATTTTCCTCGTTGGGGCCTGTGGGTCCTGCTCCGCCTGCTAACAATATGCTAACATCTCAACCCGATACTCGATCCATTCTGGCTGGCGAAATATAAGTATTTCGTACGTTTTTGGCACAGGCCGAGGAAAATGAGATGTTCTGGTTTACTTTTCCCCTTTACATATACTACATATATATATTTTTTGTGTTTTGTGTTCGTCCCTTTGTCGAAGAGTGCCTATAATTGAATAAGTTTTCATTTCTGACTGAGGTAGGTGTGTGTGCTTGGCAAAATGTGTTAAGGTAAGGCTGAGGACCCTCCGCACGGGCGGGAAAATGCAGCACTAACCTCATTAAAAAGAAGCCAGTCAGCACATCGGAGTGAGTAGAGTGCTGGCCAAAGACAACAGCGAGGGGTGAGCGACATCGGCATCGACGGCGGCAAGGAGGCATGTAAAACTAAGGTGCACGGAGAGAAAAAAGGTTTGAGGTTCAAGATTCAGGATCTGTAGGTTCAGGATCTGTAGCAAGATTAGTAAAATGCTACCTTAAAATAAATCTTATCTGCTCTGAGTTAATAGAACTGATTTGAAATAGAATTGATCTAATATTAATTAGAAAGTGCAATTGCAATACATATAATGGATAAAAAGCGTTTTAATAGATTTTATATTGGAGAATTTAAACAGATGCAAATATCATTGAATTAGCTTAGAGTTAATGACCTTCCAAAGTGCGAAAAGGACTGAAAAAGATTTAATAAAAATTGGAAGTCATATTATTTATTATTAGATTGTTTTTATGGGATGTTCTGCAAGTTAATTAGCCAAAACATGTAGCCAGTAATCTGAAAAAGTTTTACAATTTGGAATGAGGAGTTTCTAGGGTAGTTCTAGGCATCCTATTTTATCAAAAATAGTCAAAAAGATGTTATAGAAGGGCAAAGAATAATCCGAAAAAGAGACGCATCTCACTGGAGTTCTTTCTCGGTGTAGCATTCAAACCTGTCGTCAACGTTATCGCTGAACGATGTCGTTGCCGCTGTTGTTGTTGATGTTGCCGCCGTCTGCCAGCTGCTGCTCTTAACTTTTGCCTTTGAAACGGGTTGGAGTCGAGCAGAGTCGAGTTTGCCTGCCGCACCATGCCGCACCGTTCACTCCATCTGCTCCGTGTGCAGGGCACTTTCTTGGAGGCAGCGCGTTGCTCGTAATTCGGATGTTTGACAAGAGCCAGTCATGTACCAAGACAAAAACCACCCATCTAAGCCATCATCTATGTGTCCCCCACCCCAAAAAAAAGAAGATATATGTGTATTTATCGCCCGATAGATATAGACATCCGTGCCTGTGTTTGTGTACCCCAGAAGCCCCCAATCGTGTTGTAAATGCCTCGGAGCCCCAGCTAAAAACTAAATCAAACTTTTTACGTACCCACGTATTGTGTTTTTAATTTAGAAAACTGCCTTTTTGACTACTCTGTATCTGTGTTACTCCAACATCATTCCTCCTACTTAGCAGCTGCGTTTAATGCTGCCCGTTTTCCTACCGATGCCTTTTCATTTAAAACGATACGAAACGAAAACCAAAGACATTTTGAGGAAAATTGCTTTTTGTACTGCGACTTTCCATGCCTTTTCCATTCCTTTTGCTTTGGTCTGGAATTCATTCCTCTTTTGTTTTCCTTCGTATGAATGTTTTTTAGTCGTAAAGAGCAATGTGAAAAACAATTAAAACCCTTTTAAGCTGCTTTCCTTAATGCGAAAGAAACAAGATGTACCCACAAAAAAGACCAAAAGAGTTACCCAAGTGGAGTTTATTTTGAATTTTGTGTTTTTGCCATGTTTAATGCTTATAAATATTTAATGAACATATGAATAATCCTATCCGTAAGCTAAGTTTTTCCGTTGTAGCTGAAATGTGAAAATGTTTTTTGATTTTTCCGCTGCCTTACTTTAACTCTTTAAATAGTATTGGCCTTTTTGCTGTGCTGCTGGAGGCGAGGGCGGGGATTGTATTCATATTTAATTCACTCTTTGCCACGCCCTCCCCTCCGGCTGCCATTCATTTTGTTCTGTACAAGTTTTGTCGTATTCCAATAAATATCGTAAACATATCGAAACCAAACCGAGCCCCATCTACTATATCTTACCTACTAGGAAACTAACAGAACCCCCACATTTTGCCCAACCAACCACAATAAAAAATCAAACAAAAACCCAAGATGAAACTGTTTATTTTGAAACGTTATCTACTTATCTATACGAATAAATATGTATTCAAAATATTTTACATCACTTTTCAACAACATATATATTTTGTGAGTTTTTTGCGTTATTAAGTGTACGTCCTTTGAGTTCCTTTCGATGATCATTTAATTACTTCTACTCGAAATATAACATCAACCTAGTAATCGCTTTTCAATCGAATATAACCAATTAAAGCGTGGCCAGAGTCAAAAACCATCGAGGAATTGTCCTTTTTCGACTTTGAGCCACACTTCTGGGATCACAACATGTTTATTTTGTACCTACCAGTTTGGCAAGAGTAAATTGAAAGACATTTAATAGAAGCCGGCGGGGTAACGCCTCAGTGTGATTCTCCTTGTTTTGCACCCAGTATATACATTTAATCGTAAATAAGATACATGTTTCGTTTCCGATGCCTTCCATACACACAAACACACGGAGGGACTTTCAGAATGCCCGGTCAAAGTCTTAGCCTTAGTTTACCAACCATTTTGTTTGTCGATTGCGCCAAGAACCCGAAAACAAGCCAACACATCCCACACCACCGAACCACCGAACCAAAAAGAAGCCAAGAAATACCCAACAAGAAACAAGAAACAATGAACATATATTGACCCACATAACCATTATACCAAATACCAAATACATTTACCATATATACCAATACCGAATACAAAACTTTCCGTTGCAACCAAAAACTTTTTTAGGAAAGGATGTCATCGTTGCCTGGTTATCTATGAGAAGCATAAAAATGTGCTCCAATATAAAGAAAGTGAGTGCGAAGGTGATAGTATGTATATGCATCAGTCGAACCCATCTGCACTGGCGATGCGTAGCTCTAATAAACAAAGTGATCATAGGGGGGGAGCTCATCCCAATACGAACGGGCATTCAAGACTATCTTCATCGGATCAGTACATAATGAGATCCAATGACGATATGAATGATTGTAAGCATTAACTTTATATTTTTCTCTATATCTCTCTATCTCTCTCTAAAATAAGTTATAAGCAAAGCAAGCAAACTAAAATGAAAATACAAAGACTCTATCTCCTAACTCGCTATCTCAAAATACCAGTTATCTGTTATGATTTTAACCTATTATTACATATTTCGAAATGCTCCCTTAGTTAACCAACATGACTAACCTAACCTTATCATTTAAGCGCTATTTTCATTTCACTCAAAACGAGAATACAATAGTTTTTCGTTCTGTCCAGTGACCAACTGAAAAGCAAAAAAAAAAAAAAGAAAAAAAAGATGAAAACACGTTCTCAATTTATTATCTCTTTTTGAAAACACACACAAAACAAACGCAGGATTTTGAATTATTATTTCGGTACTTCTGATGAGTTATTTTTGGTTTTTCGTATTATTCTTTTTTAATTTGAAATTTTATTCAGTTTTGGTTTCAGTTCTTGTATGATTTCTAATGCAACCTTTGGTTAATTATACAAAAGAAAACCAAAAAAAAAAAGAAACGAAACCAAACCAAACCAAACTTGTAAATAGTCTCAAACAACAAATACTCTGCATACGAAATGAATAAAAATAACTCTACTTTGTTTACGTTTGTCATGGCAAGGGTCCTCTCTCTACCTCTCTCTCTGTATATCTCGAACTCACCTCACTTTAATCAAGCAATCAATCAACAACGAATAACCACTCAATCTATCAATCAACAAGAAGTACATATCTAACCACAAAAAATATATATATAACCACCTAGAAAACCGATAACCAACCGAAAACCAAATGAATTGTATATTTTCCTCAACATACACACGTTGCAATTTATACCGAAAAGTTACAACCTAAACTACTCGTACCACTATTAATATTACCCAATACCCAAAGTTAGTGTCAATCCAATTAAGCTACTTAGTTGCGATTTTCAAGCGTATTAGCGGCTTAGCAGATTAACCCCTCCCAACAGAGCAACCAATTAGAGCCAAACTGAAACCGAAACTGAAACCATCGAACCATCGAGGGCCGAAACAACAATTGTGTAGGTCTACCCAGTAGATTCGAAATACAAAAACCATCTAGACAAAGGAAAACAGCGCGGCAGTCTTTAATTCTAATTCTAATTCCAAATCCAATTGAATCGGAACCTAAAAAAAGGCAAACCCCCCAATCGAATCGAAAAAAAGAAGAGAAAAAGCAAAACAGGAAACTATAACCAGTTTTAGTTAAGAACCTTTGTTTTTCTCTTTTTCCGTTTGGTTTCTTCTTTGGTTTTGTGCCTTTTTCGTTCCACCTTTACTGTAAATAATTAACAATTACAAGCGAAAAACAAATTGTGTAAATATATAAAAAAGTAAAAACCAAAAACGAAACATGAGACTGAAAATCAAACTGTTTGTTCCATACCCATTTTTTATTACCAAACATTTACATATATCTAAATATATATCCATATATATTTGCAAACTCTATTCAATATTTATATGATATGTATTCTTTCCTTACTTCAACATTTTCAACCACTCCAACAACAGATCTCTCTCCAAAACCTAAAAAACCAAAAAAACCAAAACTAAAACCCAAACTAAAACTGAAACTACAACTACAAATCAATTTGGAGCAATTCAAAGTTAAAATACGTGTGCGAGAGTGTGTGCCAGTGTGTATTTGATTCAAATATCGAGAGATGAATAATAACAAACAGAGGTGTGCACACACATGAGAAATTTGATTGGATTTTGGTTTTGAAATTTGCATATTTGAAATTTTCGTACATTTTTAAGAGCCGCAGCTAAGTTTTTGTACAGTTCGTTTCGCGTTTGTTCCCATCTGTATAGTTCTGTATAGCAAACAAAGCAAAAACCGAACCCCAAATGAGCACCCACACATTTGTATTTACAAAACAAACTTGTATTTAGTTGCGACCCCAGAGATGTGACCCATCCACTCATTTGTAAATAAATCTCACCTCCAATCATGACAAAAAGCAAAACCAGAGACCAAATACCAAAGACCAGCGACCATCACACCGAACACGACGATCCTACAGAAACCGAGCATTAAAACGTATTAAAGTCTTGAACCAGTTTCCCGAACCCGAAAACCTATTCAAATCTCTGACGGCAGAGGCAGTGTATTGAATTTCCAATAAGTTCCAGTACTTTGGCGAGCTGTCGAAGAATTATTGCCCAAGTTTCTTTATCCTATATATTCTTCTTCATTTTTTTTTCGCTTTATCTGGCATCACATTCACAACCCACTTACTTTACCTCGCTGCGCTGTGCCCATGATTTATTTATAGGTCGAAAATGGAAATTGGAAACTTGACACCGAGTGTCAAAGTGTTTTCACGTTGTTCCAAAGGGACTTTAAGTACTCGCAGATAATTGCTAAGGCATAGCGAAAGTATCCCACTTGCAAACATTTTATTCGCCTCCATAATTCGTTGCTAATTGCTGTAATCCGCTTAGTTCGTAATCAGGTGGCGAGCGGCCTCCAGTGCACCTAATTACCAGGGAAAATACTAAATAACCAGAAGGGTTTGAATAGAATGCAAGTCTTACATACTCACTTACCTCTTCTCAAGCCGGATTCGGATTCAGATTCTGATTCAGATCCAGATCCGTCATGGCAACGCAATCCACCCGGACACGCATAGAAATGTAAATTCATTATTTATTATTTGTTTGCCTCAATAGAAATCAAATTAGTTTAAGTGGTGAGCTCTTGGCCCAGAGCTCAGTCAGACAGTTGGCTTCGCATTTGAAAAACGCCACGCCCACCCACTCCACCACCTCCCCCCAGGTCCTGGCCCTCTCACAATTTGATATTTTCCACTTGATATTTCCGAGCGAGCTGGAGCTCCAAGTCCGACGACTGTTTGACTGCCTGACTGCCTGACTGGCTGTCTCGGCTGCCTTGGCTGCCTCGTGTTGCCTGCCTTCCTTTTTTCCTTGATTTGATTTTGTTTAAATATTAAACGAGAGTTTTAGGTCTCATTTATAATTCAGGAGAAGCCCCAGCCCCAGCCCCGCAAATCACACAACAACCCAATGGCGTGGGCGGGGTTTTGAGTTGGTTTTGATTAGCAGACCGTAAAACAATGGTATCAATAGTACAATGGAATTGCGTGCGTGTGTGCTGGCTCGTTCTTTATTAAATCATTATTTGTTTAGATTGTCACACAAGCGCGCACACAAACACGAGATTAAATTTCTGGTTTTCGGATAAAAGAGCAAGCCTTGCGGGCGAACTGAAAATTGAAAACGCTGCCAGGGCACACATCCTTTACATTTTGGCCATTTTAATGCGCTTTGAATTGAGATTCTCGGCAACGGCATAATAAAGTTGCTTTCAATTACGACAGTTTCAGTCATTTTTATGACCAGCACACGAACACAAGGAAACAATGTATACTATGTGTATATCCTTGGCCTGGCAGACTGTAATTGGGCTTAGACAGTCGACAATTTCAATTACTGAAAACTTGTACATATGGGATTAGCAGGGAAAGCCTTGTTAATTGCTATAAGGCTAATGTAGTGTCGTTTTCACTCGTGTCGGGCATCAAAGGATATGCAAGGTTTTCCACAGACACACATGCGATGCTACAGTCATGGGTAGAATAATAGGTGCAAATTGAGATAGAATTACTTTTGTGATGTTAGGATCGTTTTTATTTATACTGGAAAGGTATAGCTAAATTTTAGAAAAATCTAAGATAATAAAAATATTAATTAAGTGGTAATTATTATATTTTTCATTGTTGAATTGTTTATAAATTCTTACGATTTTTCTATTCAACATACTCAATTAAGTTCCAAAACTTAAAACAAACGCAAAATGATCTCCTGTCTTTTTTTAATTTATTAGTAAAGCATTCAATTTAATATCTATATTCATGCACCTATTATTTTGACCATAAGTGCCAGCAAAGTGCGTGTAAGCGAGCTGCCAATCAAATGAACGAGTCTGCTGCCCGATTCCTGAATCCTTCAATCCTCCGATTCATTGGCATCAATGATAATCCAATGCGAGCCATCAAAAGCAATTGCATACTTGGGGGCGTTTGCTAACTGCCATTTAAATTGCATTTTCGAGTACAAACTACACACGATAGTACCGAGTATCACTAGCCACTCGACCTGCACTACCCTCTCACCTACCCCTCACCTACCACCTACCCCACCCCCCTTAATTATGTTTACCGCTTTTTATTTTGCCAGCGCTTTTAGCCAGACATTTTGTGTAGCCTGTGACGGGCTGCCAGGCAGCATTTGCATACCAATTTCACTTCCAGCTACCTTCTACCGCCACTTCCACTCCACCTGCTAAAAAGCGAAAAACCCTGGGAATAAAAAATGAAGCCCAGAGGTTCGGGGTGATGGGCACTCAATGAAGGCCAGGCCGCAGCGTTTTAATTGCAGCGCAAAAGCGTAGGCGGTATATGAAAATAATTAAAATAATTAAGCAAAACTACGCCATCCAAGCACTCGCCGTTTTCAGGAGGTTGCCCTCACTCTGTAGCTTCTTGAGTTTCCCTCTTTTTTCGGGAAAATATTCAACGAAAATTTTTTGCAGTCTCCCCGGGTTTTTTTTTTCCTCCTCTCTCATTTTTTTGGGGCATTTTATTATGAGTTTATCTTTTTGGGCGTTCAGCGCATATTCGCATTCTTTGCGCCCTCATAATTTGCTTTATATTATTTGGTGTTACAACATAACAGGACATGCTTTCGCCAATTTCGGAGCAAGGATATTTAAATTTAATCAAATGTCGGTAAAAATGTTTGCCATGCCTTTTATGGC